CCCTGCTGAGTTGATCCTCCATGATCCTCGCTTCTGAGTTCAATAAACTGGGCTCTTATTTTGAAAGTATGCATGCATGTGTTCCGGTCTCACTCTGTTGCGCGTCTCGCAGCTCCGTTAAAAACTGTTGCGACATGATTTCTGGTAAAACCCGCTCAGAGCTCCGTCTGCTGCTGTCCCCTCACACCGTGGAGGAGTTCACGGGAACATGTGGAGGAGTTTCTGGAGTTTGATGTTGGTGTCAGTCTGTTTTTGTCCGGACATGTTCATATATGTGTGTGTTTTCACTTTAGATCACACACACACACACACACGCACGCACGCACGCACGCACGCACACACACACACACACACACACACACACACACACACACACACACACACACACACACACACACACACACACACACACACACAATAACCACACGCTCAGAGGGCGAAAGTTTCAGTATTTTTATGAGAAATAAAATATGTTGGAATGTTTGGATGATTAAAATGATGTTTGACATTTTTGTGACAGTGTGACAACTCCGTCTGCGTTCACTCTGCAGGTTCTGATGCACAATTCAGATTTTTAGTTCAATCCGATCTTTTTGTGCGGTCGTTCACATTACAAAAACGAATACGTCCGTGAAGTGACCCTCATGAACAGAAAACACAAACATCTTCCCGCTCCTGTTTGTGTTGAACAATGGTGACGTTTGTCTCATATTGATGACGTAAAGGTCGGATGAACACGACCTGAGCGTCACACTGCAGTCACATCAGATACATATCTGATTTATATCCACATACAGAAGAGGGTCGGATCAGAACCAATCAGAACTGACCTGCAGTCTGAACGTAGACTAAGCTTGTTAGCTGGATGATGATGTGGCCTGTTGCCTTTTTTAACAAATGAAAACTACAGTGAACAACGGGACTGAGGTGAGAACTCGAAGAGAACGGGATAAAAAATAAATGAACAACAGGTCCTTTTGAACCCAACAGTAACTTTGTGCTCCAGGTTGCTCCCCGGGAACTAAAAATCTCCTGTGGCTCATCGCACATTTCCACCAGGTGTATCAATACTGTTAATCAGGCCAACGACCTCCAGGGGTCGCCTCTAAAAATGAAGTCACCTGCACAGGTGAGAAAACACACGATGGGAGATGAAGTCCCTGACAGAAGTGGGATTGTATTTTCAAATCCACTGACTCCTGATCAGAGTCACAGAATCAGATCTAGACCGCCATGACTGTAACCACACTGAAGACGTCCTCCAGGCGATGATTCGGCCGACTCTCCCAACACGACTGCGCAAGTGGTGGTTCCAGGAAGTGGAGAAAATCCCAGAAATACAGAGAGCAACTCGGCTTCAGATTCGTATAATGACGGGAGGCGGAGCCAAGTTGTCCATAGTTTATAAACTGGTCCATGGTCTCGTCAGCTGACTGTGATAACGACACCTGAACAGCTGATTGTCCTCTCAGCAACATTACAGCCGACACTCATGTTTGTCCACACCCTTCAAACCACCATCACTGTCTTCAGTCTCAGGTCCAGAAGAGAGTTCTGTCTTGATCTCCATTTCTGAACTCTGTGGATCCACGTTCCCGTCTAGTTCAGGTCTTGTCCGGTCTCCTTCTTCACTCTTTGTTTCAGCCTCTCTTTTCTCCTCAGTTTGATGCGTCCCTGAAGTCCGACCACAAACACATTTGTGACTTTTGAGCTGAGCTCGCCGAGGGAACGTTTGTCCACAAAGGCTGCAGCTGAAAGATTTGTCCCCACAGTGTTTGGCCATGTGAAGTCGCAGGTAAAACCTCTGCTTGAAACTTTTACCGCAGTCGGAGCAGCTGAAGAGTTTCACTCTGCTGTGAACTAACATGTGTTTGTAGAGATTCTGTTCAAAGTTAAATCTTTTTCCACACTTAGAGCAGCTGAAGAGTTTCTCTCCTCCGTGATGTTCCATGTGAGCGGTCAGACCAGACTTGTGGTTGAATCTTTCACCACATTCGGAGCAGCCGAAGGGTTTCTCTTCTTCATGCAGCGCCATGTGAGTCGTCAGGCAGAACTTTCTGCCAAATCTTTTGCCACACTTGGGGCAGCTGAAGGGTTTCTCTCCGGTGTGAATTCTCATGTGTCGGGTCAGACTGGACTTCTGATTGAACTGTTTCCCACATTCAGGGCAGTTTAAAGCTTTCTCTCCCGTGTGACTCATCATGTGTCTGGTTACACCTTGTTTGTGATTAAACCGTTTCCCGCACTCAGAGCAGCTGAACGGTTTCTCTACTTCGTGAATGATCATATGTCTGGTCATACAGTCTTTGTACTTGAAACTTTTCCCACACTCAGAGCAGCTGTACGGCGTGTCTCTGGTATGAATGATCATGTGTCTGGTCAGATGACCATTACTGCTAAATCTATTCCCACACTCAGAGCAGGTAAAGGGTTTCTCTCCAGAGTGGGTTATCATGTGCTGGTCCAGGTTTCCTTTCTTTTTAAAGGTTTTACCACAGTTGGGGCAGATGAAGGGTTTCTCCTCCCTGTGAATTATCATGTGTCTGGTCAAGCGATACTTCTGTTTGAATGCTTTCCCACACTGCGGGCAGCTGTGATCCCGCTCCTCAGTCATTCCTGTCCAATCTTTATTATTTTCCACTCCGTTTGATCCCGACTGCTCCGCCCTGCCCTCCCTCCACTCGTCACTGTCATCAGTCTCAGGCTCAGAAGACTCTTCAATTCTCACCTCAATCTCTGGCTGTAAATCGCTCTCTGTGTCAGGATTCACGGCCGGTTCTGAACCTTCACAGTCCGCTTCTTCGGCGCCGCTTTCCATATGATCAGTTGGTCCTTGATAAAGTGGTGAGGTGGGCGGAGGTACCTCCTCATCTTCACTCTTTACGATGACCACATTGAATGGGAGCTTGGTGGTACCAGCCTCCCTGAGTCCTTGAAGCTGCTCTCCCTCCTGACCGCTCCAGTTTTCGTCCTCCTCTTCCATGTTTATGTGTGGGGGCGCAGTGTCCCCCTGGTCCAGGCTGGGGCTCCAGTCCTCAGGAGGCTCTTCTTTAACCCAGGAAAGCTGGTGGACATCTGCAGGAAAGACTATAATACAGAAAAACACGTGACAGGAAGCTGTGAGTTTCTATAGAAACCAAACATGGGACAGTGAGCATCATGAAGTTAAACTGAAGAGAACTCTCCACCGACATCCTCCACTTTAACTTCTTATCGACCAAATGACACCTGAGGATTCAGCGACACCTCCAGACAGAGACGAGTTAAATTTGTGGTTAAATCAACAGAAACACGACTTTCTATGGCAGCAGTGAAGGAGGCTCCTAGAACACTGGGGGGGGGGGGGTGTCTTCAGAAACAGGTGAAGATAGAGATCCAGGGTCCGTCTGAAGACCATGACCCTCTCTAAGAACAGAGACTTTATAAATATTAGAGTTCTTCTTCCACACATGGAGGTCAGTGAAGCTGTTAGCTAACTGAGGCTAACTGAGGCTAACAGAGGCTAACTGATGCTAACAGAGGCTAACAGTCGGCGGAAGGACGTTCAGCTCTGAAACATCAACAGACAACAAGTTTTAAAACAAACAGTCAGAAAACCGACCTGCTGTGGTCAGCCTGCTAACAGCTGTTGTTGTTGTTGTTGTTGTTCTCCTGCTCAGCTGTTTTCTTTGTCGGAGCAGCTCCTCCTCCTCCTCCTCTTCCTCCTCCTCCTCTTCCTCGGACCTGGGTCGTCCTGTCAGGTCCCTGCAGACCGCGAAGAGCCAAGGTCTGGATAAAATGTTGACATCCTGAAACCCGGACATGTTACCGGACTCAAGAGTCCACGGAGGACGTGAGTGAGGACAGGAGAGAGAGGAAGGCTGCGGCCTTTTCTGTCACACTAACTCACCCGCACACGTTTGCTGATAGGACGTCTTTCTTCTTCTGTGGTGTTTAATGGCGGTCGGTAAATCACCTTATGGTGCAATACCGCCGAGAGCTGGACTGGAGTGTGAAACAGAGACCAGGACAGAAAACAGTCAAACCAGGACAGAAAACAGTCCACACATTTATTTATTTCATCAAACCCGAGCAAAAATATATACTCTTTAAAATCTAGATGACAATAATAATAATAATAATAATAATAATAATAATAACAATAATAACTATTATTATGTTCCTCACTTTGGACACTAGATGGTGCTATGAGGGTCGTGTGTGTCAGGCGCTCACACTGCAGGTCAAAAGACGATTATTTTGGGAGAAGTGGTGGAAGTTTTCCTTTTTCAAAGAGCAAACGTTTAAACAGCATTGATTATAAATCAATAAAGTGGATTGATAACATGATGACGTCATAAAGGTAACCTTGACAGAAAACGCTCAACGTCGATGAAATACAAGATTTATTTTGTACAAACAGCTGAGAAAACATGTTTTCAAAGTGACACTAACGGCGAGGATGAAGACACACGACAGAGTTCACGACTTTCTGAGTTCATGACCTTCGCAGAAAGATCCGGTGAGTTAACAAACACGAGTCCAACTCTGTGACCGTCTGAGGAGGACTCGAGTCCCACCTGATCGTCTCTGAACATCGAGTCATCATGGTGACCACTTCAGGACTGGAGACCGAGCGGCTGTTCTGATCAACGGTTTTACCCAGACTCTGAGCTGCTGCTGCCCGTCTCCTCCTCCTCTGACTGATCCATGATGGGCTGTCCGTCATCTTCTCTGTCACTTTTATTTAAGGCACATGAGGCCTTTCTGATCGTGAGAGTGGTGGAAGTGAAGGTTTGTTTCTAAACACCGACACGATGGCACACATCACTAATGAGACCTTCACAGTTTTTCAGATTTTGGGAGGATGTCTTCATCCTCAAGTTCAGCAGAGTCTTCAGTCTTGATCTCAGTCTTTAAATCGGAGTCCCCGGCGTGTCTTGATCTCCCGCAGTCCACTTCGTCAACTCCTGTATGCAGCGCTCTCTCCTCCTCCTCCCCCTCCTCCTCCTCCTCCTCCCCCTCCTCCTCCTCCTCGTGGTTTTGGTAGAACTCTGAAGCCTTCACACAGCGGTGCTTCTTGAGGTGAGAAAACCAGGAAAACCTCTGCTCACAGACGCTGCAGCTGAAGCGTTTCTCTCTGCGTCTCGTGTGAACTAACATGTGTGAGGTCAGATGCCATTTGCGGTAAAACCTTTTACTGCACTCGGAGCAGCTGAAGGGTTTTTCTCCGCTGTGAACATACATGTGTGAGGTCAGATGTGCTTGTTGTTTGAATCGATAGGTGCACACAGAGCAGATGTACGGTCTCTCCCCTGAGTGAGCCAGCATGTGTCGGGTCAGACTTCTTTTATCGTAAAATCCTTTCCCGCACTCAGAGCAGCTGAAAGGTTCTTCGTCTGTGTGATGGACCATGTGAGCCGTCAGATCAGACTTTCGGATGAACCCTTTCCCGCACTCAGAGCAGCTGAAGAGTTTCTCTTCTCTGTGATTTGCCAGGTGACGCGTCAGATCGACTTTTTGGGTAAATCTTTTACCGCAATCAGAGCAACTGAAGGGTTTCTCTCCTGTATGAACGACTTTGTGTCTGGTCAGATGTTGTTTCTGTGAAAACCTTTTACCGCAGTCAGAGCAGCTGAAAGGTTTCTCCCCTGTGTGAACTACCATGTGTCGAATCAGGTTCCCTTGAGAGTTGAATCTTTTCCCGCACTCAGAGCAGTCGTGGTTTTGTTTCTCAGTCCTCAGTCTTTTGTCCCGGGTGAATTTTAGACCTGGATGACGCTCTCTGGACTCCCTACAATCATCACTCCCGTCAGTCCCAGGTCCAGAAGAATCCTCGATCATGACCTCTATCTCTGGTTGTAAATCCATCTCTGAATCGGAGTTACTGGATTGTTCTGATCCACAGTCCTCTCCAACAGCTCCAGTTTCTGGAGGTTCAGTTTGTATGTGATGAAGCTCTGAGGACTGAGACTCCTCCTCCTCCTCCTCCTCCTCCTCCTCTTCTTCACTCTTTACAGATACAACAGTGAATGGGAACATGTCGCTCTCTTCCAGTTCCTCTTTAATGAGTGGGGGTTTAGTGTCCTCCTGGTCCAGACGGTGGCTCCTCTCCTGACGCTCAGGAAGCTCTTCTTTAATCACTGACTGCTGCCGGGCGTCTGCAGGAAACGATCCGAGACAGGATGGAGGAGCTGTGAGTTTTAGTAGAAAGTGAACAAAGTCAAACTCCATCATTGTTAATATGAGACAACGTCCATTAATCGGACATTTTAGGCTCTCAGAAGTGAAGTCGTTCTCATTACTGTTGTCCCCGATTAAAGGGATATTCCAGCGTAAAATTAAGTTAGGGTCAAACACAACTCACCTACTCTCTTCCAGCAGCAACATTTATGATCATTTCTTTATCATTTCCTTGAAGTAATAATCACCATATTAATCATTTTACAGACGCTGTAGTTCTTCTGTCTTAGCGTCTCGGTCTGATTGTATTTCCATGAAGAAATGATCATAAATGTTCTTCCTTGAGCTGCGGCACCCCGCTGTAGTCTGTAATGGACTGGTCTGAGGTCTCACTACAAACAAGCGTCTGCTGGAAGAGAGTAGGTGAGTTGTGTTTAGTCTCTTTGCTAAAGAAATGAGTCAAAGTTACAAAGATGTTTGGTGTCTAGTACTATGTCTGTGACCCTATATGTCCTGTTGATGAAGTTAGGTGCTGTTCTGAGCATTATTTGTGGCTATAGAGTGGCGTTTTGGTTGGGGGCGTGGCTCTCTGCTATCCTGCGGTCGTTACTAAAGTTGGTATAACTAGAGAAGCAAGCGGTCGACAACATTCATCTCTGGAGGGGGGGTCTAACTCGGTGTTACGGTGGGTTTGACCCTAAATTAGTTTTACACAGAATATCCCTTTGACCTCTTGAATGTTTCCCCCTCAGAAGTAAAACTAAAGGAGACCTTTTATTGTTTAGACTCCTCATTCAGAACGATCTCCACAAAGCTGCTCTGAAAGTTCTTTTTCCCTTTAGTGGATTTACGGTTTTAGAACTTGGATCGCTCTTGTGTTTTTTATTCGGCCCTGTTTTCAGTTGTCTTTGATCGTTGTGGTTTACTGGTTTGTCTCCTTGTTTTATTTCTATATCATGAACTAAAAAAAGCTCTAATTAAATAAGAATGATCATTATATGAAAATCGATATCAGACTCAAGAAAACTGTCACTGATGGACTTGTTTGCTTCTCCTCACAGGAGCCTCTATAAAGGTACAAGAAACATCTCCAGTGGAAAAGTTTTACAAAAGCTTCTCTCCAAGTATTTCGATTATTTTTATTTCTTTATGAACACAAAGATAAACAGAATAATTACCACGAGTTTCTTAGTTTGGTTCATTAAGTATCAAGAGTAGAAAAAAGTCAAACCTGCTCCCAGCAGGAGGAGCTCCTGTTGGCCGCCGGACGGAGGTCTGGATGAACCCTGAAACCCGGACATGTTAGCGGATCCGAGGGACGAAGACGGGGAGGAGGAGAGGAACTGTTGGCGCCTTTAAAATCATTATTATCATTATCTGAAAATGGAGACTGTTGGTTTATTTATACATGACAGGCGGCCTTCACAACCCGGAAAGAAAAACCTTCATTTCCTGTATACAAACGAACCTTTCAGAATAAAAGCTGGACTATATATTTTTTATTATTATTATTATTTTAATTTTGTTTATTGAATTATTAACAAACTAACAATGCACTTATTTATCATTGAGCATGAATAACATCAAAAAACACAATTTCAGTGTTAGAGGCCATTCTACATCAACTCAAACATGTGAAGAAAATCAGCGTTGGTCTTTTTTGTCTCTAACAAGTTTGAAGGATTTAGAGAAAAGCAGCAGCTCATTCAGTTCCAGTGAGGTCGGTTTGGTCTCGTTTTAAAAGAACTTCCACAAAAGCAACAAAACATTTAGAACAAAATCAGAGTTCCTGCTGACAAAGGGAAGTCAACCAGCTCCACAAGTTACTCCAGAGGGGATGTAAAGCATGGCTCAGGTTTTCAACGTCCACGTCACAAAAAACACAACTAAGTGTTAAACTGACCAAGTGAAACCTTCATCTCAAAAACTCGTTTGTTGGATTTCGTTTAAGATTTTGAACTGGACTTCTTTACGGAGGTCACGGCGAGGAGATCTAATTCTTTATTTTTAATCTGATCCAAATCTAATGGCTTCAAAATCACTGTTGTCAATAATTTGAGATGTGGTTCAGACAACATGTGCACTTTTTGTGAAATTGATACTGAAACAACGGACATCTATTTTTCTCATGTAACACAAACATTCTGGGTTAACACTCACAAATGGATTACACAAAAAAACGACAGTATTTTCACCACGTATTTCTCTAGATAATGTTACTAAAAATGATGAACTCTGTTGTAATGTAATCGGATGTCTTGCTAAGTATTTCATCCATCATAATAAAGTGATGAGATCATCCCCCAGATTAACTGTTTTTATAAACCAATTTAAAATGTATTTGAAATCTCTTAAAACATTTAAAAAAGTTCAATAACTTCAAAAATGTTCCCACTGATATGAAGAGTAAAAACATTTTTAAAAAGAAAGAAAACCCTTGTAAAGTTTTGTTTGGCATAAATTATTTTATTAAAGTTACTTTTGTGTTTCTGTTTGCGTCTCGTTCTTCACTATCTACTTTTTATTTCTCACTGAAACGATGGTTCAATATTGAAATTACTGTATTGAACTGATTCTGCTATATTTGGAAATGTAATTTTGTTAACTCTGAAAAAAGCTTAAAAAATCAAATTAAAAATTACAAAAAAAAGAGATGTGGTTGAAAATAGGGTTTCTATTGGGGTAAAAGAACTACAACTGCATGGTCATGGTTTTTAATAAAACTGCTGGAGTCCAGAAAAATAAAGTTGTATAACAGACAAAGACAAAGTCTGCTTCAGAGAGAGCCTCAGAGCATTTCTGTTAAAGGAGAATCAACAAAAAAGACCAAAACATGTTGACTGTTGTTCTTTCTTGGATTCACTACAAGGCGATTTACGGCTTGGGTGTAAAGTCATTGGTCAGGTGACTGGATTAGGTGTGTTAAGGTCAGCAGTAAACAACCGTTTTCTATAAAAATTAACCGTCAAAGTTTCACTAAAGCAGTCAGTGGCAGTGAAGTAAAACTAACTCACAGAAATACTCTGGAAATGATTTAATATGAAAATTGTGGGTGGAATAAAAATCTTATAAAAGACATAAAACAGAGTACAGAGGATATTTGAGGAAGTTGGATTATAATCTGGGTGTGGTGGTAAACTAACCATGACATGTTGGCGATGATAGAACTGTGTTGTTGTCAGAGAAGAAGAAAGTGGAATTTAACCTTCCTCCTGTGTTAGCGTTTACTACGCACCCACTTTGTTCAGGGTCGGTTTAGACCCGTGTCTTTAATCAGCTGTAAAAACAGTTCTCTATGGTCCAGTTTGGTTCTCATCTCTAGGTTACCTTGTTCGGCTTCATTATCCATGAAAATATTGATCATAATATTTTTTGTCGTGGTCCCCTGAGCCTTTCTTTGTCAGTATACCCCTCACACAGACATCTACACTGAATTCATCTCACAGAGAAAAACATGGAAAAATGAGAATTTCCTAAATCTCACATGATTGGACGAGGATCTGACTGTCAGCGCACTTATGATTCCAGTTTTAGCTTGAATTATTAGATATTGATCTAACAGGGTCAACAGTGACCCAAACACAACAAGTGCCATCATTTTAATAAGAGCATTTTATTATTTAGTCAATTTAATTTGACTAATTTTCATTTTATTGAAATAGAGGTTCCTGACAAAGTCATAAAGTCTTGATGCTAAAAAGCTGATTAAAGCGGGTCGGTGCCGAACCTAACAAGGAGGAAGGGTTTACAGCATGAGGATGGATAAAGTGATGCTTTAATCAGGTACCTAAACAACATCAAACATCCAATCCAGATAAAAACCCTTCAAGTGTAACTTTACATATATGTGGTCCAACTGTTCAATGATCATTCCGACAAGACCACCTCTGAAAAGACATGGAAATGATGCATCTTTACATGAAGTCTCATACAATGAGCCTGGCACAACCACTGATGTTACTCTCAGCAGTTCTGGACGGTCAGAAATGATGGAAAATTCTTGATGCCATTCTCAGCCCCAGTCCATTCTTTGTGAATTTGTTTGTGGTCTCTGGTCCAGGTCCAATCATCCCGGTCCTCAGACTCAGGGTTGGAAGAGTCTCCTCCACAGTCTCTTGTTGTAATCCTCATTTTCTGACTTGTTCAGGTTCTCCATCCTTCCATCAGCTCCTGTTTCTTCATCCTCCTTCTCCCCTGATTAGTTTTGATGAAGCGCTGGAGTCTTTCCCTTTTTCAGAGTTGTGTATTTATGAAAACTGAGACTAAGAGAATTTTTGTTGCAGATAAACTGTTTTCTTTCTTCACCCTGTGTGAACTAACATGTGTGAGGTCAGATATCTTTCATCACAATATTTTTTACCACACTCAGAGCAGCTGAAAGGTTTCTCTCCTCTGTGAATTATTATGTGATTGGCCAGAGTCGCTCTCTGTGTGAATCTTTTGCCACAGTCAGAGCAGCTGAAAGGTTTCTCCCCTGCGTGAACTAACATGTGTGAGGTCAGTTGCATTTCACAGTAAAACCTTTTACTGCACTCAGAGCAGCTGAAGGGTTTCTGTCCTGTGTGATACACCATGTGAGCTGTCAGCAGATATTTATGGCTAAATTTTTTACCACACTCAGAGCAGCTGAAAGGTTTCTCTTCACTGTGCATGAACATGTGTGAATTCAGATGTGTGTTGCGGTAAAACCTTTTACCGCACTCAGAGCAGCTGAAGGGTTTCTCTCCACTGTGGATGAGCAGGTGTGAGGTCAGATGAGCTTGTTGTCTAAAACTTTTACTGCATTCAGAGCAGACATACGGTCTCTCTCCTGTGTGAACTAACACATGTCTGGTCAAAGATCTTTGATCATAATATTCATTACCACACTCAGAGCAGCTGAAGGGCTTCTTCCCTCTGTGAAACACCATGTGAGCTTTCAGGTTAAATTTTTTGCTAAATTTTTTACCACATTCAGAGCAACTAAAAGGTTTCTCTCCTCTGTGATTTGCCAGGTGACGTGTCAGATCAACTTTTTGTATAAATCTTTTATCACAATCAGAACAAGCGAAGAGTCTCTTCCCTGTGTGAACTAACATGTGTCTGGCCAGATGCTGTTTTTGTGAAAAACTTTTACCGCACTCAGAGCAGCTGAAAGGTTTCTCTCCTGTGTGAACTAACATGTGTCTTTTCAGAGCCTCTTTATAGTTAAATCTTTTACCACAATCAGAGCAGCTGTGAGATTTCTTGACAGTTTTCTGTCCTCTTCTTTTCATTAATTTCCCAGAGTTTAATCCTGACTGATCCTCTCTGGTCTCCTTCCAATCATCATCATCCTCAGTCTCAGAGGAGTCTTCTGACCTGTTATCACTCACAGGATTTGAGTTTCCAGCTGGTTCTGAAACTCCACAGATTTCTCCATCATCTCCTGTTTCCATCTTTTGAATTGGTTTTGGGTGAAGCTGTGGAGGCTGAGGTTTTTCTTCATCCTCTTCACTCTTCACAATGACAACAGTGAATGGGAACATGGTGGCCTCAGCCTCCTCAAACCCTTGAAGCTGCTCTCCCTCCTGACTGCTCCAGAGTTCCTCCTCCTTAATGTGCATGTGCTTGGTGTCCTTTTGGTTTAGATCAGGGCTCCACTCCTGGAGCTCAAGAGGTTCCTCTTTAATCACTGACAGCTGCTGGACATCTGCAGGAAACACCAAAGTACAGAAAGACACATCAAGAAAAGCTTGGCATCTATGTTGGAGACAAACTTTGGATAGAGATTCTTGCTTTTAATTTTCAAACTCCCCTACAAGTTAAATTTAATCAACTCCTAAACAGACCAACCAGATTTTATTTTGGTGTTTTATCGAAGGAGAATTTGTTTTAACTGACTAATTCCTCTCAACCAAGAGGCCCTGACCTGATTCCTGACCCTGGTTTCAAGATGGTTGTGAAGAAAATTCAAACAATCTTTTTAAAATGAGATAAAATCTGGGCACTGGTTCAGCTTTGTTGGTAGAGCGAGCACTGTAAGGAACCGTCACTCACTTCTTTACTTCACTACGAGCTTTGACTTCACTGAGTGGGAGCGAATTATGGACATGTTTTTGAGCCAAGTCATTGAGAAACAGGATACAGCCAGAGAGAGTCCAGGTCATTGTTATCTCCAGCCCAGAGAGGAAAATTGGCAGAGCCGGCCAGCAAAAATATGTGCATGTTTACAAAAGAAGTCCGGTTGTTGACTATCAGACACCGACGTTGTGGGGGAGAGAGAGAGTTTTGTTTTTGGCTCACGCAAGGGTGGGGGCTCGTTCGGGGCTGAGTGAGAGCGGAATTGACCTCACTTCCCCTTTTACTTCCTACTTCTCTCAGTCTCAGTCTGACTCTCGGACTGTCAACTTCTCCTGCTCTCTGTCTGTGCCACACCCTACCACACAACTTTTACCCCTGCCTCAGCTTACACACTCTAACTGCGTCTTTGCTCAACCTTTCTCAGACTACTGTACCAACACCAAATTCTGCTTCACCAACAACCTTACGCAGACAATCCAAAAAGTCCAACCTCACCAACAGTCTGTTTTGTGTCACAATTCTCCCAACTTTAGGCACCATATACAGAGCCGTGACAACGCAGTTAATCTTAGCTTGCTTATAGGATTCCTGCAACCACCTTGTTAAACACTTTCCATTATTTACATATTAGTTTGCAGCCGATTATGTTCAGCTTGTGCAATGCAGGATATATGCATGTCAATGTATTTGCAATCAAACATATATCTCAATGTGTTATGGGCTTTCTCCACCATGCACACACACAACACACACACACACCCTCAGCCACACACTTAACAGCTGTGTAAGTGCACGCTGTTCCATCTTATCTACCCTCCAGGACGTTACCGAGGACATGTCACGCTGCTCTGAGATTCACGGTTTGTTTGGATTAGTCTGAACTTTCCTGAAGTCTTTGAGCAGAAAACAGTCTGACTGAGACGACCTCAGAGTTAAGAGGCTGCAGTAAAAAGGCCGATCTGTACCTACACACACACACACACACAGAGTGTAATACAGATCTATAATGTTCAGATACACTCTCAGCAGCATGAAAGTGAGTAAGAGGAGCATCAGCAGCTTCCTCTGTAGGTTTGGTCTCTAACGTCTGTCCAGTAAAGACGCCCAGACTGCTGCTCATATCTCATCATCCTGTCTACAGACATAAACGCAGAACTTCGCTTATATTTGAGCGGGAATTCCACCTCCACCCTACTCTCCACCTCAGCCTGGACGCTGCCTGCTGCCAAAGTGCCACATCCCTGCAGTCACGTCAAAAGTGAAAGAAAACTGAGTTTCCAAAGATACCAGAAATTGATTTTCTTACAAAAATCCATGTTAAAAGTGAATTCACAAAAGTATCATTGATGATCAACGATGAACGGATTCATGGACGTGGAAAACAGAGCAGCGAAATAATGAAATAAAAATCAGTTTTAGTTTAGAAAAGTCCAGACTTAACTCTTTACCTTTAAAAAAAGAATTTAAATCATGAATTAAAGCAGGAAAGGAAGGAAGAGCTCCTCCGTTTGGCACAGTGGATACGATATTAGTAATATGATATTACAGCATAACTATAATTATGTGAACAGTGTCTGAAAGAGACAGAGACAGAGAATCCACATAAAAACAACATAAATGTATATAATTCACTCATTCATTCAATTCATTCATAATGAATCCAAAGACTCCTCTCTTCTTCTTCTTCTTCTTCTTCTTCTCCTCCGTTTTAGAAGAAGAAGAAGGTGAACTAACCTGCTCTCTTCAGTTTGATTTCAGGCATTAAAATCACACTCAGCAGTTTTCTTTGCCGTTGGAGCTCCTCTTCATACACAGATGTTGCTGATCGTCCTGAGAGGTCTCCGTTAACAGCAGCGAGCAGCCGCCGGCTGAAGAAATCTTCAAGATCCTGAAACCTGGACATTTTCTACCGACCCAAGAGTCAAACAGAGACAAGACAACTGCAGATGGACGCCTTAACTCGGGTTATCCTGCTAATGACTCCTCGGGAGAGTCCCTCTGTGCTCCGGACCCTTCTTCCGCTTCTTCTTTGGTGTTTTACGGCAGCCAGCATCCATGGAGTTGCATTACCGCCACCTACTGGACTGGGATTTGGAACAGGAGTTTAGGGCAGAAAATAAGAGTCGTTTTAAAAAAGATCATTTTTGAAACTAATTCAGTGTCGATCCAGAATTAGATTTTAGTCGTATTAATTTCCCAGCTGTCTTTCCTGATAGACCTTCAATTAAAACCTTTTTTTTGCTTTGACCTTGTCAAAGACTGAAATAAGTCATTTCTGTTGCTGGTAGACTTTGAAAACTGGAAATGATTTAATATTAAAATTGTGGGTGGAATAAAAATCTTATAAAGATATAAAACAGAGTACAGAGGATATTTGAGGAAGTTGGATTATAATCTGGGTGTGGTGGTAAACTAACCATGACATGTTGGATTCATGTCATGTTGATGGTGTCAAAGAGGCGATGATAGAACTGTGTTGTTGTCAGAGAAGAAGAAAGTGGAACTGAACAGCATGAGGATTGGATAAAGTGATGCTTTAATCAGGTACCTAAACAACATCAAACATCCAATCCAGATAAAAACCCTTCAAGTGTAACTTTACATATCTGTGGTCCAACTGTTCAATGATCATACCAACAAGACCACCTCTGAAAAGACATGGAAATGATGCATCTTTACATGAAGTCTCTTACAATGAGCCTGGCACAACCACTGATGTTACTCTCAGCAGTTCTGGACGGTCAGAAATGATGAATAATTCTTGATGCCATTCTCAGCCCCAGTCCATTCTTTGTGAATTTGTTTGTGGTCTCTGGTCCAGGTCCAATCATCCCGGTCCTCAGACTCAGGGTTGGAAGAGTCTCCTCCACAGTCTCTTGTTGTAATCCTCATTTTCTGACTTGTTCAGGTTCTCCATCCTTCCATCAGCTCCTGTTTCTTCATCCTCCTTCTCCCCTGATTAGTTTTGATGAAGCGCTGAAGTCTTTGAATAATCCTGAGACTGAGAGAATTTTTGTTCTCAGACGCTGCAGCTAAACAGTTTTCTTTTTCCCTCATGATAACAAACATGTGTGAGGTCAGATACGTTCAACAATTAACTCTTCTACTGCACTCAGAGCAGCTGAAAGGTTTCTGCCCTGTGACATACCATGTGAACTGTCAGGTTATATTTATGGCTAAATTTTTTACCACACTCAGAGCAGCTGAAAGGTTTCTCTTTACTGTGAGTTAACATGTGTGAAGTCATATGTGTTTTGCGGTAAAATCTTTTATCACACTCAGAACAGCTGAAGGGTTTCTCTCCTGAATGAACTACTTTGTGTCTGATCATATTCTGTTTTCGTGAAAATCTTTTATCGCACTCAGAGCAGCTGAAGGGTTTCTCTCCTGTGTGAATTAGCATGTGTTTGGCCAGAGACCTTTTATCAAAATATTTTTTACCACACTCAGAGCAGCTGAAAGGTTTCTCCCTTGTATGGGTTGTCATGTGTGTGACCAGATCTTGTTTTTGCTTAAATCTTTTACCACAATCAGAACAACCGAAGGGTTTCTCTCCTGTATGAATGGCTCTGTGTCTGATCATATTCTGTCTGTCTGAAAATCTTTTCCCACAGTCAGAGCACCTGAAAGGTTTCTCTCCTGTGTGAATTAACATGTGTCTGATCAGATTTCCTTGAGAGGTGAATCTTTTATCACACTCAGAGCAGCTGAAAGGTCTCTCTCCTGTGTGAACTAACATGTGACTGACCAAAAACCTTTTATCATAGAATTTCTTACCACACTCAGGGCAGCTGAAAGGTTTCTCCCCTGAATGAACTAACATGTGATTGACCAAAGACCTTTTATACAAAAATTTTTTACAACACTCAGAGCAGCTGAAAGGTTTCTCCCCTGTATGAACTAACATGTGTTTGGCCAGAGACCTTTTATCATAACATGTTTTACCACAGTCAGAGCAGCTAAATGGTTTCTCTCTTGTGTGGGTTGCCATGTGTGTGACCAGATCTTTTTTTTGTTTAAATCTTTTACCACAATTAGAACAACCAAAGGGTTTCTCCCCAGTGTGAACTACCATGTGTCTGATCAGAGTCCATTGACGGTTGAAATTTTTACTGCACTCAGAGCAGCTGAAAGGTTTCTCTCCTGTGTGGACTAACGTGTGTCTGCTAAGAGCCTCTTGAGATTTGAAATTTTTACTACAATCAGAGCAGCTGAAAGGTTTCTCTCCTGTGTGAACTATTTTGTGTCTGGTCAGATGGTGTTTTTGTGAAAATCTTTGACCACAATCAGAGCAGCTGTGAGATTTCTTGACAGTTTTCTGTCCTCTTCTTTTCATTAATTTCCCAGAGTTTAATCCTGACTGATCCTCTCTGGTCTCCTTCCAATCATCATCATCCTCAGTCTCAGAGGAGTCTTCTGACCTGTTATCACTCACAGGATTTGAGTTTCCAGCTGGTTCTGAAACTCCACAGATTTCTCCATCATCTCCTGTTTCCATCTTTTGAATTGGTTTTGGGTGAAGCTGTGGAGGCTGAGGTTTTTCTTCATCCTCTTCACTCTTCACAATGGCAGCAGTGAATGGGAACATGGTGGCCTCAGCCTCCTCAAACCCTTGAAGCTGCTCTCCCTCCTGACTGCTCCAGAGTTCCTCCTCCTTAATGTGCATGTGCTTGGTGTCCTTTTGGTTTAGATCAGGGCTCCACTCCTGGAGCGCAAGAGGTTCCTCTTTAATTACTGACAGCTGCTGGACATCTGCAGGAAACACCAAAGTACAGAAAGACACATCAAGACCAGCTTGGCATCTATGCAGGTTCAAGATGTGACACAGATATTTGGTGACAGAAGGCAGCTCCTCAACAAGTGTCACTTCACAGGGTGTCCTCCACACTCTCTCATATGAGCACAGATGGATTTGGTGTGTGTAAGTTTGGACCCACTGGTAAGACAAACACCCTTTTCCACAAATAAAGACACTCACATAAAGTTGCATATATTCAAACCTCACGTGACAAAGGTGGGTTGTGCGCAGAGATCACAACATAAATTCCATAAACGGCATTAAAATCAGAACCATCTGTGCGTATTGACACATCGCGCTCCGTGGCCTGGCTTTTTCTTTCATAGATGTTGGCATATAAAATAAATTTGACTCACAAAACTGAATATTATAAAATCCGTATGTCGGCTTAAAGTAGATTACGCATCTGATCACTGAGACAAATCATCTGTTCAGCTGCAGCAGCAGCAGGACGGAGAGAGGACACGGAGACGTGTCCAGGTCGAGCTGCACGAGAAATAAGAGGAAGAGGAAGAAAGAAAAGGAGGGAGACGAATTACATATCTAGTTAACTTCATCATGTGTGTCTATTTACTAGATATTTAATTTAATTTAATGCGGTTTCAGCTGTGTTGATTCGGTCAGGTTGTGTGTCCAAACGCGCTCATCAGATCAAAATATATCAATGTAGATCTAAATGTGCTGACTCAGAATATTAGTTGTTAATGATTATCTACCAAAATACCACTAGCCCAGCTGCGCTCCGCCTGCGCTGAAAGCTGACCGGGTTTGAATCTGTGAGGTTTCAGCGCACTTTCTACACTGCCGGCGAGCACGAAAATGTCACTGTGCCCGCTGATTCTGTCGACACCTCCCCCTGCCGCACCACCATGCCTAGCTTGGCGGACCTCGGTCAGCCTCAGTCCACGAAAATACCAAATTGGCTGTACGCCGGGCTCCGCCACACGAAAATACCACTGCGCGGGGTCCGCCACCCTCCACCCAAAGTGGCTTGACACAGAGCAAGAGTCAATGCAGATCCTGCAGCAAGGGCCATTTACCTTGCGAAAAGGCAGGAAAGGTGGTTGTATATACACACACACACACTTTACCAAAGAAATACTGTTAAAGAATTTCGGGTTAAAGTCAGAGCAATGTAGTTATTTAGACTAATTCCTTTTATTTATTTATTTATGAGCAAAATCAATTTGTTGAAAATCCTGAACACATGCAAAATCATCTTGACGATCATGACTATAAGCAGCCACTTTTAGAGAGGCCTGCTTCTACACCTGCTAAGGAGGGGAAGGGAAGAAAGAAGTACTACAGCTCAGTGTTGAGGGAGCAGGAAAAGCTAAGGTCTGAACTTCACAAAGTAAAAAGGGAACTCAAGGCAGCAAAACAAAAGACAAAACAGATACAGAGGAAACTGGATTGGCAAAAGAAAAAAGAAAGGGTCAGCGAGAAGAATAAAATGAAAAACAAAAAGAAAGCTTCACAAAAAAAGAAGAGAGGAAGTGGCCAGCTTTCTCTGTAGGGACGAGAATATCAGGCAAAAAGGAGACAATAACAAAAAATAAAATCAAGCAGCAAAGGAGGGTACTGCTGTACTCACTTAAGGACCTGCATGCACAGTACAATTCCACAGCTATGAAGCTGTCGAAGGAATTCATGAGTTTAGTTTGCTAAAGTGGTGTAAGCTTTTTTTGATGCAAGGCGGCATAACCTAAGGGAAGCTCTGTGTCCTACTGGTAAGCTGTGCAGTTATTGGGAGACTTATTTTGAAAGGGGACTGTGCTTCCTGTTTTTGTAAATATAAGTAGAATGGCTTCTGTCTGTCTCAGAGATCTTTTTAGCTTTTATTGTGCTGGGACGTTACTGTGGCAACAGATGAAAGGCACTGCCGACACAGAACAGGTGTTTGGTGACGTCATCCTTTCTGTAACCGAAATAATTACAGATAAGTGACGTTGCTGTTCTTTTTACCAACAAGCATTGATCTTCAAAGGTCAGTGACGTTGCTGTTCTGTTTGTCAACAAGTTTTGATCTTCAAAGGTCAGTGACGTTGTTGTTCTGTTTGTCAACAAGTATTGATCTTCAAAGGTCAGTGACGTTGCTGTTCTTTTTGTCAACAGGTTTTGATCTTCGGTGGTTTTCTCTTGTTCGTTTCTCATGTTGAAGAAGAAGAAGAAGGTGAACTAACCTGCTCTCTTCAGTTTGATTTCAGGCATTAAAATCACACTCAGCAGTTTTCTTTGCCGTTGGAGCTCCTCTTCATACACAGATGTTGCTGATCGTCCTGAGAGGTCTCCGTTAACAGCAGCGAGCAGCCGCCGGCTGAAGAAATCTTCAAGATCCTGAAACCTGGACATTTTCTACCGACCCAAGAGTCAAACAGAGACAAGACAACTGCAGATAGAAGCCTTAACTCGGGTTATTCTGATCCGGGGTCTTCAGGAAACTTCCCTCGTGGTTCTTCTTCTCTCTCTTTTGTTCGTAAGGGCGGTTGGCAACCAGGTCGAAGGTGCATTACCGCCATCTACTGGGCTGGAGTGTGACTGAGCAGTCGATTGGCAGACAGATTCAAGTCAAAATCAATCAATCAATCGGTCTTTATTTGTATCGCACTTTTCATACAAAAAGATGAAGCACAAAGTGTTTTACATAGTAGAGAAATAAAAGAAACAAAGAAAACCTGAATGTACCCCAACCCAACCCCTCATTCCCACCCCGCAATCTCAGCTCAATAGAAACATGTATAAAAATGCATGAACTTAAAAAGGGTTCGATTCATATAAACAGGAATGTGCGCACTGAGGAAACACCGTTTTAAAATTCAAGGTAAAGAAACACTGGAGGTTTAAAATCTAAAAACAAAGTAACATAAAATGAAATTTAAGAATTATTAAATAAAATGAAATAAAAACAAGAGTAAAAGATACGACAATAATAACACCAAAATATCTTAATCAAAGATGATTCTGTCATTAAAACTAGAAGAGATAAATGTTAAAACACTTCAACAAAGTTAATGATATAAAATTAAGATATTAAATTTAGTTGAAAGAAAGACTAAAAAGGTTTGTTTTCAGTTTGCTTTTAAAATCATTAAGATTAGGTGTAGTCCTCAGGTCATCAGGCAAGCTGTTCCACAGACGGGGGCCACAGGAATAAAAAGATGCCTCACCGTATGTCTTGGCTACTCTCTGAACTGTAAATAAATTTAGACCTTTAGATCCTGTCAAAGTTTCCGTTTCCTCTAATAACACGGTGAGAATCCTGAAACAAAAGCCACCAAGACTTCCTCTCCTGAAGGTTATTTTAGCTTTCTCTGCTGCTGCTTTCAGTATTTTCCTTTTGTCATCATACCTCCTGCATTCAATGAGAACACACTGTACTGATGAAGCTTCACTTTCCCTCCAACCTGGTTCTGTATGATCTACCAACAGAGTGGAAACTCAATGAGCTCATTTCATCGGATACTTTGAGGAGAACGCTGAAAGACCTGGAGGCAGACACATCCCAATGAACACGCTTTGATTCATTCTTCATTCTGGGTGATCCTGATGAACAGCTGCTGCTTCAGTTCTTGTGTGGAGGTTATGGACTACAGATAGTGTATTGTGTTGTGTTGTATGAGTATGACTGTTTTGATGTATGTTTGAAACTCTCTTGACCCGCCCCCCTAACAATCCTCAACAGTGTGGTGTCGACTGTGGACCTGTTCCGGCTCCTGGGATCCACTGTCTCCAGGGACCTGAAGTGGACCTCCCACATAGATTCTGTTTGTATGCAAAACTATGAACAGGAGAAGTTCATGTTCAGAACTTCATCTTTCCTTTTTTTTATTGAATGTATTTTCTTTTTCTTACAAAATGATCAGCTTTCTCTCTGAAGTTTGGTTGGTGTTGAAGTAAAGCATTAGGCGAACAGCCACCACACCAAACACTTTATGAAAAGGAAAAAAGGACGAGCACGCCTCTGTGAAGAGCCTAAAAGGAGTCCAACAGAAAAAAATCCACACAAAGAAAAATGATCATTGACCCTGAGACTATGTAGTTCCTGTGCTTGATCCGTTTCCACGTCCACAGACAACAACTCACTTCTTCTCGTTGGTGGGTGCTCAGTTCACCCCTCCACCGCTCCTCTGCTGATATATCAAAATTCTATGATAGAATCCTCTGAGATAGTTCACTCGCTCTAGCCTGTTAGTCTGCTATGATGTTATATAACATTAAGGGAGAGCAGAAATGATAAAACAGCAACAGAAGCTAAATACTGAAGAAACTGAACTACACTGACATTTTTGAACCATTGCTGTGTCTAAAATTTAAACCCTGTGACATACCATGTGACATTTCAGGGTATATTTATGGCTAAATTTTTTACCACACTCTGAGCAGCTAAAAGGTTTCTCTTTCCTGTGAGTTAACATGTGTTTAGTCAGATGTGCTTTTAGGGAACACCTTTTACCACACTCGGAGCAGCTGAAAGGTTTCTCTCCTGTATGAATTGCTCTGTGTCTGATCATATTCTGTTTGACTGAAAATCTTTTACCACACTCTGAGCAGCTGAAAGGTTTCTCTCCTGTATGAATTGCTCTGTGTCTGATCATATTCCGTTTGAATAAATATCTCATCCCACAGTCAGGGCAGCTGAAAGGTTTCTCTCCTGTGTGAATTAACATGTGATTGGTCATAGACTTTTTATCAAAATATTTTTTATCACACTCAGAGCAGCTGAAAGGTTTCTCTCCTGTGTGAACTAACATGTGATTGGTCAAAGAGCGTTTATTTTCATATTTTTTATCACACTCAGAGCAGCTGAAAGGTGTCCCTCCTGTGTGAATTAAAATGTGTGCTATTAGAGCCTTTCGAGATTTATATCTTTTACCACACTTAGAGCAGCTGAAAGGTTTTTCTCCTGTGTGAACTAACATGTGTGCTATTAGAGCCTTTCGAGATTTATATCTTTTACCACACTTAGAGCAGCTGAAAGGTTTTTCCCGTGTGAACTAACATGTGTCTGACCAGATTCTGTTTTTGTGTAAATCTTTTACCACAATCAGAACAACCGAAGGGTTTCTCTCCTGTGTGAAGTAACCTGTGTCTTGTCAGAGCGTGTTGATGGTTGAATCTTTTACCACACTCAGCGCAGCTGAAAGGTTTCTCTCCTGTGTGAACTAACATGTGCATGGTCAGATGGCTTTTAAGGAAGAATCTTTTACCACACTCAGAGCAGCTTAATGGTTTCTCTCCTGTGTGACCAAACATGTGCATGGTCAGATAGCTTTTTTGTGAAAATCTTTTCCCACAGTCAGAGCAGCTGAAAGGTTTCTCCCCAGCATGAATCAACATGTGTGTGGTCAGATGCTGTTTGAGTAAAAATCTTTTACTGCACTCAGAGCAGCTGAAAGGTTTCTTTCCTGTATGAATTGCTCTGTGTCTGGTCACATATTTTTTGTTTGAAAATCGTAAACCACAATCAGAGCAGCTGAAAGGTTTCTCTACTGTGTGAACCAACATGTGTCCTCTTAGAGCCTCTTGAGATTTGAATTTTTTACTGCACTCAGAGCAGCTGAAAGGTTTTTCCTCTGTGTGAACCAACATGTGTGTGGTCAGAGGGTGTTTAAGTGAAAATCTTCTACCGCACTCAGGGCAGCTGAAAGGTTTCTCTCCTGTGTGAACTACTCTGTGTCTGATCATATTCTGTTTTTGTGAAAAGCTTTTACCACAATCAGAGCAGCTGAAAGGTTTCTCTCCTGTGTGAACTAACATGTGTCTACTGAGAGCCTCTTGAGATTTAAATCTTTTACCACACTCAGAGCAGCTGTGAGATTTCATGACAGTTTTCTGTCCTCTTCTTTTCATTAATTTCCCAGAGTTTAATCCTGACTGATCCTCTCTGGTCTCCTTCCAATCATCATCATCCTCAGTCACAGAGGAGTCTTCTGACCTGTTATCACTCACAGGATTTGAGTTTCCAGCTGGTTCTGAAACTCCACAGATTTCTCCATCATCTCCTGTTTCCATCTTTTGAATTGGTTTTGGGTGAAGCTGTGGAGGCTGAGGTTTTTCTTCATCCTCTTCACTCTTCAAAATGACAACAGTGAATGGGAACATGGTGGCCTCAGCCTCCTCAAACCCTTGAAGCTGCTCTCCCTCCTGACTGCTCCAGAGTTCCTCCTCCTTAATGTGCATGTGCTTGGTGTCCTTTTGGTTTAGATCAGGGCTCCACTCCTGGAGCTCAAGAGGTTCCTCTTTAATCACTGACAGCTGCTGGACATCTGCAGGAAACACCAAAGTACAGAAAGACACATCAAGATAAGCTTGGCATCTATGTTGGAGCCAAACTTTGGATAGAGATTCTTGCTTTTAATTTTCAAACTCCCCTACAAGTTAAATTTAATCAACTCCTAATCAGACCAACCAGATTTTATTTTGGTGTTTTATTGAAGGAGAAGTTGTTTCAAGCACTCCCAAAAAACAGGCCAGAAACGCCTGCCCTGAAGCATCACATTGGGGTCATACAGTTTGTGTCGGTCAGAGAAGAACCAACTGATCAACTGGAGAAACTTTGTCATCATGGATTTTTTTGCACTTTGACTTTGAACACCACACATTGGAAAAACAAGTCATTATCACTTTTTTTATGATGTTTTGGAAACAGCCATAGTGATGGTCATTAGGAACAAGTGGGGCTTAGCCCCACCTCTTGTCATAAAAAAACTAAATGAATCTGTTATCAGCAGTTGTCAAAAAAATGATGAGACATGATGAGGCCTATTGCATGATAACTGCAGAGTCACCATTTGCATTTTCTTTTGGTTGCAAATGCAAATATATGTTTTTAATGATTGTAGAAGTCCTTCTCCTCCCGTTGGTGTCTGCAGAGAACTACAATGGCTGCAGGGTCAATGTTAGGCCAGCCACTCTCTCACAGCTGAGTGTGTATTATACATGGGAAAATTGAAATGAACACTCTCAGAGTGTTTGTCTGTTTACTGTACATCCGCCTAGAGAATTAAACATCATGCCTTTTTAAAGACTTGATTGGCTGATAATTCAAAGCAGTTTCGGTGATTTGCTGCTGTCATTGAAGCTGCTAAACTGCTAAAAGTCAGAAAACCATTTCTGGACAGGATACAGAAACTTTTAGTAATGCTGGCTAACTTTAAAGGTGAACGAGGCAGATTTTTAACTGTGGCACAGGTTTAAACCTTGACTCTACAAGAGAAATGTGGAAATAAAGCAGCTTGGACCACATCAGCTACAGGATATTATTATATTATTGTCACTCAAACTGCCTATAAGACAAACCACAGATTTACCGGAAGTGGTCCTCCAAGAAAAAGTGGCTAACTGTCAGCAGAGAATATTTTTTTTTCCCATGTTTGTTGTTTAGAGGAGAAGGTACTTGGTCCAGACGGGGATTGAAGGATTTGTGGGACTGTGTGATTTCTGAAAGATTGTTGACATTGAAGGAATTCATGAGTTAAGTTTGCTAAAGTGGTGTAAGCTTTTTTGATGCAAGGCGGCATAACCTAAGGGAAGCTCTGTGTCCTACTGGTAAGCTGTGCAGTTATTGGGAGACTTATTTTGAAAGGGGACTGTGCTTCCTGTTTTTGTAAATATAAGTAGAATGGCTTCTGTCTGTCTCACAGATCTTTTTAGCTTTTATTGTGCTGGGACGTTACTGTGGCAACAGATGAAAGGCACTGCCGACACAGAACAGGTGCTTGGTGACGTCATCCTTTCTGTAACCGAAATAATTACAGATAAGTGACGTTGCTGTTCTGTTTGTCAACAAGTATTGATCTTCAAAGGTCAGTGACGTTGCTGTTCTTTTTGTTCTTTTTGTTGTTTCTCATGTTGAGGAAGAAGAAGAAGGTGAACTAACCTGCTCTCTTCAGTTTGATTTCAGGCATTAAAATCACACTCAGCAGTTTTCTTTGCCGTTGGAGCTCCTCTTCATACACAGATGTTGCTGATCGTCCTGAGAGGTCTCCGTTAACAGCAGCGAGCAGCCGCCGGCTGAAGAAATCTTCAAGATCCTGAAACCTGGACATTTTCTACCGACCCAAGAGTCAAACAGAGACAAGACAACTGCAGATGGACGCCTTAACTCGGGTTATTCTGATAATGACTCCTCGGGAGAGTCCCTCCGTGCTCCGGACATGATTCTTCCGCTTCTTCTTTGGTGTTTTACGGCAGCCAGCGTCCATGGAGTTGCATTACCGCCACCTACTGGACTGGGATTTGGAACAGGAGTTTAGGGCAGAAAATAAAAGAGTCGTTTTAAAAAAGATCATTTTTTAAACTAATTCAGTGTCGTTAAAAAATTAGATTTTAGTCGTATTAATTTGCCAGCTGTCTTTCCTGATAGACCTTAAATTAAAACCTTTTTTTTGCTTTGACCTTGTCAAAGACTGAAATAAGTCATTTCTGTTGCTGGTAGACTTTGAAAACTGGAAATGATTTAATATTAAAATTGTGGGTGGAATAAAAATCTTATAAAGATATATAACAGAGTACAGAGGATATTTGAGGAAGTTGGATTATAATCTGGGTGTGGTGGTAAACTAACCATGACATGTTGGATTCATGTCATGTTGATGGTGTCAAAGAGGCGATGATAGAACTGTGTTGTTGTCAGAGAAGAAGAAAGTGGAACTGAACAGCATGAGGATTGGATAAAGTGATGCTTTAATCAGGTACCTAAACAACATCAAACATCCAATCCAGATAAAAACCCTTCAAGTGTAACTTTACATATATGTGGTCCAACTGTTCAATGATCATACCAACAAGACCACCTCTGAAAAGACATGGAAATGATGCATCTTTACATGAAGTCTCTTACAATGAGCCTGGCACAACCACCGATGTTACTCTCAGCAGTTCTGGACGGTCAGAAATGATGAATAATTCTTGATGCCATTCTCAGCCCCAGTCCATTCTTTGTGAATTTGTTTGTGGTCTCTGGTCCAGGTCCAATCATCCCGGTCCTCAGACTCAGGGTTGGAAGAGTCTCCTCCACAGTCTCTTGTTGTAATCCTCATTTTCTGACTTGTTCAGGTTCTCCATCCTTCCATCAGCTCCTGTTTCTTCATCCTCCTTCTCCCCTGATTAGTTTTGATGAAGCGCTGAAGTCTTTGAATAATCCTGAGACTGAGAGAATTTTTGTTCTCAGACGCTGCAGCTAAACAGTTTTCTTTATCCTCCCAGTGTGAACTAACATGTTTGAGGTCAGATATCTTTTATCACAATATTTGTTATCACACTCAGAGCAGCTGAAATGTTTCTTCTCTGTGTGACCTAACACGTGTTGGGCCAGAGATCTTTTATAACAATATTTTTTACCGCACTCAGAGCAGCTGAGAGGTTTCTCACCTGTGTGAACTAACATGTGTCTGTTGAGAGCATTATGAGATCTGAATCTTTTACAGCACTCAGAGCAGGTGAAAGGTTCCTCCCCCGTGTGAACAAACATGTGTTTGGCCAGAGACCTTTTATCAGAATATTTTTTATCACACTCAGAGCAGCTAAATGGTTTCTCCCCTGTGTGAACTAACATGTGTCTGCTGAGAGACCTTTTTTCAAAATATTTTTTGTCACACTCAGAGCAGCTGAAAGGTTCCTCCCCCGTGTGAACAAACATGTGTTTGGCCAGATCCCTTTTATCAGAATATTTTTTATCACACTCAGAGCAGCTAAATGGTTTCTCCCCTGTGTGAACTAACATGTGTCTGCTGAGAGACCTTTTTTCAAAATATTTTTTATCACACTCAGAGCAGCTAAATGGTTTTTCTCCTGTGTGAACTAACATGTGTCCCTTCAGATTCGTTTGACGGTTGAATCTTTTACCACACATAGGGCAACTGTACGGTTTCTCTCCTGTGTGAACTAACATGTGTCCCTTCAGATTCCTTTGACGGTTGAATCTTTTACCACACATAGGGCAACTGTACGGTTTCTTCTTTCTGTGAACTACCATGTGTCCTTTAAGATTCCACTGAGATTTGAATCTCTTACCGCACTCAGAGCAGCTGAAAGGTTTTTCCACTGTGTGAACTAACATGTGTCTGATGAGAGCCCCTGGAGCGTTAAATCTTTTACCACACTCAGAGCAGCTGTGAGATTTCATGACAGTTTTCTGTCCTCTTCTTTTCATTAATTTCCCAGAGTTTAATCCTGACTGAGCCTCACTGGTCTCCTTCCAATCATCATCATCCTCAGTCTCAGAGGAGTCTTCTGACCTGTTATCACTCACAGGATTTGAGTTTCCAGCTGGTTCTGAAACTCCACAGATTTCTCCATCATCTCCTGTTTCCATCTTTTGAATTGGTTTTGGGTGAAGCTGTGGAGGCTGAGGTTTTTCTTCATCCTCTTCACTCTTCACAATGGCAGCAGTGAATGGGAACATGGTGGCCTCAGCCTCCTCAAACCCTTGAAACTGCTCTCCCTCCTGACTGCTCCAGGGTTCCTCCTCCTTAATGTGCATGTGCTTGGTGTCCTTTTGGTTTAGATCAGGGCTCCACTCCTGGAGCTCAAGAGGTTCCTCTTTAATCACTGACAGCTGCTGGACACCTGCAGGAAACACCAAAGTACAGAAAGACACATCAAGATAAGCTTGGCATCTATGTTGGAGACAAACTTTGTCCTGTTGATGAAGTTAGGTGCTGTTCTGAGCATTATTTGTGGCTATAGAGTGGCGTTTTGGTTGAGCGCGTGGCTCTCTGTATTTCTATCCTGCGGTCGTTACTAAAGTTGGTATAACTAGAGAAGCAAGCGGTCGGAAACATTCATCTCTGGAGGGGGGGTGTCTAACTCGGTGTTATGGTGGGTTTGACCATAAATTAATTTTACACTGGAATATCCCTTTAAAGTTTGAGTTTTCAGTCACTGTAATGAGCTAACAACAGACAATAAAACTGATAAGATGAAGCTCCACCAAACACAAGAGACAGAAACTTTTAGTAATGCTGGCTAACTTTAAAGGTGAACGAGGCAGATTTTTAACTGTGGCACAGGTTTAAACCTTGACTCTACAAGAGAAATGTGGAAATAAAGCAGCTTGGACCCCATCAGCTACAGGATATTATTATATTATTGTCACTCAAACTGCCTATAAGACAAACCACAGATTTACTGGGAGTGGTCCTCCAAGAAAAAGTGGCTAACTGTCAGCAGAGAATATTTTTTTTTCCCATGTTTGTTGTTTAGAGGAGAAGGTACTTGGTCCAGACGGGGACTGAAGGATTTGTGGGACTGTGTGATTTCTGAAAGATTGTTGACATTGAAGGAATTCATGAGTTAAGTTTGCTAAAGTGGTGTAAGCTTTTTTGATGCAAGGCGGCATAACCTAAGGGAAGCTCTGTGTCCTACTGGTAAGCTGTGCAGTTATTGGGAGACTTATTTTGAAAGGGGACTGTGCTTCCTGTTTTTGTAAATATAAGTAGAATGGCTTCTGTCTGTCTCACAGATCTTTTTAGCTTTTATTGTGCTGGGACGTTACTGTGGCAACAGATGAAAGGCACTGCCGACACAGAACAGGTGTTTGGTGACGTCATCCTTTCTGTAACCGAAATAATTACCGATAAGTGACGTTGCTGTTCTTTTTACCAACAAGCATTGATCTTCAAAGGTCAGTGACGTTGCTGTTCTTTTTACCAACAAGTTTTAATCTTCAAAGGTCAGTGACGTTGCTGTTCTTTTTGTCAACAGGTTTTGATCTTCAAAGGTCAGTGACGTTGGTGTTCTGTTTGTCAACAAGTATTAATCTTCAAAGGTCAGTGACGTTGCTGTTCTTTTTGCTAACAATTCCTTTTCGGTGGTTTTCGCTTGTTCGTTTCTCATTTTTCAATCGTTGATGTTGTTTCCGGTGTTGTGCCGAGAAACACATGCCCGCCGAAGATTGCATGTAACTCGCAGAAACTCGCACCGCTTATAGTAGAGTGGTCCACGGAAAGGTACACTTTAAAACCCACACAGTTCCTATTTGTGGGGCTAAACAGTGATGAGGAATGTTCCCAAAGTCATTCTCAGCGGACGCGCGTTTCTCCGCACAACACCGGTAGCGCTAGCGACTAGCTCCTTGTGCAGGCCATTTTGGATGATCGTGGTTTCCTCCTTTCTGATTTTGATTTATGGCTGTCAGTGAGTCAAAAACTTGGCGGAATAAGGTTTGGATGTGAACCATAAATCTGTCTGACTTATGGTCCAGTGAGTTTGTTTGTTCTCAGCTCATTTGTGTTGGTTCGTGAAAGTGGGAAAGTGCATTCTAAATTTAGACTAGGGACAACAGACACTAAAACTGATCAGATGAAGCTCCACCAAACACGGAACAACGATCACAACATCCAATCCAGAGTTTCAATCCGGAAGAGGAAGAAGAAGGTGAACTAACCTGCTCTCTTCAGTTTGATTTCAGGCATTAAAATCACACTCAGCAGTTTTCTTTGCCGTTGGAGCTCCTCTTCATACACAGATGTTGCTGATCGTCCTGAGAGGTCTCCGTTAACAGCAGCGAGCAGCCGCCGGCTGAAGAAATCTTCAAGATCCTGAAACCTGGACATTTTCTACCGACCCAAGAGTCAAACAGAGACAAGACAACTGCAGATGGACGCCTTAACTCGGGTTATTCTGATCCGGGGTCTTCGGGAAACTTCCCTCGTGGTTCTTCTTCTCTTTCTTTTGTTCGTAAGGGCGGTTGGCAACCAGCTCGGAGGTGAATTACCGCCACCTACTGGGCTGGAGTGTGGCGCATTAAATGAATCAGGACAAACAGTAGAAAAGTATGTGCCTCTTCTTCTACATCTCCTCACTAACTCCAGAGTTAAACTCTGTGCAATAAGCCGCTCTCCCTCAAATACTCCATTAATGACTTGAATCCTTTTCCAGATGCTGACCCTGACAGATTCTCTACACTGAGATCCAGATTATCTGTGTCAAGTTGGTGACTAACGTGTTTCCTTTTGTCTGTGTGTGTTTAACACAGTCAGTGAGTTCATGTTTGACTGTTTCTGCTGTCTTACAGGAATCACAGTCCGCTTTAATACAGGCTCTGATTGAGTCCTGTAGGTCCAATTCAGGGCGAAGGTGGAGGAGGGATCCAAACTGAGGTGTGGATACGACGAGAAGAAGAAGAAGAAGAAGAAGAAGAAGAGGAAGAAAAGGAGACTGAAAGAGGGAGGGAGTAGGACAGAAGTGAGAGTGCAGGTTAGTGACATGTTCAGGTGTTTGTTGTCTGTCCCTGCTGTTGTAAGATAAGATAAGAACTTTATTGATCCCTGAAGAGAAATCCAACTGTCTGTTGTCTCACATAATTAGTCTCTAAAAAGTTTTCTATTATTTACAGAAGAGTTATAAAGTCTGTTGGTCCAAAGATCTTCTGAATCTTTCTGTCCTGCAGTGAAGAGAGAGGAGCAGTCCACCACCATTGGTCCTTTGGTCCATCAAGGTGTCATGAAGTGGGTGATCCATGTTCTTTAGAATAGTCTCCACCTTCCTCAGTGTAGATCTCTCCACCACATCCTCCACAGAGCCAGCCTTTTTCACCAGTTTGTTCAGACGTCTTCATCTTTGTGTTTGATACTTCCTCCCCAGCAGACTGCAGTGTAGAACAGAACACTGTAGATCTACACCACAGACTGATCAAACATCTGCAGCATCTAACTACAGATGTCTATTGATCAGAGTCTTCTCAGGCAAAAGAGGCGGCTCTGCCCCTCTCTGTAGATGAAGTCAATATTCTTAGACCAGTCCAACTTATTATCCAGATGTACACCTTGATATTTGTCACCACTTCGATGTCCACAGGTGTTCACTGGCTGAAGAGGGGGTTTGGATCTATGGAAGTCTATGATCATCTCCTTTGTCTTTGAGGTGTTGAGGAGGAGGCAGTTATTCTGACTCCAGCGTTTGTTGTTGGGGAAACAGCGAACAGTTTTTGTGGGTATGACTGTGTCTCTACAAAAGTTGACACATTCAGTGAAGCAGTCAACCTGTTTATCAATGTTCATCCTGTGTTGTGTGTTAATCCTCATTTTCTGACTTGTTCAGGTTCTCCATCCTTCCATCAGCTCCTGTTTCTTCATCCTCCTTCTCCCCTGATTAGTTTTGATGAAGCGCTGAAGTCTTTGAATAATCCTGAGACTGAGAGAATTTTTGTTCTCAGACGCTGCAGCTAAACAGTTTTCTTTTTCCCTCATGTTAACAAACATGTGTGAGGTCAGATACGTTTAACAATTAACCCTGGTACTGCACTCAGAGCAGCTGAAAGGTTTCTCTCCTGTGTGAAGTACTTTGTGTCTGATCATTTTCTGTTTGTCTGAAAACCTTTTACCATCCTCAGATAGGGATGGGAATCGAGAACCAGCTCTTGTTGATAACCGGTTCCAAATGGTTCAATCCATTGACATCATTTACATTTTATCTTTACAATTCCTTTCTTCCAGGTGCCTTTAAAAATGGTCTCGCAAGTGCCAGTCGATGCAATTGGAAACAGAGACAGAGGAAAAAACATGGCGGACGGTTGAAAAGTCGGCAGAAACGAGCTAAAGTGTGGCTTAATTTTACTAAGAAAGACGACAATGGTGCAACATTTGTCGAGCAGTGAGAAAATACAAAGGTGGGAACACCAACAACATGCTTCAACATTTGTCAGCGAGGCACGGCATCAAATATAAGGAGTCACATGTATTCGATGCTCTCCGCCAGTGTTACACCATAGAATGTATCCCCTCCACTCATGAGCTTCTTAAAGTGGAAGAAAATGATCTAATATTTAAAAAACACGAGTATTGGATCATGAAAACATGTCAAATGGAGCAGCAAACTTTGTTCTGTTTTCATGTGTCTCTAAAATGCACATATAGAGGTGAACTTGGGTTTATAAACTCTACAGTAAACTGTCAAAGTAGAGAACTTTAAATATTCAGAATCAGAGGGCTGTTGTTTTCTGCTTATCTGAATAGCCTGATTGAAATCATTAAAGGCACACGCTTTAAAATCCGCCCAACGTTAATGTTGAGGAAAACTTGGATTATTTCACCTTGTTATGTACTTTCAACCGCGCTCCCGTCAGGGGTGCATTCTACAACACAACACCTGTTGAACACCTGTCATCAGCCGCCGCTGCCCCGTCTCAGCACGGCATTGAGGGTATATATGATAGGGTGACCACATGTCCTCTTTTACCCGGACATATCCTCTTTTTGGGGGGCTGTCCGGGGGAGTTTATAAAATCCTTTAAATGTCCTGAACGTGTTTTCATTCATTATAAAACAGTGTAGAGGATCAGTGCTGTCTGCAGCTCCGCCCCTCCACTCACTTCTAAGCAAGGCCACTGATGCGTCGCATGCGCTGTCTTTGGGAATTCAGAATATGCCTTTAACTGATTTAGAGCCCTGCATAGTAGTGTCCTCTTGTTGAGTATTCAGAATATGGTCACCCTAACATATGTCCTGTGTTAACATAAGCATAATGCATGCCAGAAACGCTGTACAAAAGGCATTTTTGTTTGATTGTTTTAGACATACTAAAGGTGGCATACATCTTTTTCTGTTATCAGAAAACTTTGAGTTAACTGTGAAAACCTATAGCCTTTTTTTATATTGATCAAAGAAGGCATTGATAAGGGAATGGTTAAAGAATTTAATCAATAAGCAGAATCAATAATTGCATCAATATTGATAAAATCTTATCAATTCCCATCCCTACACTCAGAGCAGCTGAAAGGTTTCTCTCCTGAATGAACTGCTCTGTGTCTGATCATATTTGGTTTTTTTGAAAATCTTTTACCACAATCAGAGCAGCTGAAAGGTTTCTCCCCTCTGTGAGAGACCATGTGTCCTTTTAGAGCCTCTTGAGATTTAAATCTTTTACCACACTCAGAGCAGCTGAAAGGTTTCTCTCCTGTGTGAACTAACATGTGTCTGGTCAGATACTGTTTAAGTGAAAATCTTCTACCACACTCAGAGCAGGTGAAAGGTTTCTCCCCTGTGTGAACTACTATGTGTCTTTTCAGAGCCCGTTGATAGTTGAATTTTTTTTTGCACTCAGAGCAGCTGAAGGGTTTCTCTCCTGTATGCATTAACATGTGTCTGTTGAGAACCTCTTGAGATTTGAATCTTTTACTGCACTCAGAGCAGCTGAAGGGTCTCTCCCCTGTATGGACTAAAATGTGTTGGGCCAGAGATCTTTTATCATAGAATTTTTTGCCACACTCAGAGAAGTTGAAAACATTCTCCCCTGTGTGGACTGTTACGTTTGTGAGCAAATCTCTCTTTTGTGGATATCCTTCACCCCATTCAGAACAACTGTAGGGTTTCTCTCCTGTATGAACTGCTCTGTGTCTGATCATATTCTGTTTGACTGAAAATCTTTTCCCACAGTCAGAGCACCTGAAAGGTTTCTCCCCTGTGTGAATCAACATGTGTCTGATCAGATGCTGTTTTTGTGAAAATCTTTTACCGCACTCAGAGCAGCTGAAAGGTTTCTCTCCTGAATGAACTGCTCTGTGTCTGATCATATTCTGTTTGTCTAAAAATCTTATACCACAGTCTGAGCAGCTGAAAGGTTTCTCCCCAGTGTGAACCAACATGTATCCTCTTAGAGCCTCTTGAGATTTGAATCTTTTACTGCACTCAGAGCAGCCAAAGGGTTTTTCCACTGTATGAACTAACATGTGTCTGGTCAGATGTTGTTTAAGAGAAAATCTTCTACTGCAGTCAGAGCAGCTGAAAGGTTTCTCTCCTGTGTGAACCAACATGTGTATTTTCAAAGCCTGTTGACAGTTGAAGCTTTTACCACACTCTGAGCAGCTGTGAGATTTCTTTACAGTTTTCTGTCCTCTTCTTTTCATTAATTTCCCAGAGTTTAATCCTGACTGATCCTCTCTGGTCTCCTTCCAATCATCATCATCATCAGTCTCAGAGGAGTCTTCTGACCTGTTATCACTCACAGGATTTGAGTTTCCAGCTGGTTCTGAAACTCCACAGATTTCTCCATCATCAATCTCAATCTGCCTCGTTCACCTTTAGTAATGCTGGCTAACTTTAAAGGTGAACGAGGCAGATTTTTAACTGTGGCACAGGTTTAAACCTTGAGTCTACAAGAGAAATGTGGAAATAAAGCAGCTTGGACCCCATCAGCTACAGGATATTATTATATTATTGTCACTCAAACTGCCTATAAGACAAACCACAGATTTACCGGAAGTGGTCCTCCAAGAAAAAGTGGCTAACTGTCAGCAGAGAATATTTTTTTTTCCCATGTTTGTTGTTTAGAGGAGAAGGTACTTGGTCCAGACGGGGATTGAAGGATTTGTGGGACTGTGTGATTTCTGAAAGATTGTTGACATTGAAGGAATTCATGAGTTTAGTTTGCTAAAGTGGTGTAAGCTTTTTTGATGCAAGGCGGCATAACCTAAGGGAAGCTCTGTGTCCTACTGGTAAGCTGTGCAGTTATTGGGAGACTTATTTTGAAAGGGGACAGTGCTTCCTGTTTTTGTAAATATAAGTAGAATGGCTTCTGTCTGTCTCAGAGATCTTTTTAGCTTTTATTGTGCTGGGACGTTACTGTGGCGACAGATGAAAGGCATTGCCGACACAGAACAGGTGCTTGGTGACGTCATCCTTTCTGTAACAGAAATAATTACAGATAAGTGACGTTGGTGTTCTGTTTGTCAACAAGTATTGATCTTCAAAGGTCAGTGACGTTGCTGTTCTGTTTGTCAACAGGTTTTGATCTTCGGTGGTTTTCTCTTGTTCGTTTCTCATGTTGAAGAAGAAGAAGAAGGTGAACTAACCTGCTCTCTTCAGTTTGATTTCAGGCATTAAAATCACACTCAGCAGTTTTCTTTGCCGTTGGAGCTCCTCTTCATACACAGATGTTGCTGATCGTCCTGAGAGGTCTCCGTTAACAGCAGCGAGCAGCCGCCGGCTGAAGAAATCTTCAAGATCCTGAAACCTGGACATTTTCTACCGACCCAAGAGTCAAACAGAGACAAGACAACTGCAGATGGACGCCTTAACTCGGGTTATCCTGCTAATGACTCCTCGGGAGAGTCCCTCCGTGCTCCGGACATGATTCTTCCGCTTCCTCTTTGGTGTTTTACGGCAGCCAGCATCCATGGAGTTGCATTACCGCCACCTACTGGACTGGGATTTGGAACAGGAGTTTAGGGCAGAAAATAAAAGAGTAGTTTTAAAAAAGATCATTTTTTAAACTAATTCAGTGTCGTTAAAAAATTAGATTTTAGTCGTGTTAATTTGCCAGCTGTCTTTCCTGATAGACCTTCAATTAAATCGTTTTTCTGCTTTGACCTTGTCAAAGACTGAAATAAGTCATTTCTGTTGCTGGTACACTTTGAAAACTGGAAATGATTTAATATTAAAATTGTGGGTGGAATAAAAATCTTATAAAGACATAAAACAGAGTACAAAGGATATTTGAGGAAGTTGGATTATAATCTGGGTGTGGTGGTAAACTAACCATGACATGTTGGATTCATGTCATGTTGATGGTGTCAAAGAGGCGATGATAGAACTGTGTTGTTGTCAGAGAAGAAGAAAGTGGAACTGAACAGCATGAGGATTGGATAAAGTGATGCTTTAATCAGGTACCTAAACAACATCAAACATCCAAGCCAGATAAAAACCCTTCAAGTGTAACTTTACATATATGTGGTCCAACTGTTCAATGATCATACCAACAAGACCACCTCTGAAAAGACATGGAAATGATGCATCTTTACATGAAGTCTCTTACAATGAGCCTTGCACAACCACTGATGTTACTCTCAGCAGTTCTGGACGGTCAGAAATGATGAATAATTCTTGATGCCATTCTCAGCCCCAGTCCATTCTTTGTGAATTTGTTTGTGGTCTCTGGTCCAGGTCCAATCATCCCGGTCCTCAGACTCAGGGTTGGAAGAGTCTCCTCCACAGTCTCTTGTTGTAATCCTCATTTTCTGACTTGTTCAGGTTCTCCATCCTTCCATCAGCTCCTGTTTCTTCATCCTCCTTCTCCCCTGATTAGTTTTGATGAAGCGCTGAAGTCTTTAAATAATCCTGAGACTGAGAGAATTTTTGTTCTCAGACGCTGCAGCTAAACAGTTTTCTTTATCCTCCCTGTGTGAACTAACATGTGTGAGGTCAGATATCTTCTATCACAATATTTGTTACCACACTAAGAGCAGCTGAAAGGTTTCTCCCTTGTGTGAATTAACATGTGTCTGATCAGATGCTGTTTTCGTGAAAATCTTTTACCACAATCAGAGCAGCTGAAAGGTTTCTCCCCTGCGTGAACTAACATGTGTGAGGTCAGTTGCATTTCACAGTAAAACCTTTTACTGCACTCAGAGCAGCTGAAGGGTTTCTGTCCTCTGTGATACACCATGTGAGCTGTCAGCTGATATTTATGGCTAAATTTTTTACCACACTCAGAGCAGCTGAAAGGTTTCTCTCCACTGTGCATGGACATGTGTGAATTCAGATGTGTGTTGCGGTAAAACCTTTTACCGCACTCAGAGCAGCTGAAGGGTTTCTCTCCACTGTGGATGAGCAGGTGTGAGGTCAGATGAGCTTGTTGTCTAAAACCTTTACTGCATTCAGAGCAGACATACGGTCTCTCTCCTGTGTGAACTAGCACATGTCTGGTCAAAGATCTTTGATCATAATATTCATTACCACACTCAGAGCAGCTGAAGGGCTTCTTCCCTCTGTGAAACACCATGTGAGCTTTCAAGTTAAATTTTTTGCTAAATTTTTTACCACATTCAGAGCAACTAAAAGGTTTCTCTCCTCTGTGATTTGCCAGGTGACATGTCAGATCAACTTTTTGTATAAATCTTTTATCACAATCAGAACAAGCGAAGAGTCTCTTCCCTGTGTGAACTAACATGTGTCTGGCCAGATGCTGTTTTTGTGAAAAACTTTTACCGCACTCAGAGCAGCTGAGAGGTTTCTCACCTGTGTGAACTAACATGTGTCTGTTGAGAGCATTATGAGATCTGAATCTTTTACAGCACTCAGAGCAGCTGAAAGGTTCCTCCCCCGTGTGAACAAACATGTGTTTGGCCAGAGACCTTTTATCAGAATATTTTTTATCACACTCAGAGCAGCTAAATGGTTTCTCCCCTGTGTGAATTAACATGTGTCTGCTGAGAGACCTTTTTTCAAAATATTTTTTGTCACACTCAGAGCAGCTAAATGGTTTTTCTCCTGTGTGAACTAACATGTGTCCCTTCAGATTCGTTTGACGGTTGAATCTTTTACCACACATAGGGCAACTGTACGGTTTCTCTCCTGTGTGAACTAACATGTGTCCCTTCAGATACCTTTGGTGGTTGAATCTTTTACCACACATAGGGCAACTGTACAGTTTCTCCTTTCTGTGAACTACCATGTGTCCTTTAAGATTCCACTGAGATTTGAATCTCTTACCGCACTCAGAGCAGCTGAAAGGTTTTTCCACTGTGTGAACTAACATGTGTCTGCTGAGAGACCTTTTTTCAAAATATTTTTTATCACACTCAGAGCAGCTGAAAGGTTTTTCCACTGTGTGAACTAACATGTGTCTGGTCAGATGGTGTTTTTGTAAAAATCTTCTACCACACTTGGAGCAGCTGAAAGGTTTCTCTCCTGTGTGAACTACCATGTGTAGTTTCAGAGCCGGTTGATAATTGAATTGTTTACTACACTCAGAGCAGCTGAAAGGTTTCCTCTCTGTGTGAACTATTTTGTGTCTGGTCAGATACAGTTTTTTTGAAAACGATTTATCGCATTCAGAGCAGCTGAAAGGTTTCTCCTCTTTGTGAACTAACATGTGTCTACTGAGAGCCTCTTGAGATTTGAATCTTTTACCACACTCAGAGCAGCTGAAAGGTTTCTCCATTGTGTGAACCAACATGTGTCTGATGAGAGCCCCTGGAGCGTTAAATCTTTTACCACACTCAGAGCAGCTGTGAGATTTCTTGACAGTTTTCTGTCCTCTTCTTTTCATTAATTTCCCAGAGTTTAATCCTGACTGATCCTCTCTGGTCTCCTTCCAATCATCATCATCCTCAGTCTCAGAGGAGTCTTCTGACCTGTTATCACTCACAGGATATGAGTTTCCAGCTGGTTCTGAAACTCCACAGATTTCTCCATCATCTCCTGTTTCCATCTTTTGAATTGGTTTTGGGTGAAGCTGTGGAGGCTGAGGTTTTTCTTCATCCTCTTCACTCTTCACAATGACAACAGTGAATGGGAACATGGTGGCCTCAGCCTCCTCAAACCCTTGAAGCTGCTCTCCCTCCTGACTGCTCCAGAGTTCCTCCTCCTTAATGTGCATGTGCTCGGTGTCCTTTTGGTTTAGATCAGGGCTCCACTCCTGGAGCTCAAGAGGTTCCTCTTTAATCACTGACAGCTGCTGGACATCTGCAGAAACACCAAAGTACAGAAAGACACATCAAGATAAGCTTGGCATCTTTGTTGGAGCCAAACTTTGTCCTGTTGATGAAGTTAGGTGCTGTTCTGAGCATTATTTGTGGCTATAGAGTGGCGTTTTGGTTGAGCGCGTGGCTCTCTGTATTTCTATCCTGCGGTTGTTACTAAAGTTGGTATAACTAGAGAAGCAAGCGGTCGACAACATTCATCTCTGGAGGGGGGGTGTCTAACTCGGTGTTATGGTGGGTTTGACCATAAATTAATTTTACACTGGAATATCCCTTTAAAGTTTGAGTTTTCAGTCACTGTAATGAGCTAACAACAGACAATAAAACTGATAAGATGAAGCTCCACCAAACACAAGAGACAGAAACTTTTAGTAATGCTGGCTAACTTTAAAGGTGAACGAGGCAGATTTTTAACTGTGGCACAGGTTTAAACCTTGACTCTACAAGAGAAATGTGGAAATAAAGCAGCTTGGACCCCATCAGCTACAGGATATTATTATATTATTGTCACTCAAACTGCCTATAAGACAAACCACAGATTTACTGGGAGTGGTCCTCCAAGAAAAAGTGGCTAACTGTCAGCAGAGAATAATTTATTTTTCCCCTGTTTGTTGTTTAGAGGAGAAGGTACTTGGTCCAGACGGGGACTGAAGGATTTGTGGGTCTGTGTGATTTCTGAAAGATTGTTGACATTGAAGGAATTCATGAGTTTAGTTTGCTAAAGTGGTGTAAGCTTTTTTGATGCAAGGCGGCATAACCTAAGGGAAGCTCTGTGTCCTACTGGTAAGCTGTGCAGTTATTGGGAGACTTATTTTGAAAGGGGACTGTGCTTCCTGTTTTTGTAAATATAAGTAGAATGGCTTCTGTCTGTCTCAGAGATCTTTTTAGCTTTTATTGTGCTGGGACGTTACTGTGGCAACAGATGAAAGGCACTGCCGACACGGAACAGGTGTTTGGTGACGTCATCCTTTCTGTAACCGAAATAATTACAGATAAGTGACGTTGGTGTTCTGTTTGTCAACAAGTATTAATCTTCAAAGGTCAGTGACGTTGCTGTTCTGTTTGTCAACAGGTTTTGATCTTCGGTGGTTTTCTCTTGTTCGTTTCTCATGTTGAAGAAGAAGAAGAAGAAGGTGAACTAACCTGCTCTCTTCAGTTTGATTTCAGGCATTAAAATCACACTCAGCAGTTTTCTTTGCCGTTGGAGCTCCTCTTCATACACAGATGTTGCTGATCGTCCTGAGAGGTCTCCGTTAACAGCAGCGAGCAGCCGCCGGCTGAAGAAATCTTCAAGATCCTGAAACCTGGACATTTTCTACCGACCCAAGAGTCAAACAGAGACAAGACAACTGCAGATAGACGCCTTAACTCGGGTTATCCTGCTAATGACTCCTCGGGAGAGTCCCTCCGTGCTCCGGACATGATTCTTCCTTCTTCTTCTTCTTCTTCTTCTAGTTTAACGGCAGTTGGCACTCTTGTGTACGGTGCATTACCGCCCTCTTCTGGCAATTCTAATGCAAAACCCTGTGCACCACCCATTCCCATCTCATTCACTCACACTTTCATACTCCTACTGACTAAATCCTATCAATCAACCCCGTCACCCTTAAAAACTCGACTAACACTCTCACATGTGCCCTGTCCCCCATCTGTAATACTCCCTTTAGTGTAAGGTCCTGCATACCCAATTCCCTCAACTTACTTCTCATCTCTCCCCTTTCCATCTCATATCTCCTACAACCCATTAGTACATGCTCCACTGACTCCTCCACCTGACATCCCTCACATAACCCAGTCTGGTGTTTCCCTATCATTTTCAGTGTTTTGTTTAATGCGCAATGACCCAACCTCAACCTTATCAATGCTGACCCTTCCTTTCTCTGTCCACTACCCAACCTCCTAACTTTAACACTCTCTTGAATCTTATAAAGATGCCTTCCTCTCTTCTCACCCTCCCATTTCTTCTGCCACATTTGAATAAGCTTTTCCCATATCATACTCTTAACTTCCGCTTTACTTAACCTAACATTCAGCTCCACTGATTCCTTCCCTAACGCCTCCTTAGCCATCACGTCTGCCTTCTCATTTCCTTCCACCCCTATATGTGCTGGAACCCATAAAAAACTGATCTGGCCCCCCTGCTGTACTATTCTTGTTACTGACTGTAATATTTCATATAATAAACCCTGACGGCTGCTTGAATGGAATGATCTAATGCTAGTTAAAACTGATGCTGAATCCGTGCATATAACTACCCTCTTTACTCTAACTTTTTCCACCCATTTCAGTGCAATCATCACCCCCAACATCTCCACTGTGTTTACCGCTAGACCGTCTGATGTCCTTCTATTGATTTCAATTCCTCTTGATGGCACCACTACCCCTAATCCTGTCACCCCCATCTCAGGTTGTTTTGCCCCATCCGTGTATACCTGAACAAATCCGCTATATTCTTCCCTCAGGCGCTGATTAACTACGCTGACCAAGCTTACCTGTCCTCCCTCTTTCCTTTTCTTTCCCATTACACTCCAATCCACTGTTGGCCATATCATTCTCCATGGTGGCATTGCTGGATACACTATTGTTAGGTCTACCTCCATCTCCCCCACCCCAAGCTCTGCTGTTATTCTATTCCCCATCCTACCAAAATGCTCCCTCTTACCTTTCCCCTCCTCCCAACACTCCTCTATCACTCCTTTTGTGGGGTGGGTACCACTGCTGCCCTTTAAACTAACCCAGTAGTTTGCTATGAGATGTTTGCGCCTCAGGCATAGCGGCATCTCACCCAACTCCACCTGTACTGCAGGCACTGGTGACGTCCGGAAGGCCCCACTACAGATCCTTAATGCACTTGTCTGGATCGTATCTAGCTTTCCTAAAAGGGACTTTGCTGCTGATCCATAAACTATACACCCATAATCTATAACTGACCTAATCATAGCTACATATACTGTTTTTAATGCATCACAGCTCGCCCCCCATTCTCTGCCTGCAAGACACCTCATCACATTCAACACTTTCCTGCACTTACCCTCTACCCGCTTGATATGATCTGCCCAGGTTAACCTCTTATCAAATACCACCCCCAAATACTTAAATGCCTCAACCCTCTCCAGCTGCCTACCATACATACTCAATGACACATCTACTCCCACCCTCTTCCCGGTAAAAACTATAGTTTGAGTCTTCTCTACTGAAAACCTACACCCCCAATCTAATCCCCACTCTGTCACCCCATCAATCGCTGTCTGCACCTTAGTGACTAAATGTTTGGTGTTCCTCCCTCTCTTCCACAGTGCTCCGTCATCTGCGAACAGTGAGCTTCCTATAGCTGCTGGTACCTCTGAAAAAACATCATTAATCATGATAAGAAACAATAGTGGGCTAACTACGCTCCCCTGGGGAGTGCCGTTCCTTACTTCATATTTACTAGATATCTCTGACCCTATTCTAACTTGAATCTTCCTATCATTCAAAAAGTCCTTTACCTAATTAAAAACTCTGCCCCCAATCCCCATCCCCTGCAACTTAATCAGTAATCCTTCCTTCCACATCATGTCATATGCCTTCTCTATATCAAAAAACACTACCACTACAGATTCCTTATTTGCCTGCGCCTTCCTCACCTCACTTTCTAGTCTCACCACTGCGTCCATTGTGTTCCTACCTTTTCTAAATCCGCTTTGGCATCTCGCCAGCGTACCTCTCTTTTCAAGCACATATGTCAATCTCTCTGTTACCATTCTTTCCATAATTTTACAAATGTTCGAAGTCAAAGCTATTGGCCTGTAGCTAGAAGGAGAGCATGGGTCCTTACCTGGCTTCCTGATCGGTACTACCTCTGCTTCCTTCCATACACTCGGTATCCTTCCCTCCTCCCATACCTTATTATACAATTCTAACATCCTGTTCTTCCCCTTTTCCCCTAAATTTTTCAGCATTACATAGCTTACCTGATCTCCCCCTGGAGCTGTAGGCTTTGCCTTCCTAACCGCTCTCACAAGCTCTGCCATAGTAAATCTGGTGTCTATCTCCCCCCCTGAATCCGTCCTCCTGTCTAGAGCACCTGGATATCTACTCTGAGTCATCTCTCTTCTCCTCTTCCCCTCCATTGTCAGATTGTCTACACCATGCACCTTTGCAAATGCCCTGGCTATCATCTCAGCCTTTTCCTTATCATTTACTGCTGTCTCTCCTTCCTCTGTAATTACAGGATATTCCCACTCCCTCCTGTCCCCTCCCATCTTCCTTATCATACCCCATACTTCTCCTACTGGTGTTGTTCTCCCTATACCATTACAAAACTGTCTCCAACTCTCCCTCTTTGTGCGTCGAACTACTCTCCTCACCAATGCTTGTGCTCTCTGATATTCTAACAGACTTGCCATAGTATGGTTTTGTTTAATCTTTCTGAATGCTTTATTTCGGGCTTTCACTGCCTTGCTACACTCCTCTGACCACCATGGAACTAACTTCCTGGTCCTCCCATTTCTGCTCCTCGGAATAGCTTGAGTTGCTGCTGTGATTATTGCTGTTGTAACACTATTGTTGACTTCTTCCACATCCCTGTTTGTATCAACTGCCTCCAGTAGACCCTCACTCACCTCCCTAAATTTATTCCACTCTGCTTTACTGTACACCCATTTCCGGAGCCCCCTACCCGCCCCCACCTCCACTCTTCCCCCTACTGTACACATGATTAAATAATGATCACTACCTAGCGACTTTCCTGACAACACTTCCCATTTACTGACTCCTGCCAAACTTGCTGATACCAATGTAATATCTATAGCTGACTCATTTCCTGTTCTGACATCTATTCTAGTCCCTCTCCCATCATTTAAACATACTAATTCCCTCTCCTCCATTAGCTCCTCAACTACCCTACCATCTACATCTGTGTGTTTCCCACCCCACAAAGTGTTATGTGCATTAAAGTCTGCGCACCAGATAACCTTTCGTCTATCAACCCCTTTTATCCTAACTAACCTATCCAATATTAACCTCCCCCCTGGATTATAGTAGTTAACTATAACCACCGCCTCCCCTCCCTCCCACAACTCTACCACTATATATTCCTGCTCTTCCCCACTTTCTATCAACCTATAAGAAATACCCTGCCTAATAAATATTGCGCACCCTCCCCTTGCTTCTTCTTCACTCCTATCCCTCCTGATTGTCATATACCCACTAACCTTAAAATCTAAGCTAGGTTTCAAAAAGTTTCCTGAACACAAACTACGTCTGGCTGTATCTTCATCTTCCTTATATGGTGTTTCATCTCCTGTCCATTAGCCATCAGGCTCCTAGCATTCCACTGCAGCACCCGAACCATGAGCATGAGGTGACTTTCCTACCTCCTGGCTTCGACTCTGGTTCTTAATCTCCGCCTCTATCTCCTCCCACTTTAGTCCTTCCATCCCCAGATGATCAGCTGCTGCCTTCACAATATATTGTATATTGGTGGTCTTAGATGTAGACTTGCTTGTTGAGTTGATAGCTGCCACAATAAATACTATTAACTGCCTTTTGTCTATCCCTATCCTATCCTGATCTGACTGCTCTCTCCCCAACCCCCAAGTCCCCTTTCTTCCACCACCCCCTGTCTCCTCTACTCCCTGTGACCTTTCCTCCCTCTGTCTTACCATCTTTGCTGCCTCTGCATAACTTATCTTATCTAGCACCCTGATTTTCTGAACTTCTGCCTCCCGCTTCATAACTGGACAACCCCCAAACGTGACACTATGTTCCCCCCCACAGCTACAGCATCTTGGCTTGGTACCCTCCCCACATTTCCCATACTCATGGTCCCCAGTGCACCTCGCACATCTCCTGTTCTCCTTACAATATCTTGCAATGTGGCCAAATGACTGACACTTGTAACACCTCATCGGCTTCGGTATAAATGCCCTCACAAAATAGCTAATGTACTCTAGGTACACTTTATCTGGGATTACCTCTCCTTCAAATTCTACCAACACTGTCTCAGTTGTCTTCTTTTCTGGACCCCTTGTCATTCTTTTAACATTGGCAATTCCCGTGCCCCTAGCACGTAGCTTCTCCTTCAACTCCTCATCCCCTACCTCGATAGGAATCCCAGTAATCACTCCCTTACATCTTCTCCCCTGCACTCCAACCCGCACTACCCTCACCACTCTACTCTCACCCACCTTAGTTAACTTCCTCACCAAGGCTTCCTGGACATCACTTGAACATTCCACAATCAAATTGCCATCTCCCAAAACCCTCGCATACTTCAGCTCTCCGCACTTCCCTGTCAGTTCCCTTGTCAGCTTAAACGGATTCATTTTCCCTATCCCACCTCCCTCAGCAAACCGTATAACCAACCCTAGTTCCTTCCTCCCTGCTCTCTCCCTCAGAACTAAAACTCTCCATGTCTTCTTCGTTCGATGAATTTTGACTGTTCGTTCTTGGTCTCTTTCCTTCTCTCCCCTGTCCCCCATCCCCTTTCCCTACACTTCCATCCTCCCTCCCAGCCCTAGACCCCCTCCTACCCCTACCTTTCATCCCTATCCACTAAGGTTATAGAAAAGAAAGAAATAAAGAAAGAAAGAAATAAAGAAAGCAAGGTAACGGGCACCGGTCCGGACCTATACAGGCCGTCGGTCGATACCCGTCCCCGGAAACCCTAACGTTATTTTAATCTGACCGATTATCTAATTCACCCAGCTAAATCTCAGACGTAACTTTGCTTTATCCTCCGAAGTACATTCATACACTCCAGTCACTTCAATTCTCGCGCCCACACCGAACCACGATGACGATCCGCCAAAATCTACTTCCTCTCGAGGTCCTTCTCATCATGGGCGCCCAGTGATGACGTCCCATGATTCTTCCGCTTCCTCTTTGGTGTTTTACGGCAGCCAGCATCCATGGAGTTGCATTACCGCCACCTACTGGACTGGGATTTGGAACAGGAGTTTAGGGCAGAAAATAAAAGAGTAGTTTTAAAAAAGATCATTTTTTAAACTAATTTAGTGTCGATCAAAAATTATATTTTAGTCGTATTAATTTCCCAGCTGTCTTTCCTGATAGACCTTAAATTAAAATGTTTTTATGCTTTGACCTTGTCAAAGACTGAAATAAGTCATTTCTGTTGCTGGTACACTTTGAAAACTGGAAATGATTTAATATTAAAATTGTGGGTGGAATAAAAATCTTATAAAGACATAAAACAGAGTACAGAGGATATTTGAGGAAGTTGGATTATAATCTGGGTGTGGTGGTAAACTAACCATGACATGTTGGATTCATGTCATGTTGATGGTGTCAAAGAGGCGATGATAGAACTGTGTTGTTGTCAGAGAAGAAGAAAGTGGAACTGAACAGCATAAGGATTGGATAAAGTGATGCTTTAATCAGGTACCTAAACAACATCAAACATCCAATCCAGATAAAAACCCTTCAAGTGTAACTTTACATACACTCACCGGCCACTTTATTAGGTACACCTGTCCAACTGCTCGTTAACACTTAATTTCTAATCAGCCAATCACATGGCGGCAACTTAGTGCATTTAGGCATGAAGACATGCCCAAGACAATCTCCTGCAGTTCAAACCGAGCATCAGTATGGGGAAGAAAGGTGATTTGAGTGACTTTGAACGTGGCATGGTTGTTGGTGCCAGAAGGGCTGGTCTGAGTATTTCAGAAACTGCTGATCTACTGGGATTTTCACGCACAACCATCTCTAGGGTTTACAGAGAATGGTCCGAAAAAGAAAAAATATCCAGTGAGCGGCAGTTCTGTGGGCGGAAATGCCTTGTTGATGCCAGAGGTCAGAGGAGAATGGCCAGACTGGTTCGAGCTGATAGAAAGGCAACAGTGACTCAAATAACCACCCGTTACAACCAAGGTAGGCAGAAGAGCATCTCTGAACGCACAGTACGTCGAACTTTGAGGCAGATAGGCTACAGCAGCAGAAGACCACACCGGGTGCCACTCCTTTCAGCTAAGAACAGGAAACTGAGGCTACAATTTGCACAAGCTCATCGAAATTGGACAATAGAAGATTGGAAAAACGTTGCCTGGTCTGATGAGTCTCGATTTCTGCTGCGACATTCGGATGATAGGGTCAGAATTTGGCATCAACAACATGAAAGCATGGATCCATCCTGCCTTGTATCAACGGTTCAGGCTGGTGGTGGTGGTGTCATGGTGTGGGGAATATTTTCTTGGCACTCTTTGGGCCCCTTGGTACCAATTGAGCATCGTTGCAACGCCACAGCCTACCTGAGTATTGTTGCTGACCATGTCCATCCCTTTATGACCACAATGTACCCAACTTCTGATGGCTACTTTCAGCAGGATAATGCGCCATGTCATAAAGATGGAATCATCTCAGACTGGTTTCTTGAACATGACAATGAGTTCACTGTACTCAAATGGCCTCCACAGTCACCAGATCTCAATCCAATAGAGCATCTTTGGGATGTGGTGGAACGGGAGATTCGCATCATGGATGTGCAGCCGACAAATCTGCGGCAACTGTGTGATGCCATCATGTCAATATGGACCAAGCTCTCTGAGGAATGCTTCCAGCACCTTGTTGAATCTATGCCACGAAGAATTGAGGCAGTTCTGAAGGCAAAAGGGGGTCCAACCCGTTACGAGCATGGTGTACCTAATAAAGTGGCCGGTGAGTGTATATGTGGTCCAACTGTTCAATGATCATACCGACAAGACCACCTCTGAAAAGACATGGAAATGATGCATCTTTACATGAAGTCTCTTACAATGAGCCTGGCACAACCACTGATGTTACTCTCAGCAGTTCTGGACGGTCAGAAATGATGAATAATTCTTGATGCCATTCTCAGCCCCAGTCCATTCTTTGTGAATTTGTTTGTGGTCTCTGGTCCAGGTCCAATCATCCCGGTCCTCAGACTCAGGGTTGGAAGAGTCTCCTCCACAGTCTCTTGTTGTAATCCTCATTTTCTGACTTGTTCAGGTTCTCCATCCTTCCATCAGCTCCTGTTTCTTCATCCTCCTTCTCCCCTGATTAGTTTTGATGAAGCGCTGAAGTCTTTGAATAATCCTGAGACTGAGAGAATTTTTGTTCTCAGACGCTGCAGCTAAACAGTTTTCTTTATCCTCCCAGTGTGAACTAACATGTGTGAGGTCAGATATCTTTTATCACAATATTTGTTACCACACTAAGAGCAGCTGAAAGGTTTCTCCCTTGTGTGAATTAACATGTGTCTGATCAGATGCTGTTTTCGTGAAAATCTTTTACCACAATCAGAGCAGCTGAAACGTCTCTCCTCTGTGTGACCTAACATGTGTTGGGCCAGAGATCTTTTATAACAATATTTTTTACCGCACTCAGAGCAGCTGAGAGGTTTCTCACCTGTGTGAACTGACATGTGTCTGTTGAGAGCATTATGAGATCTGAATCTTTTACAGCACTCAGAGCAGCTGAAAGGTTCCTCCCCCGTGTGAACAAACATGTGTTTGGCCAGAGACCTTTTATCAGAATATTTTTTATCACACTCAGAGCAGCTAAATGGTTTCTCCCCTGTGTGAACTAACATGTGTCTGCTGAGAGACCTTTTTTCAAAATATTTTTTATCACACTCAGAGCAGCTAAATGGTTTTTCTCCTGTGTGAACTAACATGTGTCCCTTCAGATTCGTTTGACGGTTGAATCTTTTACCACACATAGGGCAACTGTACGGTTTCTCTCCTGTGTGAACTAACATGTGTCCCCTCAGATTCCTTTGGTGGTTGAATCTTTTACCACACATAGGGCAACTGTACGGTTTCTCCTTTCTGTGAACTACCATGTGTCCTTTAAGAGTCCACTGAGATTTGAATCTTTTACCGCACTCAGAGCAGCTGAAAGGTTTTTCCACTGTGTGAACTAACATGTGTCTGGTCAGATGGTGTTTTTGTAAAAATCTTCTACCACACTTGGAGCAGCTGAAAGGTTTCTCTCCTGTGTGAACTACCATGTGTAGTTTCAGAGCCGGTTGATAATTGAATTGTTTACTACACTCAGAGCAGCTGAAAGGTTTCCTCTCTGTGTGAACTATTTTGTGTCTGGTCAGATACAGTTTTTTTGAAAACGATTTATCGCATTCAGAGCAGCTGAAAGGTTTCCTCTCTGTGTGAACTATTTTGTGTCTGGTCAGATACAGTTTTTTTGAAAACGATTTATCGCATTCAGAGCAGCTGAAAGGTTTCTCCTCTTTGTGAACTAACATGTGTCTACTGAGAGCCTCTTGAGATTTGAATCGTTTACCACACTCAAAGCAGCTGAAAGGTTTCTCCTCTGTGTGAACTATTTTGTGTCTGGTCAGATACAGTTTTTGTGAAAATCTTTTCCCACAGTCAGAGCACCTGAAAGGTTTCTCCCCTGGGTGAATCAACATGTGTCTGATCATATTCTGTTTTTTTGAAAATCTTTTACTGCACTCAGAGCAGCTGAAAGGTTTCTCTCCTGAATGAATTGCTCTGTGTCTGACAATATTCTGTTTGTCTGAAAATCTTACACCACAGTCAGAGCAGCTGAAAAGTTTCTCCCCAGTGTGAACCAACATGTGTCCTTTTAGAGACTCTTGAGATTTGAATCTTTGACCGCACTCAGAGCAGCTGAAAGGTTTTTCCACTGTATGAACTAACATGTGTCTGGTCAGATGTTGTTTAAGTGAAAATCGTCTATCGCACTCAAAGCAGCTGAAAGGTTTCTCTCCTGTGTGAATTAGCATGTGTCTGATCAGATTCCCTTGACAGTTGAATCTTTGACTGCACTCAGAGCAGCTGAAAGGTTTCTCCATTGTGTGAACCAACATGTGTCTGATGAGAGCCCCTGGAGCGTTAAATCTTTTACCACACTCAGAGCAGCTGTGAGATTTCTTGACAGTTTTCTGTCCTCTTCTTTTCATAAATTTCCCAGAGTTTAATCCTGACTGATCCTCTCTGGTCTCCTTCCAATCATCATCATCATCAGTCTCAGAGGAGTCTTCTGACCTGTTATCACTCACAGGATTTGAGTTTCCAGCTGGTTCTGAAACTCCACAGATTTCTCCATCATCTCCTGTTTCCATCTTTTGAATTGGTTTTGGGTGAAGCTGTGGAGGCTGAGGTTTTTCTTCATCCTCTTCACTCTTCACAATGGCAGCAGTGAATGGGAACATGGTGGCCTCAGCCTCCTCAAACCCTTGAAACTGCTCTCCCTCCTGACTGCTCCAGGGTTCCTCCTCCTTAATGTGCATGTGCTTGGTGTCCTTTTGGTTTAGATCAGGGCTCCACTCCTGGAGCTCAAGAGGTTCCTCTTTAATCACTGACAGCTGCTGGACATCTGCAGGAAACACCAAAGTACAGAAAGACACATCAAGATAAGCTTGGCATCTATGTTGGAGCCAAACTTTGTCCTGTTGATGAAGTTAGGTGCTGTTCTGAGCATTATTTGTGGCTATAGAGTGGCGTTTTGGTTGAGCGCGTGGCTCTCTGTATTTATATCCTGCGGTTGTTACTAAAGTTGGTATAACTAGAGAAGCAAGCGGTCGACAACATTCATCTCTGGAGGGGGGGTGTCTAACTCGGTGTTATGGTGGGTTTGACCATAAATTAATTTTACACTGGAATATCCCTTTAAAGTTTGAGTTTTCAGTCACTGTAATGAGCTAACAACAGACAATAAAACTGATAAGATGAAGCTCCACCAAACACAAGAGACAGAAACTTTTAGTAATGCTGGCTAACTTTAAAGGTGAACGAGGCAGATTTTTAACTGTGGCACAGGTTTAAACCTTGACTCTACAAGAGAAATGTGGAAATAAAGCAGCTTGGACCCCATCAGCTACAGGATATTATTATATTATTGTCACTCAAACTGCCTATAAGACAAACCACAGATTTACTGGGAGTGGTCCTCCAAGAAAAAGTGGCTAACTGTCAGCAGAGAATAATTTTATTTTTCCCATGTTTGTTGTTTAGAGGAGAAGGTACTTGGTCCAGACGGGGATTGAAGGATTTGTGGGTCTGTGTGATTTCTGAAAGATTGTTGACATTGAAGGAATTCATGAGTTTAGTTTGCTAAAGTGGTGTAAGCTTTTTTGATGCAAGGCGGCATAACCTAAGGGAAGCTCTGTGTCCTACTGGTAAGCTGTGCAGTTATTGGGAGACTTATTTTGAAAGGGGACTGTGCTTCCTGTTTTTGTAAATATAAGTAGAATGGCTTCTGTCTGTCTCAGAGATCTTTTTAGCTTTTATTGTGCTGGGACGTTACTGTGGCAACAGATGAAAGGCACTGCCGACACGGAACAGGTGTTTGGTGACGTCATCCTTTCTGTAACCGAAATAATTACCGATAAGTGACGTTGGTGTTCTGTTTGTCAACAAGTATTAATCTTCAAAGGTCAGTGACGTTGTTGTTCTTTTTGCTAACAATTCCTTTTCGGTGGTTTTCGCTTGTTCGTTTCTCATTTTTCAATCGTTGATGTTGTTTCCGGTGTTGTGCCGAGAAACACATGCCCGCCGAAGATTGCATGTAACTCGCAGAAACTCGCACCGCTTATAGTAGAGTGGTCCACGGAAATGTACACTTTAAAACCCACACAGTTCCTATTTGTGGGGCTAAACAGTGATGAGGAATGTTCCCAAAGTCATTCTCAGCGGACGCGCGTTTCTCCGCACAACACCGGTAGCGCTAGCGACTAGCTCCTTGTGCAGGCCATTTTGGATGATCGTGGTTTCCTCCTTTCTGATTTTGATTTATGGCTGTCAGTGAGTCAAAAACTTGGCGGAATAAGGTTTGGATGTGAACCATAAATCTGTCTGACTTATGGTCCAGTGAGTTTGTTTGTTCTCAGCTCATTTGTGTTGGTTCGTGAAAGTGGGAAAGTGCATTCTAAATTTAGACTAGGGACAACAGACACTAAAACTGATCAGATGAAGCTCCACCAAACACGATACAACGATCGCAACATCCAATCCAGAGTTTAAATCCGGAAGAAGAAGAAGAAGGTGAACTAACCTGCTCTCTTCAGTTTGATTTCAGGCATTAAAATCACACTCAGCAGTTTTCTTTGCCGTTGGAGCTCCTCTTCATACACAGATGTTGCTGATCGTCCTGAGAGGTCTCCGTTAACAGCAGCGAGCAGCCGCCGGCTGAAGAAATCTTCAAGATCCTGAAACCTGGACATTTTCTACCGACCCAAGAGTCAAACAGAGACAAGACAACTGCAGATGGACGCCTTAACTCGGGTTATTCTGATCCGGGGTCTTCAGGAAACTTCCCTCGTGGTTCTTCTTCTCTTTCTTTTGTTCGTAAGGGCGGTTGGCAACCAGCTCGGAGGTGAATTACCGCCACCTACTGGGCTGGAGTGTGGCGCATGAACTGAATCAGGAAAAACAGTAGAAAAGTATGTGCCTCTTCTTCTACATCTCCTCACTAACTCCAGAGTTAAACTCTGTGCAATAAGCCGCTCTCCCTCAAATACTCCATTAATGACTTGAATCCTTTTCCAGATGCTGACCCTGACAGATTCTCTACACTGAGATCCAGATTATCTGTGTCAAGTTGGTGACTAACGTGTTTCCTTTTGTCTGTGTGTGTTTAACACAGTCAGTGAGTTCATGTTTGACTGTTTCTGCTGTCTTACAGGAATCACAGTCCGCTTTAATACAGGCTCTGATTGAGTCCTGTAGGTCCAATTCAGGGCGAAGGTGGAGGAGGGATCCAAACTGAGGTGTGGATACGACGAGAAGAAGAAGAAGAAGAAGAAGAAGAAGAAGAAGAAGAAGAAGAAGAAGAAGAAAAGGAGACTGAAAGAGGGAGGGAGTAGGACAGAAGTGAGAGTGCAGGTTAGTGACGTGTTCAGGTGTGTGTTTGTCTGTCCCTGCTGTTGTAAGATAAGAACTTTATTGATCCCTGAAGAGAAATCCAACTGTCTGTTGTCTCACATAATTAGTCTCTAAAAAGTTTTCTATTATTTACAGAAGAGTTATAAAGTCTGTTGGTCCAAAGATCTTCTGAATCTTTCTGTCCTGCAGTGAAGAGAGAGGAGCCGTCCACCACCATTGGTCCTTTGGTCCATCAAGGTGTCGTGAAGTGGGTGATCCATGTTCTTTAGAATAGTCTCCACCTTCCTCAGTGTAGATCTCTCCACCACATCCTCCACAGAGCCAGCCTTTTTCACCAGTTTGTTCAGACGTCTCCATCTTTGTGTTTGATACTTCCTCCCCAGCAGACTGCAGCGTAGAACAGAACACTGTAGATCTACACCACAGACTGATAAAACATCTGCAGCATCTAACTACAGATGTCTATGATCGGAGTCTTCTCAGGCAAAAGAGGCGGCTCTGCCCCTCTCTGTAGATGAAGTCAATATTCTTAGACCAGTCCAACTTATTATCCAGATGTACACCTGGATATTTGTCACCACTTCGATGTCCACAGGTGTTCACTGGCTGAAGAGGGGGTTTGGATCTACAGAAGTCTATGATCATCTCCTTTGTCTTTGAGGTGTTGAGGAGGAGGCAGTTATTCTGACTCCAGCGTTTGTTGTTGGGGAAACAGCGAACAGTTTTTGTGGGTATGACTGTGTCTCTACAAAAGTTGACATATTCAGTGAAGCAGTCAACCTGTTTATCAATGTTCATCCTGTGTTGTGTGTTAATCCTCATTTTCGGACTTGTTCAGGTTCTCCATCCTTCCATCAGCTCCTGTTTCTTCATCCTCCTTCTCCCCTGATTAGTTTTGATGAAGCGCTTTAGTCTTTGAATAATCCTGAGACTGAGAGAATTTTTGTTCTCAGACGCTGCAGCTAAACAGTTTTCTTTTTCCCTCGTGTTAACAAACATGTGTGAGGTCAGATACGTTTAACAATTAACCCTGGTACTGCACTCAGAGCAGCTGAAAGGTTTCTCTCCTGTGTGAAGTACTTTGTGTCCGATCATTTTCTGTTTGTCTGAAAACCTTTTACCATCCTCAGATAGGGATGGGAATCGAGAACCAGTTCTTGTTGATAACAGGTTCCAAATGGTTCAATCCATTGACATCATTTACATTTTATCTTTACAATTCCTTTCTTCCAGGTGCCTTTAAAAACGGTCTCGCAAGTGCCAGTCGATGCAATTGGAAACAGAGACAGAGGAAAAAACATGGCGGACGGTTGAAAAGTCGGCAGAAATGAGCTAAAGTGTGGCTTAATTTTACTAAGAAAGCTGACAATGGTGCAACATTTGTCGAGCAGTGAGAAAATACAAAGGTGGGAACACCAACAACATGCTTCAACATTTGTCAGCGGGGCACGGCATCAAATATAAGGAGTCACATGTATTCGATGCTCTCCGCCAGTGTTACACCATAGAATGCCTCCCCTCCACTCATGAGCTTCTTAAAGTGGAAGAAAATGATCTAATATTTAAAAAACACAAGTATTGGATCATGAAATGGAGCAGCAAACTTTCGTTCTGTTTTCATGTGTCTCTAAAATGCACATATAGAGGTGAACTTGGGTTTATAAACTCTACAGTAAACTGTCAAAGTAGAGAACTTTAAATATTCAGAATCAGAGGGCTGTTGTTTTCTGCTTATCTGAATAGTCTGATTGAAATCATTAAAGGCACACGCTTTAAAATCCGCCCAACGTTAATGTTGAGGAAAACTTGGATTATTTCACCTTGTTATGTACTTTCAACCGCGCTCCCGTCAGGGGTGCATTCTACAACACAACACCTGTTGAACACCTGTCATCAGCCGCCGCTGCCCCGTCTCAGCACGGCATTGAGGGTATATATGATAGGGTGACCACATGTCCTCTTTTACCCGGACATATCCTCTTTTTGGGGGGCTGTCCGGGGGAGTTTATAAAATCCTTTAAATGTCCTGAACGTGTTTTCATTCATTATAAAACAGTGTAGAGGATCAGTGCTGTCTGCAGCTCCGCCCCTCCACTCACTTCTAAGCAAAGCCACTGATGCGGCGCATGCGCTGTCTTTGGGAATTCAGAATATGCCTTTAACTGATTTAGAGCCCTGCATAGTAGTGTCCTCTTGTTGAGTATTCAGAATATGGTCACCCTAACATATGTCCTGTGTTAACATAAGCATAATGCATGCCAGAAACGCTGTACAAAAGGCATTTTTGTTTGATTATTTTAGACGTACTAAAGGTGGCATACATCTATTTCTGTTATCAGAAAACTTTGAGTTAACTGTGAAAACCTATAGCCTTTTTTTATATTGATCAAAGAAGGCATTGATAAGGGAATGGTTGAAGAATTTAATCAATAAGCAGAATCAATAATTGCATCAATATTGATAAAATCTTATCAATTCCCATCCCTACACTCAGAGCAGCTGAAAGGTTTCTCTCCTGAATGAACTGCTCTGTGTCTGATCATATTTGGTTTTTTTGAAAATCTTTTACCACAATCAGAGCAGCTGAAAGGTTTCTCCCCTCTGTGAGAGACCATGTGTCCTTTTAGAGCCTCTTGAGATTTAAATCTTTTACCGCACTCAGAGCAGCTGAAAGGTTTCTCTCCTGTGTGAACTAACATGTGTCTGGTCAGATACTGTTTAAGTGAAAATCTTCTACCGCACTCAGAGCAGCTGAAAGGTTTCTCCCCTGTGTGAACTACTATGTGTCTTTTCAGAGCCCGTTGATAGTTGAATTTTTTTTTGCACTCAGAGCAGCTGAAGGGTTTCTCTCCTGTATGCATTAACATGTGTCTGTTGAGAACCTCTTGAGATTTGAATCTTTTACTGCACTCAGAGCAGCTGAAGGGTCTCTCCCCTGTATGGACTAAAATGTGTTGGGCCAGAGATCTTTTATCATAGAATTTTTTGCCACACTCAGAGAAGTTGAAAACATTCTCCCCTGTGTGGACTGTTACGTTTGTGAGCAAATCTCTCTTTTGTGGATATCCTTCACCCCATTCAGAACAACTGTAGGGTTTCTCTCCTGTATGAACTGCTCTGTGTCTGATCATATTCTGTTTGACTGAAAATCTTTTCCCACAGTCAGAGCACCTGAAAGGTTTCTCCCCTGTGTGAATCAACATGTGTCTGATCAGATGCTGTTTTTGTGAAAATCTTTTACCGCACTCAGAGCAGCTGAAAGGTTTCTCTCCTGAATGAATTGCTCTGTGTCTGATCATATTCTGTTTGTCTAAAAATCTTATACCACAGTCAGAGCAGCTGAAAGGTTTCTCCCCAGTGTGAACCAACATGTGTCCTCTTAGAGCCTCTTGAGATTTGAATCTTTGACCGCACTCAGAGCAGCTGAAAGGTTTTTCCACTGTATGAACTAACATGTGTCTGGTCAGATGTTGTTTAAGAGAAAATCTTCTACCGCAGTCAGAGCAGCTGAAAGGTTTCTCTCCTGTGTGAACTACCATGTGTATTTTCAAAGCCTGTTGACAGTTGAATCTTTTACCACAATCAGAGCAGCTGTGAGATTTCATGACAGTTTTCTGTCCTCTTCTTTTCATTAATTTCCCAGAGTTTAATCCTGACTGATCCTCTCTGGTCTCCTTCCAATCATCATCATCATCAGTCTCAGAGGAGTCTTCTGACCTGTTATCACTCACAGGATTTGAGTTTCCAGCTGGTTCTGAAACTCCACAGATTTCTCCATCATCTCCTGTTTCCATCTTTTGAATTGGTTTTGGGTGAAGCTGTGGAGGCTGAGGTTTTTCTTCATCCTCTTCACTCTTCACAATGACAACAGTGAATGGGAACATGGTGGCCTCAGCCTCCTCAAACCCTTGAAGCTGCTCTCCCTCCTGACTGCTCCAGAGTTCCTCCTCCTTAATGTGCATGTGCTTGGTGTCCTTTTGGTTTAGATCAGGGCTCCACTCCTGGAGCTCAAGAGGTTCCTCTTTAATCACTGACAGCTGCTGGACATCTGCAGGAAACACCAAAGTACAGAAAGACACATCAAGAAAAGCTTGGCATCTATGTTGCAGCCAAACTTTGGATAGAGATTCTTGCTTTTGATTTTCAAACTCCCCTACAAGTTAAATTTAATCAACTCCTAAACAGACCAACCAGATTTTATTTTGGTGTTTTATTGAAGGAGAAGTTGTTTCAAGCACTCCCAAAAAACAGGCTAGAAACGCCTGCCCTGAAGCATCACATTCGGGTCATACAGTTTGTGTCGGTCAGAGAAGAACCAACTGATCAACTGGAGAAACTTTGTCATCATGGATTTTTTTGCACTTTGACTTTGAACACCACACATTGGAAAAACAAGTCATTATCACTTTTTTTATGATGTTTTGGAAACAGCCATAGTGATGGTCATTAGGAACAAGTGGGGCTTAGCCCCACCTCTTGTCATAAAAAAACTAAATGAATCTGTTATCAGCAGTTGTCAAAAAAATGATGAGACATGATGAGGCCTATTGCATGATAACTGCAGAGTCACCATTTGCATTTTCTTTTGGTTGCAAATGCAAATATATGTTTTTAATGATTGTAGAAGTCCTTCTCCTCCCGTTGGTGTCTGCAGAGAACTACAATGGCTGCAGGGTCAATGTTAGGCCAGCCACTCTCTCACAGCTGAGTGTGTATTATACATGGGAAAATTGAAATGAACACTCTCAGAGTGTTTGTCTGTTTACTGTACATCCGCCTAAAGAATTAAACATCATGCCTTTTTAAAGACTTGATTGGCTGATAATTCAAAGCAGTTTCGGTGATTTGCTGCTGTCATTGAAGCTGCTAAACTGCTAAAAGTCAGAAAACCATTTCTGGACAGGATACAGAAACTTTTAGTAATGCTGGCTAACTTTAAAGGTGAACGAGGCAGATTTTTAACTGTGGCACAGGTTTAAACCTTGACTCTACAAGAGAAATGTGGAAATAAAGCAGCTTGGACCCCATCAGCTACAGGATATTATTATATTATTGTCACTCAAACTGCCTATAAGACAACAAGTATTGATCTTCAAAGGTCAGTGACGTTGCTGTTCTGTTTGTCAACAGGTTTTGATCTTCGGTGGTTTTCTCTTGTTCGTTTCTCATGTTGAAGAAGAAGAAGAAGGTGAACTAACCTGCTCTCTTCAGTTTGATTTCAGGCATTAAAATCACACTCAGCAGTTTTCTTTGCCGTTGGAGCTCCTCTTCATTCACAGATGTTGCTGATCGTCCTGAGAGGTCTCCGTTAACAGCAGCGAGCAGCCGCCGGCTGAAGAAATCTTCAAGATCCTGAAACCTGGACATTTTCTACCGACCCAAGAGTCAAACAGAGACAAGACAACTGCAGATGGACGCCTTAACTCGGGTTATTCTGATCCGGGGTCTTCAGGAAACTTCCCTCGTGGTTCTTCTTCTCTTTCTTTTGTTCGTAAGGGCGGTTGGCAACCAGCTCGGAGGTGAATTACCGCCACCTACTGGGCTGGAGTGTGGCGCATGAAATGAATCAGGAAAAACAGTAGAAAAGTATGTGCCTCTTCTTCTACATCTCCTCACTAACTCCAGAGTTAAACTCTCTCCCTCAAATACTCCATTAATGACTTGAATCCTTTTCCAGATGCTGACCCTGACAGATTCTCTACACTGAGATCCAGATTATCTGTGTCAAGTTGGTGACTAACGTGTTTCCTTTTGTCTGTGTGTTTAACACAGTCAGTGAGTTCATGTTTGACTGTTTCTGCTGTCTTACAGGAATCACAGTCTGCTTTAATACAGGCTCTGATTGAGTCCTGTAGGTCCAGTTCTTAGACGGGTAAATACTGTCTCCTCCTCCTGTGTGGTAATTATGCCGACAGGTTTTTGGATATCCTACAGATGTTGTGCTGCTGCTTTCAGTATTTTCCTTTTGTCATCATACCTCCTGCATTCAGTGAGAACACACTGTACTGATGAAGCTTCACTTTCCCTCCAACCTGGTTCTGTATGATCTACCAACAGAGTGGAAACTCAATGAGCTCATTTCATCAGATACTTTGAAGTTAATTGTTTTTTTGTTTGTTTTCCTGCAGATTGCTGATCCCTCTTTCCTCCTGCACTCTCAAAAAAACCCGAACTATCCCTTTAAGATCCTGCCTGACTCCGTTTAGTCTGGAGAAACGCTCAAACACAGAAACTCCATCAGAGACATAAAGAAGACAGACTAAAGCAGTGAACTGTGAGTGAAATAGTAAATGAACATCTTTTTATTTCACATTATTTTCAATGACAAGCGTTTTTATTCTCTTTCTTGTTTTTTTCATTGACAGCTAATCTAAAGACATTCAGGAGGAACAGAAGGAACGAAGGGACGAGGGTCTGATCGCTCTTTTTTCTCACTGACAGAGGCGGGACTTCAGGCAGAAATGACAAATAATCAGAATCACATCAGGGCGAAGGTGGAGGAGGGATCCAAACAGAGGTGTGGATACGACGAGAAGAAGAAGAAGAAGAAGAAGAAGAAGAAGAAGAAGAAAAGGAGACTGAAAGAGGGAGGGAGGAGGACAGAAGTGAGAGTGCAGGTCAGTGACGTGTTCAGGTGTGTGTTTGTCGTCTGTCACTCTGTCCCTGCTGTTGTTGTGTGTCTTTCTGCATCGTCCTCTTTTGGTCTTTTCTCTCTTTTTTGTGTTTTTTTAAAGTCTCTTTCAGTCGCGTGCGTCGGTCGAAGTTTGTCTATTTTATATCTGGACTAACTGATCTCAGTTTTTACAACAATAATCTTCATTTGACTCCCGGCTGGACGAGAACTATCCCTTTAAACTACAGTAACAGTGCATGTCTGGCATTTTGAAGTTCTCCCTCTAGGCGTGTGAGTTTGTTTCCTATCTGTGAACTCTACGTGCGTGTGTGTGTGTGTGTGTGTGTGTGTGTGCATACAGCATCACCTCCAATCTTGACGTCAAGTGCATAATTGATCTGATTCTATCCTACTTCATGAATCTGTGAGATCATTCACTGTACATGGCTCTTAAACGTGTGTGTGTGTGTGTGTGTGTGTGTGTGTGTGTGTGTGTGTGTGTGTGTGTGTGTGTGTGTGTGTGTGTGAGTGTGAATCATTCATGTGTCTGCCGGCTTCACAGGGCACTGGGGTTCCTGAAGTTGTGGCCTGCAAAACGTGCCTGGTCGCCGAGCTCCTCCTCGATCCTGCAAGGAAAGGAAAGGAAAGGAGAGAAGGAAAGGAAAGGAAAGGAAAGGAAAGGAAAGGAAAGGAAAGGAAAGGAGAGAAGGAAAGGAAAGGAGATAAGATAAGGAAATGGCAGGAAATGATCATCACGTCTTTATTCTGATTGATCATTGATCAGGGCGAGTGAAAGAACCACAGTTAGTCATAATAATAATGATTATAGTAGTTTGATCATATTAATTGATCATATTAATTGATTAATTATTATCCACTTCTTCTTCTATTTTCCTGAATCAGCAGGTTTCTCTGTTAGTATGTTTTTTTTTTGAGGTTTAAAATCAGACGAGGGTTTTCATGGTTTTCATGGTTTTCATGGTTTTCATGCCGGACCCTCAGATCTACTCAAAAATGTCCCCACTTGTATATCAAACCCGTCTTCACTCCTCTCTGTGCACGTACGTGTGCACTGATTAGCGTTTGCCGCCGTTTAAAGCTCCTGTAAGTCCCGCCCTCCTCCTCTTGCGTCTCCTCAGCAGTCCTATGGGATGACAGCACTGAGCTCTCCCCTCCTCCCCTCCTCCCCTCCTCCTGCCGCTGACTGGCTCGGACACATGGGGTGACACCGGCACTGCTGCCGCCGTCATGTCAATCAGCCGTGTGATTCTAAGACTGAGGAGGCGCCACAGGAGGCGAAGCTGCAGCCAGATTTGGAGCCGAAAAAAAGAGAGTGTTGTCTTATTGTCAGTCTAAAGATGGAAGTCAACGGGTCCTAAAATCTGGTCAAACCTTCTCTTTACTGTAACTCGATTGTCACGTCCTGCAGCAGCCTCCCCTTCTCTCTTTTCCCCAGGTGGGCGTGGTTGAGGTCTTTGTGGGCGTGGTTGAGGTCTTTGTGGGCGTGGTTGAGGTGTGTGATGAGCAGACAGTCGCAGGTCACTCTCCAACCTCTGACATAAAACCAGAGCGCAGCCACTCCTCAGATCTGACACACTTTCCTGAACTCGACCTCGCTGCCTGTTTTTCTTTCACTCTGGATATTCGTTTTTTTTTTTTATCCCAGTTTCCAGCCCGACCTGCCGGCTTCATCCCGCTCACCTGTTGGACCGTTAACTCTCTCCGCCTCCTCCTCTCCCCGATCCTCTCCCCGATCCTCTCCTCGCTCTCTGGGTCGGTTTTGTTCTGGTTATTAGTTGTTTTTTTGTGAGTTTTCTTTTCAGCTTCCTGTCTCGTCTGTTAGTTTCCTCAGTTTGTTTTAGACTCTTGAGTTTCTCTGAATTCGTTTGTTTTCGGTGATTTTTAGTTTGAAGAAGTTCTTAGTTATAGTTTCCATCCAGACGGTAGTTTTCCTTTTAGTGTATTTAGTTCTTTTGTTGTCCTGTTTTAAAAGCCTTTTCCACACTGCTTACATTATTATCTTGTTTTTTGGGGTCTGCTTGTCTGTTGTCTGCGCCTGAGTCTCTGATCAGCCTTTATACAGATGATCGATGTCTGAGCGCACAGTCCCCGATCAATAAACTAAAGCAGGTTCTGTTGATTTTATCTTTGAAAGGGTTAGGGCTAAAGTACAAAGTTTGGAAACAATGTTGAAATTTTCAGGATGGTAAAAGTTTGACTGCAGTTTGATTTATGCAGCAGATAAAAATGCAGTTCCCCAAATGGCCACTCGGGGCTGAGACTGAAAGTGAGTCAACGTCTGATGGATTTACTTTTATTTTATTTTTTTAACTTTTATATGTTTTTTTTTATACTTTCATATCGTATTTGTTTCGTAACTTTTATATCTGTTTTTTATACTTTTATACATTAATTTTGAACCTTTTATAAGTTTTCTTTTTAACTTGTTTTTTATACCTATATTTATTTTTTATCTGTTTTTTATACTTTTTTTTACTTATGTTTTCACACCTTTGTGTATTTTTAATATATAAAAATAAAACATGTTTTTTTAAATCTGTTTTTTCTTGTTTATTTTTGTTTATACTCTCTATAAACCGTCTCACTGACTCCAGCTCGATGTCTTCTTCTGACACAGCGGTCAGTAAAAACCCGATCATGCTGTGATGAAGAGTTTTGTTCGTAGGTCAGAAAACGGATGTTACTCTGACCTCATCAGCTGGTTGTACTTGGCGAGTCTCTCAGATCTGCAGGGGGCGCCGGTCTTAATCTGCAACACAAAATCAAACAGTCTGTATTTGTGTTCTCGAGAATCTGTCCAAGGATCAGAAAATAACTTTGTTTTATTCAAACCCTGAGGAGGTCCTCGTGAAGACCCTCTTGGGGGGTTCATACCTGTCCAGTGCAGAGCCCGACCACCAGGTCAGCGATGAAGGTGTCCTCTGTCTCTCCTGAACGATGGCTGACCATCACACCCCAGCCGTTGGCCTGAGCCAGTTTACACCTGAGAGACAGAAAGACGGACCGCTTTAGACTTTAGACCAAAACACAAACAGCTGATCGAACCGAAGACCTCAGGAGGTTAGAGGTTCTCGGTGCTTCGATAACACCCTGTTTTTTCTGATCTCGCTCTTTGTGGTCGATTTCAGCTCTGACAACTTCGACTTCCTGACGAAAACAAAATCTCCGATGCTGCAGATGAAATAAAACCCGATGGTCCGGGTCTTCGCTGTCCCTGTGGAGATGTCTTTATCGTGAATCAAACTCGTCTGACCCTGAAAGAACGCGTCCTCACAGAGAGACAGCGGCGTCCTGCTCTGGTTCTGGAAGGATCTATCTCTGGGTCTCAAAATAATTCGATGTCTCAGTTTGGTATCTTCGACCTCAGTGAGGACGACGGTTCAGATAATCCTCAGGTCAAATATTCATCTCTGTGTTACTGTGCAGGGGCGTGTCCAGGCTCTTTGACCGGGGGGGGGGGATCCCGACTGGAGGACATAGATAGGTGGGGGTGGCCAGGATGAACAACCCCACCCTCTCTTACCTCGACTGTTTCAGACTAACGATGCACAGGGCTCTTATTGTGGCGGGTAGAGTGCGTCACCTTTCCTGTCAGCAGCTCTGTTTCTCTCACCGCCGTCTCTCTGACGCCCTCCTGCTATCATCCCGCCACGCTGTCAGGACGGATCGCTTCATAACGCTGAGCGACGCTCCTCGCTGAAGGCTGAGATCGATGACACTAACGAAGGAACACATCTCCGCACAAATACACAACGATGAGTGTAACTCTGCAGGGTTTGATTGACAGCTCATCTCCCTACCAAAAACCTGCTGTCACTTCCTCGCCGATATTTATCTCTGTACGGATCCTTGTCTCAGGCACAAGGTCAACGTGGCTGACAGGTACAGAGTGATGTGAGTGACAACGTGCTGCTGTGTGTGTGTGTGTGTGTGTGTGTGTGTGTGTGTGTTGATCGAGGATCTCTCTGCTTCTCCCTGAAGGCCTCTCCATCTTCTCAGCCAAGACAGATGACCTTCTTCTTCTTTTCCTTCAGCCCGCTCAAGTTCAGCCCCGCCCCCTCCCCGGGGCGGCCATGTTTTCTCCTCTGAGTGTGTGAATCATGTTTACAGCATGTTGGACTGGCAGTGATGATCTGTGTTTGACCTCCTAATCAGGCAGAGTTATCGCTCTAATAAATTATTCTGAAGCTTCTACATTCAGAAGCTCTACGTCAAACTGGAGCGGTTTCATCGCCGCAGGTCAGAGCGTTCGCCGAGAATTTACCCCCGCCATAAAGTCACCGCGCTGAATCTGAGTCAGAACCTCCACATGAATTTTCCAGTGAAGGTGTCGTAGTCAGGAATCTGTTAAAGAAACATCTTTTTATTTTGTGTTTTATAAACTAAAAATCTTCTAATATCAGTCAATAGTTATTAGTTATTGATGACATTTGGTAATATATCGATATCTCTGTGTTCTCTTCTGTCTGTGTCGTCAACATTTGAACATTTTTGAGCGGTCCGCTCTTTCTGACTGTAAACAAAGACGTTCTCCACCTCCTCTAACCTGATTGGTTGTGAGGCAGACGCTGCTCCCCCGTGTCGTTCAGGAGCCCAAACAAAGTTAGCGTGCTACAATATCGGACAGTAGAAACCAACCAGAAAGTTCGGAAAATTGTCTGAATCCTCCTTTGGCCACGACTGCCGACACAAGCAAGAAAACAAAGTAAATACCGGAGACTCTGGAGGAATAACGGGCGCTTAAAACAGAGGTAGACCGGACAAGAGCTAAAAAGCCGGGTCAACATAAACCATGGGGGACGCTTGGGGATCTTGGTGACCCTGTAACCTTTCTGCTGGACAGGTAAACCGCTTTAACAAAGTAAGACAAGTGTCTGTAACAGAAGTGTTTCTTGTCAAACGGACCTGCTGTAGCGTGTTGTAGCGCCATCGCTAAACTGTCCTCCCTCGGGTCCTGGACTATGTCACTTTATCCTCGTTGTAGAAGTCCTGCAAACATTGTGTTTGCTGGTAGTCTGTTGGCATCTACAGTAGCACCAATGCTTTTGACTTTCACCTTGACTGGGCCCCATTTGTAATGATCTGAAGGATTTATCTGCATTATATCTGAATTTAATTGGAACGATACGAGCGAGCAGGAGCGTCTGTTTGTGGGCAGGGCTTAAGAGAGGGAGGGGAGGAGCTGAGGGGAAAACTGGTTGGGAGGGGTAGAGTTTACATTCAAGATTTCTCCTAAAAACTGGAACTAACTCAGATCCTGACTACAACACCTTTAAGGGTTTTAATTGGACTTCTGTCCTCTTCCTTGTTAACGAGCTCCAGGTGAGCATGTCCACCTCTGCAGCTGCTCAGAACGATCAAACTCTCTCAGCTGACTGATCCTGTCACAGACCAAAACAATCGACAAACACATACTGATGAGACTACAGCTTCTCTTCCTCTGACACACCTTTGCTTTTCTACTTCTAGACCAAAGCGCCAAATTCAAACTGTGGAGCACGTGCAGAAGGATGGAGTCAGTTTGGGTCCAACTGAGGGGGACATGTGCCTGAGAAAACCAGACAATCCTGGTAAACGGCGTTTAGCTCCTGACTGTAACAGGCCAAAGAGACCAGCTGAGAAAGAAGTCCACAAGTTTGAAAGTCAAGTCTCGAGTCTGAGTCAAGGTTTCAGTGCTGCTAGTTTGCCTTTTTTTGAGGTGTATCTCAACAGACTGATCTCCTAAAGCCCAGACAGATGGGCCTCAGAGGTCCGGTCTCTAAATAAGTCAAAAGTCCTCCATGAGGGTGTCTGTGAAGGTTCAGATCAAAGCGGACCTACGCCTGGATGGCCTCAGTGACCGAGCCGATCTGGTTGACTTTGAGCAGCAGGCAGTTGCAGGCTCGTTCCTCGGCAGCTTTCTCTATCCTCTTTGGGTTCGTCACCGTCAGGTCGTCGCCCACGACCTGGATCCCCACCTGAGCCGTCAGGCGGGACCAGGCCTCCCAGTCATCCTGGTCGAAGGGGTCCTCGATGGAAACCACTGTGATGGAATAAAAGATTAATAAATGTGTTTCTCTGTCGCAGAAGACAACGACAAACAAACCCATCGTCCACCTGGGTAGTTGTTGACGAAGCCCTGGTAGATGTCGGCCAGCTCCTCTCCTGAGATGTGTCTCGCTGGGTCAGGTGGAGATTTGAAGTCCAGATCGTACTTCCCGTCACGGTAAAATTCTGATGCGGCGACGTCCATTCCGACCACAACTTTCTCCGTGAAACCGGCCTTCTCTATGGCGGTCTGCAGGAGGTCCAGAGCTGAGGACAGAAGGAGAGGGAGGAGAGAGGTGAGGAGGTCAGGGAAATGTAAACGTAGATGTTCTCCTCCACACTCACCTTCACTGTTCTCCAGGATATTCGGGGCGAACCCTCCCTCGTCTCCCACGTTGGTGGCGTCCTGTCCGTACTTCTCCTGGATCACTCCCTTCAGCGTGTGATAGAGCTCCGATCCTATCCTCAACGCCTCCCTGAGACACAGAGACAATCAGGGAGGCGGAGGACAGAAACCAATCATCTCACATCAGAGGTCAGGTCTTACTTAAAGGACTCGGCTCCGACAGGGAGGACCATGAACTCCTGCATGGCCAGTTTGTTTCCTGCATGAGAACCTCCATTGATGACGTTGAAGGCCTGAGGAGGAAAGGACAGACGAAGATTTAGACACGGCGTTCCTCAGGGAGGCGCTCTTGGTCCCGTTTTCACTCTTATATAAACTGTGTTTGTAAACATCAACATGATGGTAAAACGGCGTTCTTCATCCTGAACGTCTTACAGGAACAGGCAGCACCAGCTCCGTGTTTCCAGCCAGGTCAGCTATGTGGCGGTACAGGGGGACGTCTTTCTCTGCCGCACCGGCTTTACAGATGGCTAGAGACACTCCCAGGATGGCGTTGGCCCCAAACTGAGCTGTTGGACAGGAAAAGGGAAGAAACGATGAAACTCTAAATATCGTAGGTGGTTCGAGTTCGTCAGAGAAACCTGCCCTGACTACAGACCGCGGCTGAAGAAGAAAAGTTACCATGACTTTGTCTCGGGTGTTCGATAAGCCGAGAGGACAAAGTCTCTGATCTGAGGAGGACGGATGTAAAACCCGGCAGACTGAGAGTTCATTCAAGCAGCTGCAGTTTTTCTCTCCCGGCGCCGTGACGCCCCCTGCTGTTTACGCTGCAGCCTGAAATGACCGTTCGGCACCGCCGTCGATCCGAATAAATGAAGGGTGAGCTTATTTATTAGGAAGTGAAATAAGGTCGATCCTGCCAAAGTCAGGAGTGTCATTTCTCCGTCTTTTTGACGTTTTTATTAACGATGTTTTGATCAAAGAGCGTCGGTCTGTTCGGACGCTAATGAGGCGATTTTTGACCTTGTTGAGACTCACATTTGTTTTCTGTGCCGTCCATCTCGATCATCATGTTGTCTAACTGCTCCTGCTCCACCACGCTGACACCCTGCAGACACACACACACACACACACACACACACACACACACACACAGTTGCCTGGATTAAAAACCTGTTTTTCTGCTGTAACTCAGCGAGTCGTCTGACTGACCTTTGACCTGCTGTTATGGTCAGTTATTTTAAATCCACGCTGAATTATTTCATTTACAGTAAATAAACAGACTGACTGACAACTGTTGTGAGGACAGTAAAAAATCACAGATGCACATTAACTGATAAATCAACTTGATCTCATGTTTTTTTATGTTTGTTTGATAAATTCCACTTGTTCAGGTTTTCCTCTAATAGACGTCTTATCCTGGACCACTGGTCTAAAAATTAACGTTTCTTTGGACGTCTAAATCTAGACCAGGTCTAAATCTGGGCTTTATCTAAACTTTCTATCATCATTATTTTGGTGAAGAACTTGGAGATCGGTTTTGAAACTTACAGTTGCTTTTTGAAATAAATAGTTATTGAATAACGAGTTAAAGTGCGACGTCTAAATTACATCTGAAAATCTACAGAATCTAGAAGTTCGATAAAAAAAAAACAGACGTCTAACAGCCGCCAGTTTATCAGATACTTCAGCTGGTTTAGTCTATAACTGTGTATAACTGTGTAAATATGTTTGAATCTGATTTCAGTGGTGAGGAGGAGACCTGAAGGTCGAGAGGTCAGGTGTGTCTCCTCTGATGTTCAGGTTCAGTGTCAGTAAAGGTGAACCTCCTGCTCTTTATTCTGCCCTCCTACTGAGATTCAGGAAGTTCATTTCCATCACAGTGACTCTGAACGCTGATCTCCTCTTTTCTAACACTGTCCCAGAAATTGACCAAATATCCTCCAGAGCAGATCAGAGAAATTCTGAGATAAGAACATAAATATAAAAACTTACCGAGGCGATCAGAGCGGGACCCAGAGTGTCGTTGATGTGACCGACGGCCTTCAACACACCTGAGAGAGAAACACAGGAGAGTGAGTCTGAAGACTGGAGAGAGAGAGAGATGAAACTATAGAGTATGAAGAGACGAGTGTTCATCAGCTGCATTTACACAAATAATCCTGATCAATACCTGATCGGAATAAAAATGACATCATGGAAACAAAGAAGATCGGAAGATTCTGATCCAGTCCAGCTCAGTCCGAAATAAACTGGATTATAATCTAGACGGGTGTTTATGCCGATCATTATTAAGACTTATTCTGACCCTTAACCTTTAACCTTTGAGGTCAGAGGTTAACACTCTGACCGTGTCTGGTCCTCCGATAACATAACAAGGCGCACATACGGCGTGATGATGTCACATCTGCACGCACAGTGCAACCTTAGACAGAACAGTAATGTAAGTATGCAAGAGCGCCATCTAGTGACAACATTTAACCAGGGAAACTTCTGGATCGGACGGAGCGAGCCGCCGCCGCCGCCGCTGCGTCTGTCGGAGTGTTGACAGCAGAGGCGTAAATACAACTCTTCTTCTTCTTCTTCTTCCTCTTCTTCTTCTTCTCCTTCTTCTTCTTTTTCTTCTTCTCCTTCTTCTTCTTCTTCTTCTCCTTCTTCTTCTTCTTCTTCTTCTTCTTCCTCTTCTTCTTCTTCTCCTTCTTCTTCTTCTTCCTCTTCTTCTTCTTCTTCTTCTCCTTCTTCTTCTTTAGGGTGTGTCAATTTACAGTTATTTTATCATTTTGACATACTATATTTACACATTGGACCCAAATTCACACACAAAACATAAAATCCGAGTGGAAAAAAGTAACGTTTTTACTGTGAAAACCACAAATATGTGTGATGAACTGTTTTTAAAACTTTTTTTTTTTTTTTTATCATTAGTTTTATTCAACATGAGTAGAAAAGCAGAGTTACAGGTGTAATGTTTCAGATGTTCATGTATCGTTTTTCCTTTTTCCAAAAAAAGAAACGACAACAATCCAAACACGACATACACACAGAGCTCTAAGGCTCAGAATTTGGTACAGCAAAAGGACAAAGTTTGGGTCAAACATTTAACAGTGAACATTAAGCATTCCCTCCCTCCCTCCCTCCCTCCCTCCCTATCTCCCAAGTCTCTGGACCTTCCCACCTTCACCCACTGCAAAGACAGTACATAGATAGTCTAAATTTACAGTACATGTTCAAAAAGCAAAAAGAATGTTTATCAAGTATATATCTTCCCTTGATCCTCCCCCCTCTCCCTCCAAAAAAGAAAAAAAAAGAGAAATAGCAATAATAAATGAGCAATTTAGTAAAGTAAAGTAAGACAAAAGGTCAAGAAAGAAGGTAAGAGAAAGTTAAGAGACAGAGTGGCATGTGACGGTGGCAATCTCAGATCTCAAAGAGTTGTCAAGTTGTTTAAGTAATTTATAGTGGGGCCCCAGGAGGACGTGAAACCACCTGGTGACCCCCGTAAATCAAATTTAATTTTCTCTAATTTTAAATAAGCCATCACATCTTTAAGCCAGGAGTGTGATTGGGGGGCGTGTGAAGACTTCCACTCTAGCAGGATTTTCCTCCTTGCCAGCAGTGTCAGAAAAGCAATACCATTTTGAGTTGTTCTATTATAAGTTAATTCTCTGGGCAGCACCCCAAAAATAGCTGATTCTGGACTGGGTTGTAGATTAATGTTAAACATTTGAGATAAGTGTCTGAATATGTCAGTCCAGTATGTCTGTATACAGGGACAAGCCCAAAACATATGAGTTAAATCTGCATGGGATAATTGACATTTGTCACAAGTATCATCCAGGGTGGGGTATATTCTAGCCAATTTGGCTTTGCTATAATGGGAACGATGAAAGACCTTCAGTTGTATCAGGCTGAGTCGGGCACACGAAGCACTGCCATTCACTAGAGTCTGTGCCCGCTTCCAAGTGTCATCTGCGATTGGTTCTCCAAACTCTTCCTCCCAGCCCAATCTGATCCCGTCTACAGTAGTAGCTCTTAAAGAAGAGATTACTTTGTAGACAAAGGACAAAAGTCCTTTTAATTGTCCAGGAGCTTCTAGAATAGGTTCCATTCCAGAACTAGGAGGCTTATTAGGGAATGAAGGGTTGTGAGTTTTAACAAAGTCACGGATTTGAAAAAATCTAAAAAGGTGAGAATTCGGAAGTTCATATTTATTGGCTAGTTCTCTAAAATTTGCAAAAATCCCGTCAATATAGAGATCTGATAGTCTAGAGAGGCCCAGTCTGTGCCACGTCAAGTAGCTTGGGTCTGTAATTGAGGGGGCAAATAGGTGATTATTATAAATAGGACTGTAGGGAGAAAGTTCACGGAGGCCGAAAAAGGTTCTAAATTGAGACCATATCTGTAAGGTACTCACAACAATTGGGTTAGCTGAGTGACGTTTAGGTAAAATAGGTAATTTGGTAGTAGTTAAGGCTAGTAAAGATGTGTTAAGACATGAGTTGGCTTCAATTTTGCACCAATCTAAATCGGGGTGTTGGGACCAGCAAATTATCTTAGAGATGTTAGCAGCCCAATAGTAAAATTTAAAATTAGGGAGCGCAAGACCACCTTCGACCCTAGATCTTTGTAGATATTCTCTCTTAATTCTTGAGGGTTTGTCCCCCCAGATAAATGAGGACAACAATGAGTCAAGTTTACAAAAAAAGGATCTAGGAATAAAGACTGGTAAGGCTTGAAATAAATACAAAAAACGAGGTAACACGTTCATCTTAATACAGTTCACTCTCCCTGCCAGTGATATATTGATAAGTCCCCACCTGTGAAGATCTACTTTTAGTTTCTCAACAAGGGGTAAGATATTATCTCTAAACAAATCATCTAGCGATCTACGGATAAGTACCCCCAGATATTTAAACCCAATCTCAGAGGTACGAAATGGTAGTGAATTGCTTGGAATTTTGCGAGCCAAGTCGTTTATTGGAAAGCATTCACTTTTATTAAAGTTTAATCTGTAACCCGAAAAAGTACCAAATCTATTCAACAGTTGAATGATCTTTGGCACTGAGAAAACTGGGTCTGATATATATATTAATAAGTCATCTGCGTACAGAGAGACTTTATATTCCAATCCCCACCTGCGAATACCCTGGTAGAAAGGAGCTGATTTAAGGGCAATAGAGAGAGGTTCGATTGCCAGGGCGAATAGTAGGGGGCTTGCTGGGCAACCTTGTCTGCAGCCTCTAGAGAGCGTAAACATCTGTGAATTCATTCCATTGGTACTGACCGACGCCTTAGGGGCCGAGTAGAGAAGTGAGATGAGAGAGATCATCCTAGGACCGAAACCAAACTTCTTGAGAACCTCCAGTAGGTAACTCCACTCCACCATGTCAAAAGCTTTCTCTGCATCCAAGGAGACCACCATCTCGGGGGTCCACGAGGATGCAGGAGAGAGAATAACATTGAGGAGACGACGAATATTGGATGAGGAATGACGGTCTCTGATAAAACCAGTCTGGTCTACAGAGATCATGTCACTAATGACTGTCTCCATACGTGAAGCTAATATTTTCGCGAGAATCTTGTAGTCAGCATTTAAAAGAGATATGGGCCGGTATGAACCACAGTTCAGTGGGTCTTTGTCCGGTTTTAGGATAAGCGAAATTGATGCTTCTGTAAGTGTTTGAGGTAGGAGGCCCTTTCCAAGAGAGTCAGTGTACATTTTCGACAGGAGTGGAGCTAGTTTATTAGAAAATATTTTATAAAATTCAACTGGATAGCCGTCTGGGCCAGGAGCCTTCCCATTTTGCATTGCTAAAATTGAGTCTTCAATCTCCTTCAAGCTTAAAGGCTGTTCTAGAGTTTCATATTTTTCGACGTGGAGAATCGGAAACTGGAGGTCCCCAAGGAAGCTCATCATATCAGAAATGTCCACAGGGAACCGAGTAGTATACAGATCAGAATAAAAGGTTTTAAAAGTGTTATTAATTTCTGTCGGAATAACTGTACATAAGCCATCTGAGTTCTTAATTTGGGGAATGTTTCTTGCAGCACTCTCTTTCTTGAGTTGATGGGATAGTAATCGGCCTGCCTTCTCACCGTGTTCATACGTGAGGCCCCTTGAGCGTATTAGCATATTCTCTGTTTTTTCTGTAGTAAGCAAATCATATTGCATCTGTAAACTTAGCCTCTCTTTGTATGTTTCAGGAGAAGGAGATACTGAGTAATCATTATCCAATTTTTTAATACCTTCAATTAACTGATCTAGTTGTTTTTTTAGGGCCCGAGCGTAGCTGCTAAGCAGCTGCGAGAGCCCTATTATTCCCCAAGTGGTTTTTCTTTGTTTCTTTTCCGAGCGTAGCTGCTAAGCAGCTGCGAGAGCCCTATTATTCCCCAAGTGGTTTTTCTTTGTTTCTTTCTTAGGGCCCGAGCGTAGCTGCTAAGCAGCTGCGAGAGCCCTATTATTCCCCAAGAGGTTTTTCTTTGTTTCTTTCTTAGGGCCCGAGCCAGCTGCAGAGCAGCCGGGCGTAGGCCCTATTATTCCCCAAGAGGTTTTTCTTTGTTTCTTTCTTTCTTTCTTTCTTTCTTCTTTTTCCTCCCCTTTGAACTGGAAAATGGCCCACTTCCCACTGGCGAAAACTCATGAAATTTGGCAGGACGACCGGGCCTGGTGAAAAATTCGATATTCTGAAGTCGCCCAAACAATAAAATGCAAAATGGCTCCATAGCGCCCCCTAAGGTGGAAATTCACACTATTGACTGTCACGCCTGTACGCTTTGTCATATTGACACAAAAATTGACACACACATGTATCTCAATAAGATCTACAAAAAAGTCAGTGCGGCCGTATCTGTCAAAATTACGGTTAAAGGGTTATTTCGCATTTTTTGCCGATCCGCACATATTGGAATTTCGCTAACTCCTCCGAAGGCTTTCGTTCCACCGGCACCACATTTGCTCAGGCCAATCTACACCCCGTGGCCATTAAAAGTTATCAAAATCATGACGCTGCACCCCAAGGTTTAGGTTCTAGGGGGCGCCAAAGATAACACTAAAATCCACATATTTAAAAGTCTTATAACTTTTTATTTTTGTCCTCACTGGCCTCCAAGTTTTCTAGGATGATGCAATGTCCAGCCATCAACACATTTGTGAAGGAATTTTTACTCCCCAAAAGAGCGCCCCCCCATGGCAGGAGAAAAAAGTCCATTTTTTCTTGTCCCCTAAGGTGAAAATACACATTGTTGAGTGTAACACCTGTACGCTTTGGCAAAATGACACAAAAATTGACACACACATGTATCTCAATAAGATCTACGAAAAAGTCAATGCGCGCGTATCTGTCAAATGTACGGTTAAAGGGTTATTCCGCATTTTTTGCCGATCCGCACACATTGGAATTTCGCTAAGTCCTCCGAAGGCTTTCGTTCCACCGGCACCACATTTGCTCAGGCCAATCTACACCCCATGGCCATTAAAAGTTATTCAAATCATGATGCTGCACCCCATGGTTTAGGTTCTAGGGGGCGCCAAAAATAACCCAAAAATCCACATTCTTAAATGTTTTATAACTTTTTATTTTTGTCCTCACTGGCCTCCAAGTTTTCTAGGATGATGCAATGTCCAGCCATCAACACATTTGTGAAGGAATTTTTACTCCCCAAAAGAGCGCCCCCCCATGGTAGGAGAAAAAAGTCAATTTTTTCTTGTCCCCTTACATAAAAATACACATTGTTGAGTGTCACGCCTGAACGCTTTGTCAAAATGACACAAAAATTGACAATCATGTGTATCTCAATTAGATCTACGAAAAAGTCAAAGAGCGCGTAGCTGCTAAGCAGCTGCGAGAGCCCTCTTGTTCCTGTAGTTTCCTTCTTTTTAGGGCCCGAGCGTAGCTGCTAAGCAGCTGCGAGAGCCCTATTATTCCCCAAGTGGTTTTTCTTTGTTTCTTTCTTTCTTTCTTTCTTTAGGGCCCGAGCGTAGCTGCTAAGCAGCTGCGAGAGCCCTATTATTCCTGATGGATTCTTCTTAGGGCCCGAGCGTAGCTGCTAAGCAGCTGCGAGAGCCCTCTTGTTCCTGTAGTTTCCTTCTTTTGTTATTATTAGGGCCCGAGCGTAGCTGCTAAGCAGCTGCGAGAGCCCTATTATTCCCCAAGGGGTTTTTCTTTGTTTCTTTTTTCTTTTTCCTCCCCTTTGAACTGGAAAATGGCCCACTTCCCACTGGCGAAAACTCATGAAATTTGGCAGGACGACCGGGCCTGGTGAAAAATTTGATATTCCGAAGTCGCCCAAACAAGAAAATGCAAAATGGCTCCATAGCGCCCCCTAAGGTGAAAAATTCACCTGACGCCTGTACGCTTTGTCAAAATGACACAAAAATTGACACACACATGTATCTCAATAAGATCTACAAAAAAGTCAGTGCGGGCGTATCTGTCAAATGTACGGTTAAAGGGTTATTGCGCATTTTTTGCCGATCCGCACACATTGGAATTTCGCTAACTCCTCCGAAGGCTTTCGTTCCACCGGCACCACATTTGCTCAGGCCAATCTACACCCCATGGCCATTAAAAGTTATTCAAATCATGACGCTGCACCCCACGGTTTAGGTTCTAGGGGGCGCCAAAGATAACACTAAAATCCACATATTTCAAAGTCTTATAACTTTTTATTTTTGTCCTCACTGGCCTCCAAGTTTTCTAGGATGATGCAATGTCCAGCCATCAACACATTTGTGAAGGAATTTTTACTCCCCAAAAGAGCGCCCCCCATGGCAGGAGAAAAAAGTCCATTTTTTCTTGTCCCCTAAGGTGAAAATACACATTGTTGAGTGTCACGCCTGTACGCTTTGTCAAAATGACACAAAAATTGACACACACATGTATCTCAATAAGATCTACAAAAAAGTCAATGGGCGCGTATCTGTCAAATGTACGGTTAAAGGGTTATTCCGCATTTTTTGCCGATTCGCACACATTGGAATTTCGCTAACTTCTCCGAAGGCTTTCGTTCCACCGGCACCACATTTGCTCAGGCCAAATTACACCCCATGGCCATTAAAAGTTATTCAAATCATGACGCTGCACCCCACGGTTTACGTTCTAGGGGGCGCCAAAGATAACCCAAAAATCCAAATTTTTAAAAGTCTTATAACTTTTTATTTTTGTCCTCACTGGCCTCCAAGTTTTCTAGGATGATGCAATGTCCAGCCATCAACACATTTGTGAAGGAATTTTTACTCCCTAAAAGAGCGCCCCCCCATGGCAGGAGAAAAAAGTCCATTTTTTCTTGTCCCCTAAGGTGAAAATACACATTGTTGACTGTCACGCCTGTACGCTTTGGCAAAATGACACAAAAATTGACAATCATGTGTATCTCAATTAGATCTACGAAAAAGTCAAGAGCGCGTATCTGTATAATGTACGGTAAAAGGGCGATTTTGCATTTTTTGCCGATTCGCACATATTGGAATTTCGCTAACTCCTCCTAAGGCTTTCGTCCCACTGACACCAAATTTGCTCAGGCCAATCTACACTCCATGGCCATTCAAAGTTGTAAAAATCATGACGCGGCACCCCACGGTTTACGTTTTAGGGGGCGCCAAAGATGACCCAAATATACATTACAGTAGACAAAGTAGTTTTGCCCACTGAGTGGCGCCAAAGGGACTTGTCTGTGGAGTCTGTGAGTCACTATTGGCCGTTTTTGACTACTTTAGATTTTACCTTTATATTTCCTCTTACAAAATTTTTACCTTGCCTTGCCTGGTATCATTTTTTTCAGCACAACCTCACCTGTGTCAATTTACAGTTATTTTATCATTTTGACATACTATATTTACACATTGGACCCAAATTCACACACAAAACATAAAATCCGAGTGGAAAAAAGTAACGTTTTTACTGTGAAAACCACAAATATGTGTGATGAACTGTTTTTAAAACTTAAACTTCAAATAAAAATTGTAAACTTCAAAACATATGCAAATTTTTAACAAAGAACATAGTAATTTACCTCTATTTACATCAAAATGCAGGCAATGGCCCAGGTGTTCTTTGTAAAATTATTTACAAAACACTGTATAGTCTCACAAATGTCACTTTTTATTTATGCCACTACAAAAAAACATGATGTAAATGATGCATGATGTAAAACATGATGTAAAAAACTTGTGTAGATCCTCCTCTATGTCAGTCCATGTGTAATTTTTCCATAATTCTTTGTTTTTTGCAGCATTTTTGTTAGTGTAACTGCAGATTGTGCTGACAGTGTCTATGGCAAAAAAAAAAAACAAACTGAAAATGCCTCAACATGAACCCCTGGTGGTCTCTGAGGGTGAAACCTGCTAACTGCTGCAGCTCTGTCAGCTTCAGTCTCCCATGCAGAGCTCGGAGCGCATGTGTGGCTCTGCACCCTTAGCAGCGTTGCTAACTCCTCAGTAAGGAAAGCCTGCTTCATGTCAGAGTCTCTAAACTCCAGAAGAAGTCGATAAAAGTCACTTTCTTTCTAAAAAAACGTCGTTAGGGGGTCTGAAAAGTCATTGAATCTAACAACAAAGTCGCTAGGTTTGCAACTACGTGTCCCAGACTGCATCCCTGCTGAGAGTCCCTCCCTCCCTTCTCATATTGCAGGAAGAACGTAAGCGCCCGCCCCTTGTCAATCAGTCACCATATAATTTTGGATTGGTTGTTGTGGTGAAGTTTTCCACCAATAGGAGAGATGTTGTGGTGTGTTTTTTTTTTCCTTTGGCAAGCCTTTTCCGCCTGTAAGACCTGTCGCTAATGTCTGCATGCTATGTTTTCCTGTCTCATACAGCGCGATCGAGCGCCGAACGTGATCAAAATAAGCAGAAAACAAGTATCGCGGACATAATTTATCATAACTCTGGTTTTATTTGGCCTATCAACACAATTTAAAAACTGGTATATAGGTTGAGGTCCTCACTTTTGAGATAAGTTGAGAAACGGAGAGTCAACGAGGCTCCGTCTTGCAGCTACATCCGGTTAAATATGTCATGTGACTTGAACGCACACACACACACACACACACACACACACGCACACGCACACGCACACACACACACTCAGAGTCTGGTTTTTAGCACCTGCAAAAACATGCTATTTACATATTTGACAAGAATGCAGAGGCTCCTTTTGCCCCTGAAAAAAATCAAATTTCAAACACAACTTGACTGGTCATTTCTCCAAAAGACAACCATGAAGCTCCATCCAAACCTGAAGCAGGCAGTTGGTGCATGTGTACAGTAACCTGAGGGGAGTGAGGTGACTGCTTCTGAGGAGAACATGAGCAGTGAAGATTCACCTTAGAGCTAGAACAGAGACGTGCACATGATTATACAGGGGCAGGGGCTCAAGTTTTTTCCAGTTGTTTATACAATATGGAAATTAATGTGAAATTAAAAAACAAAGTATTAATAGAAAGGTAATGAATGTCCTGTGTAGGTGACAGTGATATCCAATAGGCTAGGCACTCACGAGGCTGGCTGTGGCAAGTGTAAGTGAAAGCAACAAGCACTGGCAGGAAGAACAGCAAACGCCGATGAAGGAAAAGGGTCTTTGCAGTGATGGGCGTTACCAGAGAGGGCGATGGCCAGAGGACGCGAATAGGACGGGGAGGCAGCGCGTTGGGGGGGGGGACGCGACACAGCTCGGGCCCGCCAGTGCCCCAACGGGGTCCTAGTCTTTGTTTCTTTCTTTCTTTCTTTAGGGCCCGAGCGTAGCTGCTAAGCAGCTGCGAGAGCCCTCTTGTTCCTGCATGTTTCCTTCTTTTGTTATTAGGGCCCGAGCGTAGCTGCTAAGCAGCTGCGAGAGCCCTCTTGTTCCTGCATGTTTCCTTCTTTTGTTATTATTATTAGGGCCCGAGCGTAGCTGCTAAGCAGCTGCGAGAGCCCTCTTGTTATTATTATTTTTCCTCCCCTTTGAACTGGAAAATGGCCCACTTCCCACTGGCGAAAACTCATGAAATTTGGCAGGACGACCGGGCCTGGTGAAAAATTTGATATTCCGAAGTCGCCCAATCAAGAAAATGCAAAATGGCTCCATAGCGCCCCCTAAGGTGAAAATTCACACTATTGACTGTCACGCCTGTACGCTTTGTCAAAATGACACAAAAATTGACACACACATGTATCTCAATAAGATCTACAAAAAAGTCAGTGCGGGAGTATCTGTCAAATGTACGGTTAAAGGGTTATTCCGCATTTTTTGCCGATCCGCACACATTGGAATTTCGCTAACTCCTCCGAAGGCTTTCGTTCCACCGGCACCACATTTGCTCAGGCCAATCTACACCCCATGGCAATTAAAAGTTATTCAAATCATGACGCTGCACCCCACGGTTTAGGTTCTAGGGGGCGCCAAAGATAACCCTAAAATCCACATATTTAAAAGTCTTATAACTTTTTATTTTTGTCCCCACTGGCCTCCAAGTTTTCTAGGATGATGCAATGTCCAGCCATCAACACATTTGTGAAGGAATTTTTACTCGCCAAAAGAGCGCCCCCCCATGGCAGGAGAAAAAAGTCCATTTTTTCTTGTCCACTAAGGTGAAAATACACATTGTTGAGTGCTACGCCTGTATGTTTTGTCGTATTGACACAAAATTTTACATACACATGTATTTCAATAAGATCTTCGAAAAAGTCAATGGCCACGTATCTGTAAAATGTACAGTTAAAGGGTTATTTCGCATTTTTTGCAGATTCGCACACATTGGAATTTCGCTAACTCCTCCGAAGGCTTTCGTTCCACCGGCACCACATTTGCTCAGGCCAATCTACACCCCATGGCCATTAAAAGTTATTCAAATCATGACGCTGCACCCCACGGTTTAGGTTCTAGGGGGCGCCAAAGATAACCCTAAAATCCACATATTTAAAAGTCTTATAACTTTTTATTTTTGTCCTCACTGGCCTCCATGTTTTCTAGGATGATGCAATGTCCAGCCATCAACACATTTGTGAAGGAGTTTTTTCTCTTTAAAAGAGCGCCCCCCCATGGCAGGAGAATAAAGTCAAGTTTTTCCTGTTCATCATTCAATGGCTCAAACGCACTGCTCTCTCGGCAAAAGCGAAAGGAGGAGCAACTTGCCATTTGGATATATCTTAGCTGTGTTTGTGCCCTCACTCATGGTCCAGACTTTTTTCAAATAGGACATGGAGTTTTTCTGCAGCCAGCGTTTTGGTAGAAACTGCGCCTCCCGTTCATTATAATGGTAAATGACCACAAACAAGTGCGCACACCATCTTTGGACCTTGAGTGTGACGCGATTGGGTGGGGGAGGCGGTCGCACTGGGGGCGGCGTGACACGGCTCGGGCCCGCCAGTGCCCCAACGGGGCCCTAGTTATTATTTTTCCTCCCCTTTGAACTGGAAAATGGCCCACTTCCCACCCGCGAAAACTCATGAAAATTGGCAGGACGACCGGGCCTGGTGAAAAATTTGATATTCCGAAGTCGCCCAAACAAGAAAATGCAAAATGGCTCCATAGCGCCCCCTAAGGTGAAAATTCACACTATTGACTGTCACGCCTGTACGCTTTGTCAAAATGACACAAAAATTGACACACACATGTATCTCAGTAAGATCTACAAAAAAGTCAGTGCGGGCGTATCTGTCAAATGTACGGTTAAAGGGTTATTTCGCATTTTTTGCCGATCCGCACACATTGGAATTTCGCTAACTCCTCCGAAGGCTTTCGTTCCACCGGCACCACATTTGCTCAGGCCAATCTACACCCCATGGCCATTAAAAGTTATTCAAATCATGACGCTGCACCCCAAGGTTTAGGTTCTAGGGGGCGCCAAAGATAACCCTAAGATCCACATATTTAAAAGTCTTATAACTTTTTATTTTTGCCCTCACTGGCCTCCAAGTTTTCTAGGATGATGCAATGTCCAGCCATCAACACATTTGTGAAGGAATTTTTACTCCCCAAAAGAGCGCCCCCCCATGGCAGGAGAAAAAAGTCAATTTTTTCTTGTCCCCTAAGGTGAAAATACACATTGTTGAGTGTAACACCTGTACGCTTTGGCAAAATGACACAAAAATTGACACACACATGTATCTCAATAAGATCTACGAAAAAGTCAATGCGCGCGTATCTGTCAAATGTACGGTTAAAGGGTTATTCCGCATTTTTTGCCGATCCGCACACATTGGAATTTCGCTAACTCCTCCGAAGGCTTTCGTTCCACCGGCACCACATTTGCTCAGGCCAATCTACACCCCATGGCCATTAAAAGTTATTCAAATCATGACGCTGCATCCCACGGTTTAGGTTCTAGGGGGCGCCAAAGATAACCCTAAAATCCACATATTTCAAAGTCTTATAACTTTTTATTTTTGTCCTCACTGGCCTCCAAGTTTTCTAGGATGATGCAATGTCCAGCCATCAACACATTTGTGAAGGAATTTTTACTCCCCAAAAGAGCGCCCCCCCATGGCAGGAGAAAAAAGTCAATTTTTTCTTGTCCCCTAAGGTGGAAATTCACACTATTGACTGTCACGCCTGTACGCTTTATCATATTGACACAAAAATTGACACACATATGTATCTCAATAAGATATACAAAAAAGTCAATTCGCGCGTATCTGTCAAATCTACGGTTAAAGGGCTATTTTGCATTTTTTGCCGATTCGCACACATTGGAATGTGGCTAACTCCTCCTAAGGCTTTCGTCCCACTGACACCAAATTTGCTCAGGCCAATCTACACCCCATGGCCATTCAAAGTTGTAAAAATCATGACGCTGCACCCCACGGTTTACGTTCTAGGGGGCGCCAAAGATGACCCAAAAATCCACATTCTTAAAAGAATCCACATCCCCCCCCCATGGCAGGAGAAAAAGTCAAGTTTTTCCTGCCCGTCGCTCAATGGCTCAATCGCATCGCTCTCCAGGCAACACCGTAAGGAGGAGCAACCTGGAATTTCGATATATCATAGCTGTGTTTGTGCCCTCACTCATGGTCCAGACTTTTTTCAAATAGGACATGAAGTTTGTCTGCAGCGAGTGTTTTGGTAGAAACTGCGCCTCCCATTCATTATAATGGGAAATGACCACAGACAAGTGCGCACACCATCTTTGGTTCTTGAGTGTGACTCGATCGGGACGGGGAGGCGGTCGCACTGGGGGCGGCGCGACGCAGCTCGGGCCCGACAGTGCCCCACCGGGGCCCTAGTTAGGGCCCGAGCGTAGCTGCTAAGCAGCTGCGAGAGCCCTCTTGTTCCTGCATGTTTCCTTCTTTTGTTATTATTATTATTTTTCCTCCCCTTTGAACTGGAAAATGGCCCACTTCCCACTGGCGAAAACTCATGAAATTTGGCAGGACGACCGGGCCTGGTGAAAAATTTGATATTCCGAAGTCGCCCAAACAAGAAAATGCAAAATGGCTCCATAGCGCCCCCTAAGGTGAAAATTCACACTATTGACTGTCACGCGTGTACGCTTTGTCAAAATGACACAAAAATTGACACACACATGTATCTCAATAAGATCTACAAAAAAGTCAGTGCGGGCGTATCTGTCAAATGTACGGTTAAAGGGTTATTTCGCATTTTTTGCCGATCCGCACACATTGGAATTTCGCTAACTCCTCCGAAGGCTTTCGTTCCACCGGCACCACATTTGCTCAGGCCAATCTACACCCCATGGCCATTAAAAGTTATTCAAATCATGACGCTGCACCCCACGGTTTAGGTTCTAGGGGGCGCCAAAGATAACCCTAAGATCCACATATTTAAAAGTCTTATAACTTTTTATTTTTGCCCTCACTGGCCTCCAAGTTTTCTAGGATGATGCAATGTCCAGCCATCAACACATTTGTGAAGGAATTTTTACTCCCCAAAAGAGCGCCCCCCCATGGCAGGAGAAAAAAGTCCATTTTTTCTTGTCCCCTAAGGTGAAAATACACATTGTTGAGTGTAACACCTGTACGCTTTGGCAAAATGACACAAAAATTGACACACACATGTATCTCAATAAGATCTACGAAAAAGTCAGTGCGCGCGTATCTGTCAAATGTACGGTTAAAGGGTTATTCCGCATTTTTTGCCGATCAGCACACATTGGAATTTCGCTAACTCCTCCGAAGGCTTTCATTCCACCGGTACCACATTTGCTCAGGCCAATCTACACCCCATGGCCATTAAAAGTTATTCAAATCATGACGCTGCATCCCACGGTTTAGGTTCTAGGGGGCGCCAAAGATAACCCTAAAATCCACATATTTAAAAGTCTTATAACTTTTTATTTTTGTCCTCACTGGCCTCCAAGTTTTCTAGGATGATGCAATGTCCAGCCATCAACACATTTGTGAAGGAATTTTTACTCCCCAAAAGAGCGCCCCCCCATGGCAGGAAAAAAAAGCCAATTTTTTCTTGTCCCCTAAGGTGGAAATTCACACTATTGACTGTCACGCCTGTACGCTTTATCATATTGACACAAAAATTGACACACATATGTATCTCAATAAGATCTACAAAAGAGTCGATTCGCGCGTATCTGTCAAATGTACGGTTAAAGGGCTATTTTGCATTTTTTGCCGATTCGCACACATTGGAATGTGGCTAACTCCTCCTAAGGCTTTCGTCCCACTGACACCAAATTTGCTCAGGCCAATCTACACCCCATGGCCATTCAAAGTTGTAAAAATCATGACGCTGCACCCCACGGTTTACGTTCTAGGGGGCGCCAAAGATGACCCAAAAATCCACATTCTTCAAATAATCCACATCCCCCCCCCCCCCCCCCCCATATGGCAGGAGAAAAAGTTAAGTTTTTCCTGCCCATCGCTCAATGGCTCAATCGCATCGCTCTCCAGGCAACACCGTAAGGAGGAGCAACCTGCCATTTCGATATATCATAGCTGTGTTTGTGCCCTCACTCATGGTCCAGACTTTTTTCAAATAGGACATGAAGTTTGTCTGCAGCGAGTGTTTTGGTAGAAACTGCGCCTCCCATTCATTATAATAGGAAATGACCGCAGACAAGTGCGCACACCATCTTTGGATCTTGAGTGTGACGCGATCGGGAGGGGGAGGCGGTCGCACTGGGGGCGGCGCGACACGGCTCGGGCCCGACAGTGCCCCAACGGGGTCCTAGTTAGGGCCCGAGCGTAGCTGCTAAGCAGCTGCGAGAGCCCTATTATTCCCCAAGTGGTTTTTCTTTGTTTCTTTTTTCTTTTTCCTCCCCTTTGAACTGGAAAATGGCCCACTTCCCACTGGCGAAAACTCATGAAATTTGGCAGGACGACCGGGCCTGGTGAAAAATTTGATATTCTGAAGTCGCCCAAACAATACAATGCAAAATGGCTCCATAGCGCCCCCTAAGGTGAAAAATTCACCTGACGCCTGTACGCTTTGTCAAAATGACACAAAAATTGACACACACATGTATCTCAATAAGATCTACAAAAAAGTCAGTGCGGGCGTATCTGTCAAATGTACGGTTAAAGGGTTATTGCGCATTTTTTGCCGATCCGCACACATTGGAATTTCGCTAACTCCTCCGAAGGCTTTCGTTCCACCGGCACCACATTTGCTCAGGCCAATCTACACCCCATGGCCATTAAAAGTTATTCAAATCATGACGCTGCACCCCACGGTTTAGGTTCTAGGGGGCGCCAAAGATAACCCTAAAATCCACATATTTCAAAGTCTTATAACTTTTTATTTTTGCCCTCACTGGCCTCCAAGTTTTCTAGGATGATGCAATGTCCAGCCATCAACACATTTGTGAAGGAATTTTTACTCCCCAAAAGAGCGCCCCCCCATGGCAGGAGAAAAAAGTCCATTTTTTCTTGTCCCATAAGGTGAAAATTCACACTATTGACTGTCACGCCTGTACGCTTTGTCAAAATTACACAAAAATTGACACACACATGTATCTCAATAAGATCTACAAAAAAGTCAGTGCGGGCGTATCTGTCAAATGTACGGTTAAAGGGTTATTGCGCATTTTTTGCCGATCCGCACACATTGGAATGTGGCTAACTCCTCCTAAGGCTTTCGTCCCACTGACACCAAATTTGCTCAGGCCAATCTACACCCCATGGCCATTAAAAGTTATTCAAATCATGACGCTGCACCCCACGGTTTAGGTTCTAGGGGGCGCCAAAGATAACCCTAAAATCCACATATTTAAAAGTCTTATAACTTTTTATTTTTGCCCTCACTGGCCTCCAAGTTTTCTAGGATGATGCAATGTCCAGCCATCAACACATTTGTGAAGGAATTTTTACTCCCCAAAAGAGCGCCCCCCCATGGCAGGAGAAAAAAGTCCATTTTTTCTTGTCCCATAAGGTGAAAATACACATTGTTGACTGTCATACCTGTATGCTTTGTCATATTGACACAAAATTTGACACACACATGTATCTCAATTAGATCTACGAAAAAGTCAATGCGCGCGTATCTGTAAAATGTACGGTTAAAGGGCTATTTTGCATTTTTTGCCGATTAGCACACATTGGAATGTGGCTAACTCCTCCTAAGGCTTTCGTCCCACAGACACCAAATTTGCTCAGGCCAATCTACACCCCATGGCCATTCAAAGTTTTAAAAATCATGACGCTGCACCCCACGGTTTACGTTCTAGGGGGCGCCAAAGATGACCCAAATATCCACATTCTTAAAAGAATCCACATCCCCCCCCCCCCCCATCCCCCATCCCCCATCCCCCATGGCAGGAGAAAAAGTCAAGTTTTTCCTGCCCATCACTCAATGGCTCAATCGCATCGCTCTCCCGGCAACACCGTAACGAGGAGCAACTTGCCGTTTGGATATATCCTAGCTGTGTTTGTGCCCTCACTCATGGTCCAGACTTTTTTCAAATAGGACATGGAGTTTGTCTGCAGCGAGTGTTTTGGTAGAAACTGCGCCTCCCATTCATTATAATGGGAAATGACCACAGACAAGTGCGCACACCATCTTTGGACCTTGAGTGTGACGCGATCGGGAGGGGGAGGCGGTCGCGCTGGGGGCGGCGCAACGCGGCTCGGGCCCGCCAGTGCCCCAACGGGGCCCTAGTTAGGGCCCGAGCGTAGCTGCTAAGCAGCTGCGAGAGCCCTATTATTCCCCAAGTGGTTTTTCTTTGTTTCTTTTTTCTTTTTCCTCCCCTTTGAACTGGAAAATGGCCCACTTCCCACTGGCGAAAACTCATGAAATTTGGCAGGACGACCGGGCCTGGTGAAAAATTTGATATTCCGAAGTCGCCCAAACAAGAAAATGCAAAATGGCTCCATAGCGCCCCCTAAGGTGAAAATTCACACTATTGACTGTCACGCCTGTACGCTTTGTCAAAATGACACAAAAATTGACACACACATGTATCTCAATAAGATCTACAAAAAAGTCAGTGCGGGCGTATCTGTCAAATGTACGGTTAAAGGGTTATTTCGCATTTTTTGCCGATCCGCACACATTGGAATTTCGCTAACTCCTCCGAAGGCTTTCGTTCCACCGGCACCACATTTGCTCAGGCCAATCTACACCCCATGGCCATTAAAAGTTATTCAAATCATGACGCTGCACCCCACGGTTTAGGTTCTAGGGGGCGCCAAAGATAACCCTAAAATCCACATATTTAAAAGTCTTATAACTTTTTATTTTTGCCCTCACTGGCCTCCAAGTTTTCTAGGATGATGCAATGTCCAGCCATCAACACATTTGTGAAGGAATTTTTACTCCCCAAAAGAGCGCCCCCCATGGCAGGAGAAAAAAGTCCATTTTTTCTTGTCCCCTAAGGTGAAAATTCACACTATTGACTGTCACGCCTGTACGCTTTGTCAAAATGACACAAAAATTGACACACACGTGTATCTCAATAAGATCTACAAAAAAGTCCATGCGCGCGTATCTGTCTAATGTACGGTTAAAGGGTTATTTCGCATTTTTTGCCGATCCGCACACATTGGAATTTCGCTAACTCCTCCGAAGGCTTTCGTTCCACCGGCACCACATTTGCTCAGGCCAATCTACACCCCATGGCCATTAAAAGTTATTCAAATCATGACGCTGCACCCCACGGTTTACGTTCTAGGGGGCGCCAAAGATAACCCAAAAATCCACATTTTTAAAAGTCTTATAACTTTTTATTGTTGTCCCCACTGGCCTCCAAGTTTTCTAGGATGATGCAATGTCCAGCCATCAACACATTTGTGAAGGAATTTTTACTCCCTAAAAGAGCGCCCCCCCATGGCAGGAGAAAAAAGTCCATTTTTTCTTGTCCCCTAAGGTGAAAATACACATTGTTGACTGTCACGCCTGTACGCTTTGGCAAAATGACACAAAAATTGACAATCATGTGTATCTCAATTAGATCTACGAAAAAGTCAAAGAGCGCGTATCTGTATAATGTACGGTAAAAGGGCTATTTTGCATTTTTTGCCGATTCGCACACATTGGAATTTCGCTAACTCCTCCTAAGGCTTTCGTCCCACTGACACCAAATTTGCTCAGGCCAATCTACACTCCATGGCCATTCAAAGTTGTAAAAATCATGACGCTGCACCCCACGGTTTACGTTTTAGGGGGCGCCAAAGATGACCCAAATATACATTACAGTAGACAAAGTAGTTTTGCCCACTGAGTGGCGCCAAAGGGACTTGTCTGTGGAGTCTGTGAGTCACTATTGGCCGTTTTTGACTACTTTAGATTTTACCTTTATATTTCCTCTTACAAAATTTTTACCTTGCCTTGCCTGGTATCATTTTTTTCAGCACAACCTCACCTGTGTCAATTTACAGTTATTTTATCATTTTGACATACTATATTTACACATTGGACCCAAATTCACACACAAAACATAAAATCCGAGTGGAAAAAAGTAACGTTTTTACTGTGAAAACCACAAATATGTGTGATGAACTGTTTTTAAAACTTAAACTTCAAATAAAAATTGTAAACTTCAAAACATATGCAAATTTTTAACAAAGAACATAGTAATTTACCTCTATTGACATCAAAATGCAGGCAATGGCCCAGGTGTTCTTTGTAAAATTATTTACAAAACACTGTATAGTCTCACAAATGTCACTTTTTATTTATGCCACTACAAAAAAACATGATGTAAATGATGCATGATGTAAAACATGATGTAAAAAACTTGTGTAGATCCTCCTCTATGTTAGTCCATGTGTAATTTTTCCATAATTCTTTGTTTTTTGCAGCATTTTTGTTAGTGTAACTGCAGATTGTGCTGACAGTGTCTATGGCAAAAAAAAAAAAAAAAAAACTGAAAATGCCTCAACATGAACCCCTGGTGGTCTCTGAGGGTGAAACCTGCTAACTGCTGCAGCTCTGTCAGCTTCAGTCTCCCATGCAGAGCTCTGAGCGCATGTGTGGCTCTGCACCCTTAGCAGCGTTGCTAACTCCTCAGTAAGGAAAGCCTGCTTCATGTCAGAGTCTCTAAACTCCAGAAGAAGTCGATAAAAGTCACTTTCTTTCTAAAAAAAAGTCGTTAGGGGGTCTGAAAAGTCATTGAATCTAACAACAAAGTCGCTAGGTTTGCAACTACGTGTCCCAGACTGCATCCCTGCTGAGAGTCCCTCCCTCCCTTCTCATGTTGCAGGAAGAACGTAAGTTCCCGCCCCTTGTCAATCAGTCACCATATAATTTTGGATTGGTTGTTGTGGTGAAGTTTTCCACCAATAGGAGAGATGTTGTGGTGTGTATTTTTTTTCCTTTGGCAAGCCTTTTCCGCCTGTAAGACCTGTCGCTAATGTCTGCATGCTATGTTTTCCTGTCTCATACAGCGCGATCGAGCGCCGAACGTGATCAAAATAAGCAGAAAACAAGTATCGCGGACATAATTTATCATAACTCTGGTTTTATTTGGCCTATCAACACAATTTAAAAACTGGTATATAGGTTGAGGTCCTCACTTTTGAGATAAATTGAAACGGAGAGTCAACGAGGCTCCGTCTTGCAGCTACATCCGGTTAAATATGTCATGTGACTTGAACGCACACACACACACACACACAGACACACACACACACGCACACACACACACTCAGAGTCTGGTTTGTAGCACCTGCAAAAACATGCTATTTACATATTTGACAAGAATGCAGAGGCTCCTTTTGCCCCTGAAAAAAATCAAATTTCAAACACAACTTGACTGGTCATTTCTCCAAAAGACAACCATGAAGCTCCATCCAAACCTGAAGCAGGCAGTTGGTGCATGTGTACAGTAACCTGAGGGGAGTGAGGTGACTGCTTCTGAGGAGAACATGAGCAGTGAAGATTTACCTTAGAGCTAGAACAGAGACGTGCACATGATTATACAGGGGCAGGGGCTCAAGTTTTTTCCAGTCGTTTATACAATTTGGAAATTAATGTGAAATTAAAAAACAAAGTATTAATAGAAAGGTAATGACTGTCCTGTGTAGGTGACAGTGATATCCAATAGGCTAGGCACTCACGAGGCTGGCTGTGGCAAGTGTAAGTGAAAGCAACACGCACTGGCAGGAAGAACAGCAAACGCCGATGAAGGAAAAGGGTCTTTGCAGTGATGGGCGTTACCAAAGAGGGCGATGGCCAGAGGACACAAATGGGACGGGGAGGCAGCGCGTTGGGGGGGACGCGACACAGCTCGGGCCCGCCAGTGCCCCAACGGGGTCCTAGTTAGGGCCCGAGCGTAGCTGCTAAGCAGCTGCGAGAGCCCTCTTGTTCCTGCATGTTTCCTTCTTTCGTTATTATTTTTCCTCCGCTTTAAACTGGAAAATGGCCCACTTCCCACTGGCGAAAACTCAGGAAATTTGGCAGGACGACCGGGCCTGGTGAAAAATTCGATATTCTGAAGTCGCCCAAACAATAAAATGCAAAATGGCTCCATAGCGCCCCCTAAGGTGAAAATTCACATGACGGCTGTACGCTTTGTCATATTGACACAAAAATTGACACACACATGTATCTCAATAAGATCTACAAAAAAGTCAGTGCGGGCGTATCTGTCAAATGTACAGTTATTGGGTTATTTTGCATTTTTTGCAGATCTGCACACATTGGAATTTCGCTAACTCCTCCGAAGGCTTTCGTTCGACCGGCACCACATTTGCGCAGGCCAATCTACCCCCCATGGCCATTAAAAGTTGTACAAATCATGACGCTGCACCCCACGGTTTACGTTCTAGGGGGCGCCAAAGATTACCCAAAATCCACATTCTTAAAAGTCTTATAACTTTTTATTTTTGTCCTCACTGCCCTCCAAGTTTTCTAGGATGATGCAATGTCCAGCCATCAACACATTTGTGAAGGAATTTTTACTCCCCAAAAGAGCGCCCCCCCATGGCAGGAGAAAAAAGTCAATTTTTTCTTGTCCCCTTACATGAAAATACACATTGTTGAGTGTCATGCCTGAACGCTTTGTCATATTGCCACAAAAATTGACAATCATGTGTATCTCAATTAGATCTACGAAAAAGTCAAAAAGCGCGTATCTGTATAATGTACAGTTAAAGGGCTATTTCGCATTTTTTGCTGATTCGCACACATTGGAATGTGGCTATCTCCTCCTAAGGCTTTCGTCCCACCGATACCAAATTTGCTCAGGCCAATCTACACCCCATGCCCATTCAAAGTTGTAAAAATCATGACGCTGCACCCCACGGTTTACGTTCTAGGGGGCGCCAAAGATGACCCAAAAATCCACATTCTTAAAAGTCATTTTGGCCACTGCAGGAGTACAGAGTACTGCAGTTCTAGGGGGCGCCAAAGATGACCCAAAAATCCACATTCTTAAAAGTCTTTTTGGTCACTGCAGGAGTACAGAGTACTGCAGGATACACACACACACACACACACACACACACACACACACACACACACACACACACTCAGAGTCTGTTTTTTAGCACCTGCAAAAACATGCTGTTTACATATTTGACAAGAATGCAGAGGCTTCCTTTTGCCGCTGAAAAAAATCATATTTCAAACACAACTTGACTGTTCATTTCTCCAAAAGACAACCATGAAGCTCCATCCAAACCTGAAGCAGATAGTTGGTGCATGTGTACAGTAACCTGAGGGGAGTGAGGTGACTATTTCTGAGGAGAACATGAGCAGTGAAGATTCACCTTGGAGCTAGAACAGGGACGTGCACATGATTATACAGGGGCAGGGGCTCAAGTTTTTTCCAGTCATTTATACAATATGGAAATGAATGCGAAATTAAAAAACAAAGTATGACTGTCCTGTGTAGGTGACAGTGATATCCAATAGGCTAGGCACTCACGAGGCTGGCTGTGGCAAGTGTAAGTGAAAGCAACACGCACTGGCAGGAAGAACAGCAAACGCCGATGAAGGAAAAGGGTCTTTGCAGTGATGGGCGTTACCAGAGAGGGCGATGGCCAGAGGACATGAATGTGACGGGGAGGCAGCGCGTTGGGGGGGGGTGCGACACGGCTCGGGCCCGCCAGTGCCCCAACGGGGCCCTAGTTAGGGCCCGAGCGTAGCTGCTAAGCAGCTGCGAGAGCCCTCTTGTTCCTGTAGTTTCCTTCTTTTGTTATTAGGGCCCGAGCCAGCTGCAGAGCAGCCGGGCGTAGGCCCTATTATTCCCCAAGTGGTTTTTCTTTGTTTCTTTAGGGCCCGAGCCAGCTGCAGAGCAGCCGGGCGTAGGCCCTATTATTCCCCAAGTGGTTTTTCTTTGTTTCTTTCTTTAGGGCCCGAGCGTAGCTGCTAAGCAGCTGCGAGAGCCCTCTTGTTCCTGTAGTTTCCTTCTTTTGTTATTATTATTATTTTTCCTCCCCTTTGAACTGGAAAATTGCCCACTTCCCACTGGCGAAAACTCATGAAATTTGGCAGGACGACCGGGCCTGGTGAAAAATTTGATATTCCGAAGTCGCCCAAACAAGAAAATGCAAAATGGCTCCATAGCGCCCCCTAAGGTGAAAATTCACACTATTCACTGTCACGCCTGTACGCTTTGTCAAAATGACACAAAAATTGACACACACATGTATCTCAATAAGATCTACAAAAAAGTCAGTGCGGGCGTATCTGTCAAATGTACGGTTAAAGGGTTATTTCGCATTTTTTGCCGATCCGCACACATTGGAATTTCGCTAACTCCTCCGAAGGCTTTCGTTCCACCGGCACCACATTTGCTCAGGCCAATCTACACCCCATGGCCATTAAAAGTTATTCAAATCATGACGCTGCACCCCACGGTTTAGGTTCTAGGGGGCGCCAAAGATAACCCTAAGATCCACATATTTAAAAGTCTTATAACTTTTTATTTTTGCCCTCACTGGCCTCCAAGTTTTCTAGGATGATGCAATGTCCAGCCATCAACACATTTGTGAAGGAATTTTTACTCCCCAAAAGAGCGCCCCCCCATGGCAGGAGAAAAAAGTCCATTTTTTCTTGTCCCCTAAGGTGAAAATACACATTGTTGAGTGTAACACCTGTACGCTTTGGCAAAATGACACAAAAATTGACACACACATGTATCTCAATAAGATCTACGAAAAAGTCAATGCGCGCGTATCTGTCAAATGTACGGTTAAAGGGTTATTCCGCATTTTTTGCCGATCCGCACACATTGGAATTTCGCTAACTCCTCCGAAGGCTTTCGTTCCACCGGCACCACATTTGCTCAGGCCAATCTACACCCCATGGCCATTAAAAGTTATTCAAATCATGACGCTGCACCCCACGGTTTAGGTTCTAGGGGGCGCCAAAGATGACCGTAAAATCCACATATTTAAAAGTCTTATAACTTTTTATTTTTGTCCCCACTGGCCTCCAAGTTTTCTAGGATGATGCAATGTCCAGCCATCAACACATTTGTGAAGGAATTTTTACTCGGCAAAAGAGCGCCCCCCATGGCAGGAGAAAAAAGTCAATTTTTTCTTGTCCACTAAGGTGAAAATACACATTGTTGAGTGCTACGCCTGTATGTTTTGTCGTATTGACACAAAATTTTACATACACGTGTATTTCAATAAGATCTTCGAAAAAGTCAATGGCCACGTATCTGTAAAATGTACGGTTAAAGGGTTATTTCGCATTTTTTGCAGATTCGCACACATTGGAATTTCGCTAATTCCTCCGAAGGCTTTCGTTCCACCGGCACCACATTTGCTCAGGCCAATCTACACCCCATGGCCATTAAAAGTTATTCAAATCATGACGCTGCACCCCACGGTTTAGGTTCTAGGGGGCGCCAAATATAACCCTAAAATCCACATATTTAAAAGTCTTATAACTTTTTATTTTTGTCCTCACTGGCCTCCATGTTTTCTAGGATGATGCAATGTCCAGCCATCAACACATTTGTGAAGGAGTTTTTTCTCTTTAAAAGAGCGCCCCCCCATGGCAGGAGAATAAAGTCAAGTTTTTCCTGTTCATCATTCAATGGCTCAAACGCACTGCTCTCTCGGCAAAAGCGAAAGGAGGAGCAACTTGCCATTTGGATATATCTTAGCTGTGTTTGTGCCCTCACTCATGGTCCAGACTTTTTTCAAATAGGACATGGAGTTTTTCTGCAGCGAGCGTTTTGGTAGAAACTGCGCCTCCCGTTCATTATAATGGTAAATGACCACAAACAAGTGCGCACACCATCTTTGGACCTTGAGTGTGACGCGATCGGGTGGGGGAGGCGGTCGCGCTGGGGGCGGCGTGACACGGCTCGGGCCCGCCAGTGCCCCAACGGGGCCCTAGTTATTATTTTTCCTCCCCTTTGAACTGGAAAATGGCCCACTTCCCACTGGCGAAAACTCATGAAATTTGGCAGGACGACCGGGCCTGGTGAAAAATTTGATATTCCGAAGTCGCCCAAACAAGAAAATGCAAAATGGCTCCATAGCGCCCCCTAAGGTGAAAATTCACACTATTGACTGTCACGCCTGTACGCTTTGTCAAAATGACACAAAAATTGACACACACATGTATCTCAATAAGATCTACAAAAAAGTCAGTGCGGGCGTATCTGTCAAATGTACGGTTAAAGGGTTATTTCGCATTTTTTGCCGATCCGCACACATTGGAATTTCGCTAACTCCTCCGAAGGCTTTCGTTCCACCGGCACCACATTTGCTCAGGCCAATCTACACCCCATGGCCATTAAAAGTTATTCAAATCATGACGCTGCACCCCACGGTTTAGGTTCTAGGGGGCGCCAAAGATAACCCTAAGATCCACATATTTAAAAGTCTTATAACTTTTTATTTTTGCCCTCACTGGCCTCCAAGTTTTCTAGGATGATGCAATGTCCAGCCATCAACACATTTGTGAAGGAATTTTTACTCCCCAAAAGAGCGCCCCCCCATGGCAGGAGAAAAAAGTCCATTTTTTCTTGTCCCCTAAGGTGAAAATACACATTGTTGAGTGTAACACCTGTACGCTTTGGCAAAATGACACAAAAATTGACACACACATGTATCTCAATAAGATCTACGAAAAAGTCAAGGCGCGCGTATCTGTCAAATGTACGGTTAAAGGGTTATTCCGCATTTTTTGCCGATCCGCACACATTGGAATTTCGCTAACTCCTCCGAAGGCTTTCGTTCCACCGGCACCACATTTGCTCAGGCCAATCTACACCCCATGGCCATTAAAAGTTATTCAAATCATGACGCTGCACCCCACGGTTTAGGTTCTAGGGGGCGCCAAAGATAACCCTAAAATCCACATATTTAAAAGTCTTATAACTTTTTATTTTTGTCCTCACTGGCCTCCAAGTTTTCTAGGATGATGCAATGTCCAGCCATCAACACATTTGTGAAGGAATTTTTACTCCCCAAAAGAGCGCCCCCCCATGGCAGGAGAAAAAAGTCCATTTTTTCTTGTCCCCTAAGGTGGAAATTCACACTATTGACTGTCACGCCTGTACGCTTTATCATATTGACACAAAAATTGACACACATATGTATCTCAATAAGATCTACAAAAAAGTCAATGCGCGCGTATCTGTCAAATGTACGGTTAAAGGGCTATTTTGCATTTTTTGCCGATTCGCACACATTGGAATGTGGCTAACTCCTCCTAAGGCTTTCGTCCCACTGACACCAAATTTGCTCAGGCCAATCTACACCCCATGGCCATTCAAAGTTGTAAAAATCATGACGCTGCACCCCACGGTTTACGTTCTAGGGGGCGCCAAAGATGACCAAAAAATCCACATTCTTAAAAGAATCCACATTCTCCCCCCCCATGGCACGAAAGAAAGTCAAGTTTTTCCTGCCCATCGCTCAATGGCTCAAACGCATCGCTCTCCAGGCAACACCGTAAGGAGGAGCAACCTGCCATTTGGATATATCCCAGCTGTGTTTGTGCCCTCACTCATGGTCCAGACTTTTTTCAAATAGGACATGAAGTTTGTCTGCAGCGAGTGTTTTGGTAGAAACTGCGCCTCCCATTCATTATAATGGGAAATGACCACAGACAAGTGCGCACACCATCTTTGGACCTTGAGTGTGACGCGATCGGGAGGGGGAGGCGGTCGCGCTGGGGGCGGCGCAACGCGGCTCGGGCCCGACAGTGCCCCACCGGGGTCCTAGTTCTTTCTTTCTTTCTTTCTTTCTTCTTTTTCCTCCCCTTTGAACTGGAAAATGGCCCACTTCCCACTGGCGAAAACTCATGAAATTTGGCAGGACGACCGGGCCTGGTGAAAAATTCGATATTCTGAAGTCGCCCAAACAATAAAATGCAAAATGGCTCCATAGCGCCCCCTAAGGTGGAAATTCACACTATTGACTGTCACGCCTGTACGCTTTGTCATATTGACACAAAAATTGACACACATATGTATCTCAATAAGATCTACAAAAAAGTCAGTGCGGCCGTATCTGTCAAAATTACGGTTAAAGGGTTATTTCGCATTTTTTTCCGATCCGCACACATTGGAATTTCGCTAACTCCTCCGAAGGCTTTCGTTCCACCGGCACCACATTTGCTCAGGCCAATCTACACCCCGTGGCCATTAAAAGTTATCAAAATCATGACGCTGCACCCCAAGGTTTAGGTTCTAGGGGGCGCCAAAGATAACACTAAAATCCACATATTTAAAAGTCTTATAACTTTTTATTTTTGCCCTCACTGGCCTCCAAGTTTTCTAGGATGATGCAATGTCCAGCCATCAACACATTTGTGAAGGAATTTTTACTCCCCAAAAGAGCGCCCCCCCATGGCAGGAGAAAAAAGTCCATTTTTTCTTGTCCCCTAAGGTGAAAATACACATTATTGAGTGTCACGCCTATACGCTTTGTCAAAATGACACAAAAATTGACACACACATGTAACTCAATAAGATCTACGAAAAAGTCAATGCGCGCGTATCTGTCAAATGTACGGTTAAAGGGTTATTCCGCATTTTTTGCCGATCCGCACACATTGGAATGTGGCTAACTCCTCCTAAGGCTTTCGTTCCACCGGCACCACATTTGCTCAGGCCAATCTACACCCCATGGCCATTAAAAGTTATTCAAATCATGACGCTGCACCCCACGGTTTAGGTTCTAGGGGGCGCCAAAGATAACCCTAAAATCCACATATTTAAAAGTCTTATAACTTTTTATTTTTGTCCTCACTGGCCTCCAAGTTTTCTAGGATGATGCAATGTCCAGCCATCAACACATTTGTGAAGGAATTTTTACTCCCCAAAAGAGCGCCCCCCCATGGCAGCAGAAAAAAGTCCATTTTTTCTTGTCCCCTAAGGTGAAAATACATATTGTTGAGATTCACGCCTATACGCTTTGTCATATTGACACAAAATTTGACAATCACGTGCCTTGCCTGGTATCATTTTTTTCAGCACAACCTCACCTGTGCGAATTTACAGTTATTTTATCATGTTGACATACTGAATTTACACAATGGACCCAAATTCACACACAAAACATAAAATCCGAGTGGAAAAAAGTAACATTTTTACTGTGAAAACCAAAAATATGTGTGATGAACTGTTTTTAAAACTTAAACTTCAAATAAAAATTGTAAACTTCAAAACATATGCAAATTTTTAACAAAGAACATAGTGATTTACCTCTATTTACATCAAAATGCAGGCAATGGCCCAGGCGTTCTTTGTAAAATTATTTACAAAACACTGTATAGTCTCACAAATGTCACTTTTTATTTATGCCACTACAAAAAAAACATGATGTAAATGATGCATGATGTAAAACATGATGTAAAAAACTTGTGTAGATCCTCCTCTATGTCAGTCCATGTGTAATTTTTCCATAATTCTTTGTTTTTTGCAGCATTTTTGTTAGTGTAACTGCAGATTGTGCTGACAGTGTCTATGGCACAAAAAAAAAAAAATTAAAATGCCTCAACATGAACCCCTGGTGGTCTCTGAGGGTGAAACCTGCTAACTGCTGCAGCTCTGTCAGCTTCAGTCTCCCATGCAGAGCTCTGAGCACATGTGTGGCTCTGCACCCTTAGCAGCGTTGCTAACTCCTCAGTAAGGAAAGCCTGCTTCATGTCAGAGTCTCTAAACTCCAGAAGAAGTCGATAAAAGTCCCTTTCTTTCTAAAAAAAAGTCGTTAGGGGGTCTGAAAAGTCATTGAATCTAACAACAAAGTCGCTAGGTTTGCAACTACGTGTCCCAGACTGCATCCCTGCTGAGAGTCCCTCCCTCCCTTCTCATGTTGCAGGAAGAACGTAAGCGCCCGCCCCTTGTCAATCAGTCACCATATAATTTTGGATTGGTTGTTGTGGTGAAGTTTTCCACCAATAGGAGAGATGTTGTGGTGTGTTTTTTTTTCTTTTGGCAAGCCTTTTCCGCCTGTAAGACCTGTCGCTAATGTCTGCATGCTATGTTTTCCTGTCTCATACAGCGCGGTCGAGCGCCGAACGTGATCAAAATAAGCAGAAAAAAAGTATCGCGGACATAATTTATCATAACTCTGGTTTTATTTGGCCTATCAACACAATTTAAAAACTGGTATATAGGTTGAGGTCCTCACTTTTGAGATAAATTGAAACGGAGAGTCAACGAGGCTCCGTCTTGCAGCTACATCCGGTTAAATATGTCATGTGACTTGAACGCACACACAGACACACACACACGCACACACACACACACACACACACACACTCAGAGTCTGGTTTTTAGCACCTGCAAAAACATGCTATTTACATATTTGACAAGAATGCAGAGGCTCCTTTTGCCCCTGAAAAAAATCAAATTTCAAACACAACTTGACTGGTCATTTCTCCAAAAGACAACCATGAAGCTCCATCCAAACCTGAAGCAGGCAGTTGGTGCATGTGTACAGTAACCTGAGGGGAGTGAGGTGACTGCTTCTGAGGAGAACATGAGCAGTGAAGATTTACCTTAGAGCTAGAACAGAGACGTGCACATGATTATACAGGGGCAGGGGCTCAAGTTTTTTCCAGTCGTTTATACAATTTGGAAATTATTTGTGAAATTAAAAAACAAAGTATTAATAGAAAGGTAATGACTGTCCTGTGTAGGTGACAGTGATATCCAATAGGCTAGGCACTCACGAGGCTGGCTGTGGCAAGTGTAAGTGAAAGCAACACGCACTGGCAGGAAGAACAGCAAACGCCGATGAAGGAAAAGGGTCTTTGCAGTGATGGGCGTTACCAAAGAGGGCGATGGCCAGAGGACACAAATGGGACGGGGAGGCAGCGCGTTGGGGGGGGGACGCGACACAGCTCGGGCCCGCCAGTGCCCCAACGGGGTCCTAGTTCTTTCTTTTTTCTTTTTCCTCCCCTTTGAACTGGAAAATGGCCCACTTCCCACTGGCGAAAACTCATGAAATTTGGCAGGACGACCGGGCCTGGTGAAAAATTTGATATTCTGAAGTCGCCAAAACAATAAAATGCAAAATGGCTCCATAGCGCCCCCTAAGGTGAAAATTCACACTATTCACTGTCACGACTGTACGCTTTGTCAAAATGACACAAAAATTGACACACACATGTATCTCAATAAGATCTACAAAAAAGTCAGTGCGGCCGTATCTGTCAAAATTACGGTTAAAGGGTTATTTCGCATTTTTTGCCGATCTGCACACATTGGAATTTCGCTAACTCCTCCGAAGGCTTTCGTTCCACCGGCACCACATTTGCTCAGGCCAATCTACACCCCGTGGCCATTAAAAGTTATCAAAATCATGACGCTGCACCCCAAGGTTTAGGTTCTAGGGGGCGCCAAAGATAACACTAAAATCCACATATTTAAAAGTCTTATAACTTTTTATTTTTGTCCTCACTGGCCTCCAAGTTTTCTAGGATGATGCAATGTCCAGCCATCAACACATTTGTGAAGGAATTTTTACTCCCCAAAAGAGCGCCCCCCCATGGCAGGAGAAAAAAGTCCACTTTTTCTTGTCCCCTAAGGTGAAAATACACATTGTTGAGTGTCACGCCTATACGCTTTGTCAAAATGACACAAAAATTGACACACACATGTAACTCAATAAGATCTACGAAAAAGTCAATGCGCGCGTATCTGTCAAATGTACGGTTAAAGGGTTATTCCGCATTTTTTGCCGATCCGCACACATTGGAATGTGGCTAACTCCTCCTAAGGCTTTCGTTCCACCGGCACCACATTTGCTCAGGCCAATCTACACCCCATGGCCATTAAAAGTTATCAAAATCATGACGCTGCACCCCACGGTTTAGGTTCTAGGGGGCGCCAAAGATAACCCTAAAATCCACATATTTAAAAGTCTTATAACTTTTTATTTTTGTCCTCACTGGCCTCCAAGTTTTCTAGGATGATGCAATGTCCAGCCATCAACACATTTGTGAAGGAATTTTTACTCCCCAAAAGAGCGCCCCCCCATGGCAGGAGAAAAAAGTCCATTTTTTCTTGTCCCCTAAGGTGAAAATACATATTGTTGAGATTCACGCCTATACGCTTTGTCATATTGACACAAAATTAGACAATCACGTGCCTTGCCTGGTATCATTTTTTTCAGCACAACCTCACCTGTGCGAATTTACAGTTATTTTATCATGTTGACATACTGAATTTACACAATGGACCCAAATTCACACACAAAACATAAAATCCGAGTGGAAAAAAGTAACATTTTTACTGTGAAAACCACAAATATGTGTGATGAACTGTTTTTAAAACTGAAACTTCAAATAAAAATTGTAAACTTCAAAACATATGCAAATTTTTAACAAAGAACATAGTGATTTACCTCTATTTACATCAAAATGCAGGCAATGGCCCAGGCGTTCTTTGTAAAATTATTTACAAAACACTGTATAGTCTCACAAATGTCACTTTTTATTTATGCCACTACAAAAAAACATGATGTAAATGATGCATGATGTAAAACATGATGTAAAAAACTTGTGTAGATCCTCCTGTATGTCAGTCCATGTGTAATTTTTCCATAATTCTTTGTTTTTTGCAGCATTTTTGTTAGTGTAACTGCAGATTGTGCTGACAGTGTCTATGGCACAAAAAAAAAAAAAATTAAAATGCCTCAACATGAACCCCTGGTGGTCTCTGAGGGTGAAACCTGCTAACTGCTGCAGCTCTGTCAGCTTCAGTCTCCCATGCAGAGCTCTGAGCGCATGTGTGGCTCTGCACCCTTAGCAGCGTTGCTAACTCCTCAGTAAGGAAAGCCTGCTTCATGTCAGAGTCTCTAAACTCCAGAAGAAGTCGATAAAAGTCCCTTTCTTTCTAAAAAAAAGTCGTTAGGGGGTCTGAAAAGTCATTGAATCTAACAACAAAGTCGCTACGTTTGCAACTACGTGTCCCAGACTGCATCCCTGCTGAGAGTCCCTCCCTCCCTTCTCATGTTGCAGGAAGAACGTAAGCGCCCTCCCCTTGTCAATCAGTCACCATATAATTTTGGATTGGTTGTTGTGGTGAAGTTTTCCACCAATAGGAGAGATGTTGTGGTGTGTTTTTTTTTTCTTTTGGCAAGCCTTTTCCGCCTGTAAGACCTGTCGCTAATGTGTGCATGCTATGTTTTCCTGTCTCATACAGCGCGATCGAGCGCCGAACGTGATCAAAATAAGCAGAAAAAAAGTATCGCGGACATAATTTATCATAACTCTGGTTTTATTTGGCCTATCAACACAATTTAAAAACTGGTATATAGGTTGAGGTCCTCACTTTTGAGATAAGTTGAAACGGAGAGTCAACGAGGCTCCATCTTGCAGCTACATCCGGTTAAATATGTCATGTGACTTGAACGCACACACAGACACACACACACGCACGCACACACACACACACACACACACACACACACACACACACACACACACACACACACACACACACACTCAGAGTCTGGTTTTTAGCACCTGCAAAAACATGCTATTTACATATTTGACAAGAATGCAGAGGCTCCTTTTGCCCCTGAAAAAAATCAAATTTCAAACACAACTTGACTGGTCATTTCTCCAAAAGACAACCATGAAGCTCCATCCAAACCTGAAGCAGGCAGTTGGTGCATGTGTACAGTAACCTGAGGGGAGTGAGGTGAGTGCTTCTGAGGAGAACATGAGCAGTGAAGATTCACCTTGGAGCTAGAACAGAGACATGCACATGATTATACAGGGGCAGGGGCTCAAGTTTTTTCCAGTCGTTTATACAATATGGAAATTAATGTGAAATTAAAACACAAAGTATTAATAGAAAGGTAATGACTGTCCTGTGTAGGTGACAGTGATATCGAATAGGCTAGGCACTCACAAGGCTGGCTGTGGCAAGTGTAAGTGAAAGCAACACGCACTGGCAGGAAGAACAGCAAACGCCGATGAAGGAAAAGGGTCTTTGCAGTGATGGGCGTAACCAGAGAGGGCGATGGCCAGAGGACACAAATGGGACGGGGAGGCAGCACGTTGGGGGGGGGCGACACGGCTCGGGCCCGCCAGTGCCCCAACGGGGTCCTAGTTATTATTTTTCCTCCCCTTTGAACTGGAAAATGGCCCACTTCCCACTGGCGAAAACTCATGAAATTTGGCAGGACGACCGGGCCTGGTGAAAAATTTGATATTCCGAAGTCGCCCAAACAAGAAAATGCAAAATGGCTCCATAGCGCCCCCTAAGGTGAAAATTCACACTATTCACTGTCACGCCTGTACGCTTTGTCAAAATGACACAAAAATTGACACACACATGTATCTCAATAAGATCTACAAAAAAGTCAATGCGGGCGTATCTGTCAAATGTACGGTTAAAGGGTTATTTTGCATTTTTTGCCGATCCGCACACATTGGAATTTCGCTAACTCCTCCGAAGGCTTTCGTTCCACCGGCACCACATTTGCTCAGGCCAATCTACACCCCATGGCCATTAAAAGTTATTCAAATCATGACGCTGCACCCCACGGTTTAGGTTCTAGGGGGCGCCAAAGATAACCCTAAGATCCACATATTTAAAAGTCTTATAACTTTTTATTTTTGCCCTCACTGGCCTCCAAGTTTTCTAGGATGATGCAATGTCCAGCCATCAACACATTTGTGAAGGAATTTTTACTCCCCAAAAGAGCGCCCCCCCATGGCAGGAGAAAAAAGTCCATTTTTTCTTGTCCCCTAAGGTGAAAATACACATTGTTGAGTGTAACACCTGTACGCTTTGGCAAAATGACACAAAAATTGACACACACATGTATCTCAATAAGATCTACGAAAAAGTCAATGCGCGCGTATCTGTCAAATGTACGGTTAAAGGGTTATTCCGCATTTTTTGCCGATCCGCACACATTTGAATTTCGCTAACTCCTCCGAAGGCTTTCGTTCCACCGGCACCACATTTGCTCAGGCCAATCTACACCCCATGGCCATTAAAAGTTATTCAAATCATGATGCTGCACCCCATGGTTTAGGTTCTAGGGGGCGCCAAAAATAACCCAAAAATCCACATTCTTAAATGTTTTATAACTTTTTATTTTTGTCCTCACTGGCCTCCAAGTTTTCTAGGATGATGCAATGTCCAGCCATCAACACATTTGTGAAGGAATTTTTACACCCCAAAAGAGCGCCCCCCCATGGTAGGAGAAAAAAGTCAATTTTTTCTTGTCCCCTTACATAAAAATACACATTGTTGAGTGTCACGCCTGAACGCTTTGTCAAAATGACACAAAAATTGACAATCATGTGTATCTCAATTAGATCTACGAAAAAGTCAAAGAGCGCGTATCTGTATAATGTACGGTTAAAGGGCTATTTTGCATTTTTTGCCGATTCGCACACATTGGAATGTGGCTATCTCCTCCTAAGGCTTTCGTCCCACCGATACCAAATTTGCTCAGGGCAATCTACACCCCATGCCCATTCAAAGTTGTAAAAATCATGACGCTGCACCCCACGGTTTACGTTCTAGGGGGCGCCAAAGATGACCCAAAAATCCACATTCTTAAAAGTCATTTTGGCCACTGCAGGAGTACAGAGTACTGCAGTTCTAGGGGGCGCCAAAGATGACCCAAAAATCCACATTCTTAAAAGTCTTTTTGGCCACTGCAGGAGTACAGAGTACTGCAGGATACACACACATATACACACACGCCAACATACACACACACACACACACACACACACACACACACACACACACAGACACACACACACACTCAGAGTCTGTTTTTTAGCACCTGCAAAAACATGCTGTTTACATATTTGACAAGAATGCAGAGGCTTCCTTTTGCCCCTGAAAAAAAATCAAATTTCAAACACAACTTGACTGGTCATTTCTCCAAAAGACAACCATGAAGCTCCATCCAAACCTGAAGCAGGCAGTTGGTGCATGTGTACAGTAACCTGAGGGGAGTGAGGTGAGTGCTTCTGAGGAGAACATGAGCAGTGAAGATTCACCTTGGAGCTAGAACAGAGACATGCACATGATTATACAGGGGCAGGGGCTCAAGTTTTTTCCAGTCGTTTATACAATATGGAAATTAATGTGAAATTAAAACACAAAGTATTAATAGAAAGGTAATGACTGTCCTGTGTAGGTGACAGTGATATCGAATAGGCTAGGCACTCACGAGGCTGGCTGTGGCAAGTGTAAGTGAAAGCAACACGCACTGGCAGGAAGAACAGCAAACGCCGATGAAGGAAAAGGGTCTTTGCAGTGATGGGCGTTACCAGAGAGGGCGATGGCCAGAGGACACAAATGGGACGGGGAGGCAGCACGTTGGGGGGGACGCGACACGGCTCGGGCCCGCCAGTGCCCCAACGGGGTCCTAGTTCTTTCTTTCTTTCTTCTTTTTCCTCCCCTTTGAACTGGAAAATGGCCCACTTCCCACTGGTGAAAACTCATGAAATTTGGCAGGACGACCGGGCCTGGTGAAAAATTCGATATTCTGAAGTCGCCCAAACAATAAAATGCAAAATGGCTCCATAGCGCCCCCTAAGGTGGAAATTCACACTATTGACTGTCACGCCTGTACGCTTTGTCATATTGACACAAAAATTGACACACATATGTATCTCAATAAGATCTACAAAAAAGTCAGTGCGGCCGTATCTGTCAAAATTACAATTAAAGGGTTATTTCGCATTTTTTGCCGATCCGCACACATTGGAATTTCGCTAACTCCTCCGAAGGCTTTCGTTCCACCGGCACCACATTTGCTCAGGCCAATCTACACCCCGTGGCCATTAAAAGTTATCAAAATCATGACGCTGCACCCCAAGGTTTAGGTTCTAGGGGGCGCCAAAGATAACACTAAAATCCACATATTTAAAAGTCTTAAAACTTTTTATTTTTGTCCTCACTGGCCTCCAAGTTTTCTAGGATGATGCAATGTCCAGCCATCAACACATTTGTGAAGGAATTTTTACTCCCCAAAAGAGCGCCCCCCCATGGCAGGAGAAAAAAGTCCATTTTTTCTTGTCCCCTAAGGTGAAAATACACATTGTTGAGTGTCACGCCTATACGCTTTGTCAAAATGACACAAAAATTGACACACACATGTAACTCAATAAGATCTACAAAAAAGTCCATGCGCGCGTATCTGTCAAATGTACAGTTAAAGGGTTATTCCGCATTTTTTGCCGATACGCACACATTGGAATTTCGCTAACTCCTCCGAAGGCTTTCGTTCCACCGGCACCACATTTGCTCAGGCCAATCTACACCCCATGGCCATTAAAAGTTATTCAAATCATGATGCTGCACCCCATGGTTTAGGTTCTAGGGGGCGCCAAAAATAACCCAAAAATCCACATTCTTAAATGTTTTATAACTTTTTATTTTTGTCCTCACTGGCCTCCAAGTTTTCTAGGATGATGCAATGTCCAGCCATCAACACATTTGTGAAGGAATTTTTACTCCCCAAAAGAGCGCCCCCCCATGGTAGGAGAAAAAAGTCAATTTTTTCTTGTCCCCTTACATAAAAATACACATTGTTGAGTGTCACGCCTGAACGCTTTGTCAAAATGACACAAAAATTGACAATCATGTGTATCTCAATTAGATCTACGAAAAAGTCAAAGAGCGCGTATCTGTATAATGTACGGTTAAAGGGCTATTTTGCATTTTTTGCCGATTCGCACACATTGGAATGTGGCTATCTCCTCCTAAGGCTTTCGTCCCACCGATACCAAATTTGCTCAGGGCAATCTACACCCCATGCCCATTCAAAGTTGTAAAAATCATGACGCTGCACCCCACGGTTTACGTTCTAGGGGGCGCCAAAGATGACCCAAAAATCCACATTCTTAAAAGTCATTTTGGCCACTGCAGGAGTACAGAGTACTGCAGTTCTAGGGGGCGCCAAAGATGACCCAAAAATCCACATTCTTAAAAGTCTTTTTGGCCACTGCAGGAGTACAGAGTACTGCAGGATACACACACATATACACACACGCCAACATACACACACACACACACACACACACACACACACACACACACACACACAGACACACACACACACTCAGAGTCTGTTTTTTAGCACCTGCAAAAACATGCTGTTTACATATTTGACAAGAATGCAGAGGCTTCCTTTTGCCCCTGAAAAAAAATCAAATTTCAAACACAACTTGACTGGTCATTTCTCCAAAAGACAACCATGAAGCTCCATCCAAACCTGAAGCAGGCAGTTGGTGCATGTGTACAGTAACCTGAGGGGAGTGAGGTGAGTGCTTCTGAGGAGAACATGAGCAGTGAAGATTCACCTTGGAGCTAGAACAGAGACATGCACATGATTATACAGGGGCAGGGGCTCAAGTTTTTTCCAGTCGTTTATACAATATGGAAATTAATGTGAAATTAAAACACAAAGTATTAATAGAAAGGTAATGACTGTCCTGTGTAGGTGACAGTGATATCGAATAGGCTAGGCACTCACGAGGCTGGCTGTGGCAAGTGTAAGTGAAAGCAACACGCACTGGCAGGAAGAACAGCAAACGCCGATGAAGGAAAAGGGTCTTTGCAGTGATGGGCGTTACCAGAGAGGGCGATGGCCAGAGGACACAAATGGGACGGGGAGGCAGCACGTTGGGGGGGACGCGACACGGCTCGGGCCCGCCAGTGCCCCAACGGGGTCCCTAGTTCTTTCTTTCTTTCTTCTTTTTCCTCCCCTTTGAACTGGAAAATGGCCCACTTCCCACTGGCGAAAACTCATGAAATTTGGCAGGACGACCGGGCCTGGTGAAAAATTCGATATTCTGAAGTCGCCCAAACAATAAAATGCAAAATGGCTCCATAGCGCCCCCTAAGGTGGAAATTCACACTATTGACTGTCACGCCTGTACGCTTTGTCATATTGACACAAAAATTGACACACATATGTATCTCAATAAGTTCTACAAAAAAGTCAGTGCGGCCGTAACTTTCAAAATTACGGTTAAAGGGTTATTTCGCATTTTTTGCCGATCCGCACACATTGGAATTTCGCTAACTCCTCCGAAGGCTTTCGTTCCACCGGCACCACATTTGCTCAGGCCAATCTACACCCGGTGGCCATTAAAAGTTATCAAAATCATGACGCTGCACCCCAAGGTTTAGGTTCTAGGGGGCGCCAAAGATAACACTAAAATCCACATATTTAAAAGTCTTATAACTTTTTATTTTTGTCCTCACTGGCCTCCAAGTTTTCTAGGATGATGCAATGTCCAGCCATCAACACATTTGTGAAGGAATTTTTACTCCCCAAGAGAGCGCCCCCCCATAATAGGAGAAAAAAGTCAATTTTTTCTTGTCCCCTTACATGAAAATACACATTGTTGAGTGTCACGCCTGAACGCTTTGTCATATTGACACAAAAATTGACAATCATGTGTATCTCAATTAGATCTACGAAAAAGTCAAAGAGCGCGTATCTGTATAATGTACGGTTAAAGGGCTATTTTGCATTTTTTGCCGATTCGCACACATTGGAATGTGGCTATCTCCTCCTAAGGCTTTCGTCCCACCGATACCAAATTTGCTCAGGGCAATCTACACCCCATGCCCATTCAAAGTTGTAAAAATCATGACGCTGCACCCCACGGTTTACGTTCTAGGGGGCGCCAAAGATGACCCAAAAATCCACATTCTTAAAAGTCATTTTGGCCACTGCAGGAGTACAGAGTACTGCAGTTCTAGGGGGCGCCAAAGATGACCCAAAAATCCACATTCTTAAAAGTCTTTTTGGCCACTGCAGGAGTACAGAGTACTGCAGGATACACACACATATACACACACGCCAACATACACACACACACACACACACACACACACACACACACACACACACACACACACACACACAGACACACACACACACACACACACTCAGAGTCTGTTTTTTAGCACCTGCAAAAACATGCTGTTTACATATTTGACAAGAATGCAGAGACTTCCTTTTGCCCCTGAAAAAAATCAAATTTCAAACACAACTTGACTGTTCATTTCTCCAAAAGACAACCATGAAGCTCCATTTCAAACCTGAAGCAGATAGTTGGTGCATGTGTACAGTAACCTGAGGGGAGTGAGGTGACTATTTCTGAGGAGAACATGAGCAGTGAAGATTCACCTTGGAGCTAGAACAGGGACGTGCACATGATTATACAGGGGCAGGGGCTCAAGTTTTTTCCAGTCATTTATACAATATGGAAATTAATGTGAAATTAAACCACAAATATGTGTGATGAACTGTTTTTAAAACTTAAACTTCAAATAAAAATTGTAAACTTCAAAACATATGCAAATTTTTAACAAAGAACATAGTAATTTACCTCTATTTACATCAAAATGCAGGCAATGGCCCAGGCGTTCTTTGTAAAATTATTTACAAAACACTGTATAGTCTCACAAATGTCACTTTTTATTTATGCCACTACAAAAAAACATGATGTAAATGATGCATGATGTAAAACATGATGTAAAAAACTTGTGTAGATCCTCCTCTATGTCAGTCCATGTGTAATTTTTCCATAATTCTTTGTTTTTTGCAGCATTTTTGTTAGTGTAACTGCAGATTGTGCTGACAGTGTCTATGGCACAAAAAAAAAAAATTAAAATGCCTCAACATGAACCCCTGGTGGTCTCTGAGGGTGAAACCTGCTAACTGCTGCAGCTCTGTCAGCTTCAGTCTCCCATGCAGAGCTCTGAGCGCATGTGTGGCTCTGCACCCTTAGCAGCGTTGCTAACTCCTCAGTAAGGAAAGCCTGCTTCATGTCAGAGTCTCTAAACTCCAGAAGAAGTCGATAAAAGTCCCTTTCTTTCTAAAAAAAAGTCGTTAGGGGGTCTGAAAAGTCATTGAATCTAACAACAAAGTCGCTAGGTTTGCAACTACGTGTCCCAGACTGCATCCCTGCTGAGAGTCCCTCCCTCCCTTCTCATGTTGCAGGAAGAACGTAAGCGCCCGCCCCTTGTCAATCAGTCACCATATAATTTTGGATTGGTTGTTGTGGTGAAGTTTTCCACCAATAGGAGAGATGTTGTGGTGTGTTTTTTTTTTCTTTTGGCAAGCCTTTTCCGCCTGTAAGACCTGTCGCTAATGTCTGCATGCTATGTTTTCCTGTCTCATACAGCGCGATCGAGCGCCGAACGTGATCAAAATAAGCAGAAAAAAAGTATCGCGGACATAATTTATCATAACTCTGGTTTTATTTGGCCTATCAACACAATTTAAAAACTGGTATATAGGTTGAGGTCCTCACTTTTGAGATAAGTTGAAACGGAGAGTCAACAAGGCTCCGTCTTGCAGCTACATCCGGTTAAATATGTCATGTGACTTGAACGCACACACAGACACACACACACACACACACACACACACACACACACACACACACACACACACACACTGGTTTTTAGCACCTGCAAAAACATGCTGTTTACATATTTGACAAGAATGCAGAGGCTCCTTTTGCCCCTGAAAAAAATCAAATTTCAAACACAACTTGACTGGTCATTTCTCCAAAAGACAACCATGAAGCTCCATCCAAACCTGAAGCAGGCAGTTGGTGCATGTGTACAGTAACCTGAGGGGAGTGAGGTGAGTGCTTCTGAGGAGAACATGAGCAGTGAAGATTCACCTTGGAGCTAGAACAGAGACATGCACATGATTATACAGGGGCAGGGGCTCAAGTTTTTTCCAGTCGTTTATACAATATGGAAATTAATGTGAAATTAAAACACAAAGTATTAATAGAAAGGTAATGACTGTCCTGTGTAGGTGACAGTGATATCCAATAGGCTAGGCACTCACGAGGCTGGCTGTGGCAAGTGTAAGTGAAAGCAACACGCACTGGCAGGAAGAACAGCAAACGCCGATGAAGGAAAAGGGTCTTTGCAGTGATGGGCGTTACCAGAGAGGGCGATGGCCAGAGGACACAAATGGGACGGGGAGGCAGCACGTTGGGGGGGGGGGGGGGGGGGGACGCGACACGGCTCGGGCCCGCCAGTGCCCCAACGGGGTCCTAGTTAGGGCCCGAGCGTAGCTGCTAAGCAGCTGCGAGAGCCCTCTTGTTCCTGCATGTTTCCTTCTTTCGTTATTATTTTTCCTCCGCTTTAAACTGGAAAATGGCCCACTTCCCACTGGCGAAAACTCAGGAAATTTGGCAGGACGACCGGGCCTGGTGAAAAATTCGATATTCTGAAGTCGCCCAAACAATAAAATGCAAAATGGCTCCATAGCGCCCCCTAAGGTGAAAATTCACATGACGGCTGTACGCTTTGTCATATTGACACAAAAATTGACACACACATGTATCTCAATAAGATCTACAAAAAAGTCAGTGCGGGCGTATCTGTCAAATGTACGGTTAATGGGTTATTTTGCATTTTTTGCAGATCTGCACACATTGGAATTTCGCTAACTCCTCCGAAGGCTTTCGTTCGACCGGCACCACATTTGTGCAGGCCAATCTACCCCCCATGGCCATTAAAAGTTGTACAAATCATGACGCTGCACCCCACGGTTTACGTTCTAGGGGGCGCCAAAGATAACCCAAAATCCACATTCTTAAAAGTCTTATAACTTTTTATTTTTGTCCTCACTGCCCTCCAAGTTTTCTAGGATGATGCAATGTCCAGCCATCAACACATTTGTGAAGGAATTTTTACTCCCCAAAAGAGCGCCCCCCATGGCAGGAGAAAAAAGTCAATTTTTTCTTGTCCCCTTACATGAAAATACACATTGTTGAGTGTCACGCCTGAACGCTTTGTCATATTGACACAAAAATTGACAATCATGTGTATCTCAATTAGATCTACGAAAAAGTCAAAAAGCGCGTATCTGTATAATGTACGGTTAAAGGGCTATTTCGCATTTTTTGCCGATTCGCACACATTGGAATGTGGCTATCTCCTCCTAAGGCTTTCGTCCCACCGATACCAAATTTGCTCAGGGCAATCTACACCCCATGCCCATTCAAAGTTGTAAAAATCATGACGCTGCACCCCACGGTTTACGTTCTAGGGGACGCCAAAGATGACCCAAAAATCCACATTCTTAAAAGTCATTTTGGCCACTGCAGGAGTACAGAGTACTGCAGTTCTAGGGGGCGCCAAAGATGACCCAAAAATCCACATTCTTAAAAGTCTTTTTGGCCACTGCAGGAGTACAGAGTACTGCAGGATACACACACATATACACACACACACACACACACACACACACACGCACACACACACTCAGAGTCTGTTTTTTAGCACCTGCAAAAACATGCTGTTTACATATTTGACAAGAATGCAGAGGCTTCCTTTTGCCCCTGAAAAAAATCAGATTTCAAACACAACTTGACTGGTCATTTCTCCAAAAGACAACCATGAAGCTCCATCCAAACCTGAAGCAGATAGTTGGTGCATGTGTTCAGTAACCTGAGGGGAGTGAGGTGACTATTTCTGAGGAGAACATGAGCAGTGAAGATTCACCTTGGAGCTAGAACAGGGACGTGCACATGATTATACAGGGGCAGGGGCTCAAGTTTTTTCCAGTCATTTATACAATATGGAAATTAATGTGAAATTAAACCACAAATATGTGTGATGAACTGTTTTTAAAACTTAAACTTCAAATAAAAATTGTAAACTTCAAAACATATGCAAATTTTTAACAAAGAACATAGTAATTTACCTCTATTTACATCAAAATGCAGGCAATGGCCCAGGCGTTCTTTGTAAAATTATTTACAAAACACTGTATAGTCTCACAAATGTCACTTTTTATTTATGCCACTACAAAAAAACATGATGTAAATGATGCATGATGTAAAACATGATGTAAAAAACTTGTGTAGATCCTCCTCTATGTCAGTCCATGTGTAATTTTTCCATAATTCTTTGTTTTTTGCAGCATTTTTGTTAGTGTAACTGCAGATTGTGCTGACAGTGTCTATGGCACAAAAAAAAAAAATTTAAAATGCCTCAACATGAACCCCTGGTGGTCTCTGAGGGTGAAACCTGCTAACTGCTGCAGCTCTGTCAGCTTCAGTCTCCCATGCAGAGCTCTGAGCGCATGTGTGGCTCTGCACCCTTAGCAGCGTTGCTAACTCCTCAGTAAGGAAAGCCTGCTTCATGTCAGAGTCTCTAAACTCCAGAAGAAGTCGATAAAAGTCCCTTTCTTTCTAAAAAAAAGTCGTTAGGGGGTCTGAAAAGTCATTGAATCTAACAACAAAGTCGCTAGGTTTGCAACTACGTGTCCCAGACTGCATCCCTGCTGAGAGTCCCTCCCTCCCTTCTCATGTCGCAGGAAGAACGTAAGCGCCCGCCCCTTGTCATTCAGTCACCATATAATGTTGGATTGGTTGTTGTGGTGAAGTTTTCCACCAATAGGAGAGATGTTGTGGTGTGTTTTTTTTTTCTTTTGGCAAGCCTTTTCCGCCTGTAAGACCTGTCGCTAATGTCTGCATGCTATGTTTTCCTGTCTCATACAGCACGATCGAGCGCCGAACGTGATCAAAATAAGCAGAAAAAAAGTATCGCGGACATAATTTATCATATCTCTGGTTTTATTTGGCCTATCAACACAATTTAAAAACTGGTATATAGGTTGAGGTCCTCACTTTTGAGATAAGTTGAAACGGAGAGTTAACGAGGCTCCGTCTTGCAGCTACATCCGGTTAAATATGTCATGTGACTTGAACGCTGGGGAGCGTCAATCGAATCGAATCAAACCTAACTCTCAGATGAATCTTCAAAATTCACCTCAGAAATATGCTTATTATTCTTCTCAGAGTACTGCAGGATACACACACACACACACACACACACACACAGACACACACACACACACACGCACACACACACACACACACACACACACACACTCAGAGTCTGTTTTTTAGCACCTGCAAAAAAACATGCTATTTACATATTTGACAAGAATGCGGAGGCTTCCTTTTGCCCCTGAAAAAAATCAGATTTCAAACACAACTTGACTGGTCATTTCTCCAAAAGACAACCATGAAGCTCCATCCAAACCTGAAGCAGGCAGTTGGTGCATGTGTACAGTAACCTGAGGGGAGTGAGGTGACTGCTTCTGAGGAGAACATGAGCACTGAAGATTCACCTTGGAGCTAGAACAGGGACGTGCACATGATAATACAGGGGCAGGGGCTCAAGTTTTTTCCAGTCGTTTATACAATATGGAAATTAATGTGAAATTAAAAAACAAAGTATGACTGTCCTGTGTAGGTGACAGTGATATCCAATAGGCTAGGCACTCACGAGGCTGGCTGTGGCAAGTGTAAGTGAAAGCAACACGCACTGGCAGGAAGAACAGCAAACGCCGATGAAGGAAAAGGGTCTTTGCAGTGATGGGCGTTACCAGAGAGGGCGATGGCCAGAGGACACGAATGGGACGGGGAGGCAGCGCGTTGGGGGGGGGGGGGGTGCGACACGGCTCGGGCCCGCCAGTGCCCCAACGGGGCCCTAGTTTCTTCTTTTTCCTCCCCTTTGAACTGGAAAATGGCCCACTTCCCACTGGCGAAAACTCATGAAATTTGGCAGGATGACCGGGCCTGGTGAAAAATTTGATATTCCGAAGTCGCCCAAACAAGAAAATGCAAAATGGCTCCATAGCGCCCCCTAAGGTGAAAATTCACACTATTGACTGTCACGCCTTTACGCTTTGTCAAAATGACACAAAAATTGACACACATATGTATCTCAATAAGATCTACAAAAAAGTCAGTGCGGGCGTATCTGTCAAATGTACGGTTAAAGGGTTATTTCGCATTTTTTGCAGATCCGCACACATTGGAATTTCGCTAACTCCTCCGAAGGCTTTCTTTCCACCGGCACCACATTTGCTCAGGCCAATCTACACCCCATGGCCATTAAAAGTTATTCAAATCATGACGCTGCACCCCACGGTTTAGGTTCTAGGGGGCGCCAAAGATAACCCTAAAATCCACATATTTAAAAGTCTTATAACTTTTTATTTTTGCCCTCACTGGCCTCCAAGTTTTCTAGGATGATGCAATGTCCAGCCATCAACACATTTGTGAAGGAATTTTTACTCCCCAAAAGAGCGCCCCCCCATGGCCGGAGAAAAAAGTCCATTTTTTCTTGTCCCCTAAGGTGAAAATACACATTGTTGAGTGTCACGCCTGTACGCTTTGTCATATTGACACAAAATTTGACACACACATGTATCTCAATAAGATCTACGAAAAAGTCAACACGCGCGTATCTGTCAAATGTACGGTTAAAGGGTTATTCTGCATTTTTTGCTGATCCGCACACATTGGAATTTCGCTAACTCCTCCTAAGGCTGGCGTTCCACCGGCACCACATTTGCTCAGGCCAATCTACACCCCATGGCCATTAAAAGTTATTCAAATCATGACGCTGCACCCCACGGTTTAGGTTCTAGGGGGCGCCAAAGATAACCCTAAAATCCACATATTTCAAAGTCTTATAACTTTTTCTTTTTGTCCTTACTGGCCTCCAAGTTTTCTAGGATGATGCAATGTCCAGCCATCAACACATTTGTGAAGGAATTTTTACTCCCTAAAAGAGCGCCCCCCCATGGCAGGAGAAAAAAGTCAATTTTTTCTTGTCCCGTAAGGTGAAAATTCACATTGTTGAGTGTGACACCTGTACGCTTTGTCATATTGACACAAAATTTGACAGTCACGTGTATCTCAATAAGATCTACGAAAAAGTCAATGGGTGCGTATCTGTCAAATGTACGGTTAGAGGGCTATTTTGCATTTTTTGCCGATTCGCACACATTGGAATGTGGCTAACTCCTCCTAAGGCTTTCGTCCCACTGAAACTAAATTTGCTCAGGCCAATCTACACCCGATGGCCATTCAAAGTTGTAAAAATCATGACGCTGCACCCCACGGTTTACGTTCTAGGGGGCGCCAAAGATGACCAAAAAATCCACATTCTTAAAAGAATCCACATTCTCCCCCCCCCCATGGCAGGAGAAAAAGTCAAGTTTTTCCTGCCCATCGCTCAATGGCTCAATCGCATCGCTCTCCAGGCAACACCGTATCCAGGAGCAACCTGCCATTTGGATATATCCCAGCTGTGTTTGTGCCCTCACTCATGGTCCAGACTTTTTTCAAATAGGACATGAAGTTTGTCTGCAGCGAGTGTTTCGGTAGAAACTGCGCCTCCCATTCATTATAATGGGAAATGACCACAGACAAGTGCGCACACCATCTTTGGACCTTGAGTGTGACGCGATCGGGAGGGGGAGGCGGTCACGCTGGGGGCGGCACAACGCGGCTCGGGCCCGACAGTGCCCCACCAGGGCCCTAGTTATTTTTCCTCCCCTTTAAACTGGAAAATGGCCCACTTCCCACTGGCGAAAACTCAGGAAATTTGGCAGGACGACCGGGCCTGGTGAAAAATTCGATATTCTGAAGTCGCCCAAACAATAAAATGCAAAATGGCTCCATAGCGCCCCCTAAGGTGAAAATTCACATGACGGCTGTACGCTTTGTCAAAATGACACAAAAATCGACACACACATGTATCTCAATAAGATCTACAAAAAAGTCAGTGCAGGCGTATCTGTCAAATGTACGGTTAAAGGGTTATTGTGCATTTTTTGCCGATCCGCACACATTGGAATTTCGCTAACTCCTCCGAAGGCTTTCGTTCCACCGGCACCACATTTGCTCAGGCCAATCTACACCCCATGGCCATTCAAAGTTATTCAAATCATGACGCTGCACCCCACGGTTTAGGTTCTAGGGGGCGCCAAAGATAACCCTAAAATCCACATATTTAAAAGTCTTATAACTTTTTATTTTTGCCCTCACTGGCCTCCACGTTTTCTAGGATGATGCAATGTCCAGCCATCAACACATTTGTGAAGGAATTTTTACTCCCCAAAAGAGCGCCCCCCCATGGCAGGAGAAAAAAGTCCATTTTTTCTTGTCCCCTAAGGTGAAAATACACATTGTTGAGTGTCACGCCTATACGCTTTGTCATATTGACCCAAAATTTGACAATCACACATGTATCTCAATAAGATCTACAAAAAAGTCTATGCGCGCGTATCTGTCAAATGTACGGTTAAAGGGTTATTCCGCATTTTTTGCCGATTCGCACACATTGGAATTTCGCTAACTCCTCCGAAGGCTTTCGTTCCACCGGCACCACATTTGCTCATGCCAAATTACACCCCATGGCCATTAAAAGTTATTCAAATCATGACGCTGCACCCCACGGTTTACGTTCTAGGGGGCGCCAAAGATAACCCTAAAATCCACATATTTAAAAGTCTTATAACTTCTTATTTTTGTCCTCACTGGCCTCCAGGTTTTCTAGGATGATGCAATGTCCAGCCATCAACACATTTGTGAAGGAATTTTTACTCCCCAAAAGAGCGCCCCCCCATGGCAGGAGAAAAAAGTCAATTTTTTCTTGTCCCCTAAGGTGAAAATACATATTGTTGAGATTCACGCCTATACGCTTTGTCATATTGACACAAAATTTGACAATCACGTGTATCTCAATAAGATCTACGAAAAAGTCAATGGGCAAGTATCTGTCAAATTTACGGTTAAAGGGCTATTTCGCATTTTTTGCCGATTCGCACACATTGGAATGTGGCTAACTCCTCCTAAGGCTTTCGTCCCACTGACACCAAATTTGCTCAGGCCAATCTACACCCCATGCCATTCAAAGTTGTAAAAATCATGACGCTGCACCCCACGGCTCACGTTCTAGGGGGCGCCAAAGATGACCCAAATATCCATATTCTTAAAAGAATCCACATCCCCCCCCCTCCCCCCCAAGGCAGGAGAAAAAGTCCAGTTAACCCTGCCCATCACTCAATGGCTCAATCGCATCGCTCTCCTGGCAACACCGTAAGGAGGAGCAACTTGCCATTTGGATATATCCTAGCTGTGTTTGTGCCCTCACTCATGGTCCAGACTTTTTTCAAATAGGACATGTAGTTTGTCTGCAGCGACCGTTTTGGTAGAAACTGCGCCTCCCATTCATTATAATGGGAAATGACCACAGACAAGTGCGCACACCATCTTTGGACCTTGAGTGTGATGCGATCGGGAGGGGGAGGCGGTCGCGCTGGGGGCGGCGCGATGCGGCTCGGGCCCGACAGTGCCCCACCGGGGCCCTAGTTTGTTATTATTTTTCCTCCGCTTTAAACTGGAAAATGGCCCACTTCCCACTGGCGAAAACTCAGGAAATTTGGCAGGACGACCGGGCCTGGTGAAAAATTCGATATTCTGAAGTCGCCCAAACAATAAAATGCAAAATGGCTCCATAGCGCCCCCTAAGGTGAAAATTCACATGACGGCTGTACGCTTTGTCATATTGACACAAAAATTGACACACACATGTATCTCAATAAGATCTACAAAAAAGTCAGTGTGGGCGTATCTGTCAAATTTACGGTTAAAGGGTTATTTCGCATTTTATGCCGATCCGCACACATTGGAATTTCGCTAACTCCTCCGAAGGCTTTCGTTCCACCGGCACAACATTTGCTCAGGCCAATCTACACCCCATGACCATTAAAAGTTATTCAAATCATGACGCTGCACCCCACGGTTTAGGTTCAAGGGGGCGCCAAAGATAACCATAAAATCCACATATTTAAAAGTCTTATAACTTTTTATTTTTGTCCTCACTGGCCTCCAAGTTTTCTAGGATGATGCAATGTCCAGCCATCAACACATTTGTGAAGGAATTTTTACTCCCCAAAAGAGCGCCCCCCCCCCATGGCAGGAGAAAAAAGTCCATTTTTTCTTGTCCCCTAAGGTGAAAATACATATTGTTGAGATTCACGCCTGTACGCTTTGTCAAAATGACACAAAAATTGACACACACATGTATCTCAATAAGATCTACGAAAAAGTCAATGCGCGTGTATCTGTCAAATGTACGGTTAAAGGGTTATTCCGCATTTTTTGCCGATCCGCATACATTGGAATGTGGCTATCTCCTCCTAAGGCTTTCGTTCCACCGGCACCACATTTGCTCAGGCCAATCTACACCCCATGGCCATTAAAAGTTATTCAAATCATGACGCTGCACCCCACGGTTTAGGTTCTAGGGGGCGCCAAAGATGACCCAAATATCCACATTTTTAAAAGTTTTATAACTTTTTAGTTTTGTCCACACTGGCTTCCAAGTTTTCTAGGATGATACAATGTTCAGCCATCAACACATTTGTGAAGGAATTCTTTCTCCCTAAAAGAGCACTCCCCCATGGCAGGAGAAAAAGTCAAGTTTTTCCTGCCCATTGCTCAATGGCTCAAACACATCGCTCTCTTGCTAAAAGTGAATCGCACACATTGGAATGTGGCTAACTCCTCCTAGAGCTTTCGTCCCACCAGCATCAAATTTGCTCAGGCACATCTACACCCCATGGCCATTTAAAGTTGTACAAATCATGACGCTGCACCCACGGTTTATGTTCTAGGGGGCGCCAAAGATGACCCAAATATCCACATTTTTTGAAGTCTTATAACTTTTTATTTTTGTCCTCACTGGCCTTTCGTCCCACTGACACCAAATTTACTCAGGCCAATCTACACGCCATGGCCATTCAAAGTTGTACAAATCATGACGCTGCACCCCACGGACAACCATGAAGCTCCATCCAAACCTGAAGCAGGCAGTTGGTGCATGTGTACAGTACCCTGAGGGGAGTGTTGATTTCAATGGCCAAGATGGCGCCGGTGTGTGTGGCCTGCCGTCTCTCGCTGTCAGCGCTGTTCCTGTTTGTGCTGTTTGTGTCTTTCGTTATCAGTAAAGTAAGCTCACTGTATGTGTATGACCACCAAACACTGCTGGATCTTCGCCCCTCTGCCAAGGATTTGGTGAAAGTAGATCATGATCACTGTGGTTACACGACGTTTAAGCCGTTTCACCCCTCCGGTATACCTGCTCACCTTCGCTGCACTTTCGCTCCATTTCCACGGCGTAAACGCCGGCGCCGCCGTGGCAAACGCAGCGGCCGGCTGGTGAAAGTTAAATCTCTCTTGGCTCGATCTTCCGTGGTTTCCCTGAGGAGAAATGGAGTGGGATCTGGTCTCTTTCCTCATCTGCGATCGCTGCACCCTGTCGACTCCTGGCTGGTACCGGTCGTCGGTTCGGATGGGATGGTCCGTCCCCGCGGCCCCTGCTCTCCTCGTCCCCGCCGGCGTGGGGTGAATCCTCGCCATCTACGGGCCCTGTGTCGGGCTCCACGATCAGCTGATGCCTCGGATGTGCCGATCTCTGCCAGGTTCGGCCTAGTCAATGCCAGATCACTGGCAAACAAAACTTTTATCCTGAAGGATTTCTTCATGTCCCGTGGATTGGATTTTCTCTGTGTGACGGAGACATGGCTGAGTACCGGTGAGTCCAGTCCTCTTATTGAACTCTGCCCGCCGGATTGCTGCTATTTTAATTTCCCGCGGTCGTCTGGTCGAAAAGGAGGTGGAATAGCAGTTATTTTTAAAAGCGACTTTAAATGCCGGCAGATCAGCCTGCATTTCTCATTCACAAGTTTCGAAATGTGCTTGTTTGAACTGGGCTGCTCTCATGTTGTCCTGTGCGCCGTCATCTATCGACCACCCAAGTACAATAAGGATTTTATAAGTGACTTTTCTGAATTTCTGGCCGAAATTCTGCCGAAATACGACCGTGTCCTTATTGTTGGTGATTTTAATATCCACACTTGTTGCCCTGAAGAGCCGGTCTCCAGGAGCTTTTTAAATCTCATTGACTCTTTTAACTTCGTGCAGTCTGTGTCCGGTTCTACACATAATCTCGGGCACACACTAGACTTGGTGCTCTCGCATGGTCTGTGTGTGTCTAACCTTGTCATTTGTGACGCTGTTCTCTCGGATCATATGCCGATTTTATTTGACATCCCCACTCAGTGTCCGGTTAAATTGTGCGCTCCACCTAAACCGCGTCGCATGTTTAACTCCTCCTCGCCTGCTCTGTTCTCATCTACCTTCGTTGGTCTCTGCGAGGATGACTCTGCAGCCCCTGTGTGTGTGGATACTGAGGAACTGGTACTGAGATTTCACTCCACCTGTATACAAACACTGGACACGATCGCTCCTCTGAAGACCCGGCGCACCAAACCTACACCCGAGCCCTGGTTGAACGACGTCACTCGTGCAGCCAGGCGTGAGTGCAGGAGGGCGGAGCGCAGGTGGAAAAAGGACAGTCTGCACGTGTCTCTTGGCATCCTTAAAGATAGTCTGAGGAATTATCAGAGGATTGTGAAAGCTGAGAAGAATAAATATTTCTCTGAATTGATTGCTTTTAACTGTAACAACCCCAGAGCTCTGTTCAAAACCATAAACACTGTCCTTGAGGCTCCCAAGTCTCTTGGTTTTGATGCCTCCACTGAAATCTGTGAAAAATTCCTCCACTTCTTCACTGATAAAATTATGTCAACCAGAGCCTGTATCTCTCAGCCATCGTATGACCCTTCAGCCCCTCTGCACCCCTCATCTGTCTTCTCTAAATTTGAGTCTGTGTCCCTCTCTATTTTAAAGGACATAGTCGGCCATATGAAGCCTTCTGGCTCCCCTGCTGATGCCATCCCACCTCGCTTGTTTAAAGAGGTTCTTGCTACTATTGGACCAAGTGTCCTTAATATTGTAAATTGTAGCCTCTCATCCGGTACAGTACCTACGGATTTTAAACATGCTGTGGTACGACCTCTACTCAAAAAAACTGGCCTTGACCCATCCCTCTGTGCCAATTTCAGGCCCATCTCAAATCTTCCATATCTTTCCAAGATTCTAGAGAAGGTTGTCTACAACCAGTTGTTACCATTCTTGGAAGACAATGGTATCACAGAGTTGTTCCAGTCCGGTTTTAAAGCTCTCCACAGCACAGAGTCAGCACTTTTAAAGGTTTCAAACGACATTCTACTGACAACAGACTCTGGAAAGTTTGTTGTCCTTGTGCTCCTAGATCTGTCTGCTGCATTTGACACTGTTGACCACAGCATTTTAATCTCTCGCCTGGAGCACTGTGTGGGCATTAAGAGTGTCGCCCTGGACTGGTTCCGGTCTTATTTAACGGACAGAAGTTTCTGTGTTCAAATTGAAAACTCTGCATCCTCAACAGCTCCTCTTCCACATGGGGTCCCTCAGGGCTCAATCCTCGGCCCTCTTTTATTTGCCTTTTATTTACTCCCCCTTGGTTCTGTTTTTAGGAAACACGGCATCTCCTTTCATTTTTATGCTGATGATTGTCAGATCTATCTTCCACTGGCACAGAACAACTCCAACTCAGTCCAACAACTCACTGACTGCCTTAAGGACATTAAAGCCTGGCTTTCTTTTAACTTCCTCAGTCTAAATGAGAACAAGACTGAAGTAATGTTGTTTGGACCAAGTGGCGGCCACCCCCCCAACATCGACCTAGGCTCCCTCTCACCCTACCTAAAAGAGGTCATCACTAATCTGGGAGTTAAATTTGACCCTGATTTTAAATTTGAGAAGCAGATCAGCGGGGTGGTACAAAAAGTTTTTATCAGCTACGTCAAATAGCGAAGGTGAAGCCCATTTTATCAAGACCTGACCTGGAAAAATTAATCCATGCTTTTATAACTACCCGTCTTGATTACTGCAACTCCTTGTACGTAGGGATTAGCCAGGCTTCCCTTGCCCGCCTGCAGCTTGTGCAGAACTCTGCTGCACGTCTCCTGACACAGACCCGCAGGCGTGAGCACATCACCCCCATCCTGGCGTCCTTACACTGGCTCCCTGTACAGTACAGAATTCATTTTAAGCTTTTAGTATTTGTTTTTAAGGGCCTGAACAACCTTGCTCCACCCTATATTTCGGAGATGCTCCAGCCTCATTGCCCACCCCGACCCCTAAGATCAGCTGATCAGCTTTTACTGACGGTCCCCAGTACTAGGCTGAAGCTCAGAGGGGACAG